TAAACTTTGAACGAAATGATCAGCAGATGACCGGTTAAAATTAATTGAATACACAAATAGCTCAGGGGCATCACTCTGATTTCGTCGTTTACAGTGAACCCAAAGTCGCATATGATGGATCTTTTCATAAAATTCGATGTTCCTAAACGTAGAATATAATTTTAATGATATTTAATCGAATCTAGTGAGTTTGATATAATTTTATAGCTATGTCGATCTGTTTTAAGGTGAAATATAAATAGCTGTCGAATATTGCCTAACCCATACCGTGTCATTCGCGATTTCACAGGTTGATTTCAGAATAATACTCACTGCTCTCACTGTAGTACATAAAACCTTTCTCGAGGTGTCTTTTTCCCGAATTGGTGCTGTTTCTTTCGGCGTATTTCTACACGAAGGAGAACGTCAGCTTTGGAAGATGCCGTAAATCGTTCATGTCCGATTGCGAGCGCGCCATATTTTGAACTATTTACTTCCACGTACCCGCCGGGTCAGCCTCGTTTTCGAATATTAAGACTCCCTTTTTTGGACCTTAGTCCTTGACATTGACAAAATACTGTTAACAAGGTCTGCGATTGGCTTACGTTTCTATTTCCGTTTTGTAAACCTATCAGCGATGCCATTACGGACACGGCATTGAAGAGAAACGTCATCGGATAAGTTTCCCGCGTTCACACCGAAATCTGGCTAGCACCGCGAGAAACGCGAAACAAAACAACAATCAGTTATGCGTGAAGTGAACTTTTTTCAAAAAGAAAAAACGCGTAAGGGGACGTGTGAAGGTTGTTTTTATGGCGTCCTATTTTTTTTCAGTGCATACTTTTGTATAAGGGACGCCGTGAACGCAAACGACCAGGATGACGCCGGTTTAGAGCGAGGTCTGTCGAAAGACGGCGGCAAGACATGTTGTATTCTGTCAATGTTATTGGACATTTGTTTTGTTTTTGATATGAAACTAATAACGATGTGCCACATATTATAGTTATACATATTCAACATATTGTGTTTGAATTTACCAAAAATGATTGCATTTTGTCGTTTGAAATTAGCCGCTAAGTGATCGCAAGAACGTTAGGTATAGTTGTACAAGATCAAAGCTAGGTAAAAAGAAATGTGTTCCACACCTAGGCCTACTACATAAAAGGTCTGACTGTACCGTTTGGTTTAGGAGTGCCTACTGAACATTTGTGTAATCTCAAATAATTGGGCAGGTTAGATAACTTGGCCAAGAGGACTAGGTACCTATTGTAAAAGGTTCATTTAATAATTATATCTGCATGGTGGGACAGAGTTAATTGAGTGACCAACAGAGATTTCTTCTGGTAGATTTTGTTTTAATTAGGCCCATGACAGTCATATTCAAAATGGCCGAAATTTGACAAAATTGCCAATCTAAAAACAGAATGATACATATATGGCTATTTTCAGGGAAATTCGCGTTTTTGAAAAACAGTAGTCCTCGGAAAAAATCATCTTCCGCGTAAAAATTTAATTAAAAAATTAAAAAAAACACTCCGAAAAATATGATCGAAAACCGGACAGTCCTGTTTTCGATCAGGGCTTTCACCAGCATAGGTTTTCGGACATCATACGTTTTCTGTCACGAATACTTGTACTATAACGTGGGGTGTGGCGTCACACAGAAATTGTAAATACTCAGAGTCAGCTGATGGCTTGTTTTTAAGATAAAGTTGTCTTTTAGCCTGTAAGTGAATGAGATGTTTTACAGTTGTTCATGTGATAAGCGAAAAAACTATGAATGCTTCTTCAGCGTCCAAAACCCCATGTCATGGGGATATATGTTGTATTAATGTCTTATGTTTGCAATGTAGTTTTGTTTTTTCCATCAAAAGGTAAGTACAAGGTAAGTTTTTTTCAATATGCTTCAACATGGGGAAAGGGTCAGACATTGCACGCTTGTGACAGTTGTCCTTGTGTCTGGGGATGGGGGTTGAAGTTTATGGCAGTATTGCTCCAAGACATGGCCAGGTGCGCGAAAGATATGCCCGATTTTTTAAAAGTACTGATTTAACTTCGAAATTTTACTGCATCTGCCATCTTGTTTATTTGACTTGTTGACTTTTGCCATTGACTTGTTACATTTCTTGGTGTGAATGTTGTCCAAACTGCACGAAATTGCTTAAAATGCAATCAAATGTTTTAAAAATTTCTGGGGGGGGGGCATGCCCCCAGACCCCCCCTAGACTTTTCCTCTTTTTTTTTCCGGTAAAATCTGCTCACATCCCTGTATTTTAACTAATGATTGCTTTGACGTGTTTCATTCACACATAAAACTGAGCATATATTAGTGGCTTATAATAATTCCTTGATGTTAATCCATTCAATTAAGGATTGAAGTTGTATTTGTTGATGTTCATCAGCTGATGAAGACAGTGTCTCATGTGAGCAAATTCCATGATTGACAGAAATATGAATCATAACAAAACAATCCATTTAAACACCAAACTTTAATTATTTAAAGCGAACTATATTGTTAACACTGAGAGTTTCTTTTGGTGTGATGTCATCTGTCCCAAAAATTCCTAAGCTGGTTTGCCTGTCTGAGAGTGATTGCCCTCATTGCTGCACTACTTTGTGCAGCCATTAGGAGGTGAAGGGTACCAGTCTACAAAAATTCTATTGGAAGTTATGTCCCTTTGGTTTACAGAAGTCACAACATTGAGGCTATGGCAATGTCATTCACTTGAAATGGAAGTTTTACACAGATAGCCAGGATTGCAAAGACATCCCGACCTGATTGATGGTGAAAATCGGATAAATATGAATGTTCTGTGAACTTTGGGTGGGTGCTAGACGTAATCACACATCATACTGAATAGCATTTTGGATAAAAAGCTGCCATGACTGTCATTGGCTTAATTAATACAGTTTCTACATTAGAAGCCTTTGTTGGTCACTCACTCAGAAGCAACTCTTTGCCATGTTAAAAAACAGGGTCCTTCAGGCTTGAAGGTCTGTAATGTTATGGTCCTTTATGAAAAGCCTTGATTATTAGTGTTAACTTTGAAAAGCCTTGAAAATCACCAACTCAGCTTGAAAAGCCTTGAATTTGTACACATGACATATTCTGGTTAATCAAAGTATTAAAACACACATAAAAATGAACCAAGGATGTTTAAGTGAGATTTATCACAGTGAAAGGTTTGTGTGGCAAAGACAATGAAGAATTCATGACAAACTTAATTTAATTTTGTCGGGTGTGAACATAAATCTTGTTGGAAAATGTCTGATTGTCATGCTCCTTTTGATAGTATAATGTAATAGTATAGAATGCTGGATTTAATAAAATTTTGACAGACTAGGGATAATAATCCAACTATAAAAAGTCTCAAAGACTTGAATTTTATAGCGTTAGAAAATAGCACCAGTCCTAAAGTCCTTGCCAAACTGCCCAATAGTTAAGGTATCATAAGGACTAGTAGACATTTGCCATTTTTAGGGGTTCAGCTATATGTTATCATTATAAGGACTAATGGGCTAAAACTGTGGGCTAAAACTGTTAGTTTCTACTGTTGATTTTAGTGTTACATATCTATATGAACCTTGCATAAGTTCATGACTTGTGTAACAATTACTGTATACAAATAATGCCTCTATCTCACCATGCAGATATAATTTTGAAATAAACCTAATTTTTACAACAGGTAACTGGCATTAGACTGCCTCTAGTTTTTTACCTACGCTATAATTTGGGATTATGTAGTCTCAGTATCAAATTTCTTTAAAGCTATGAGTAGATAACTGTGAATCTTTGTACAAGTAATCCTTAGGCTAGATGCTGACCTTTTTGGTGATTTTTTATAGATGGTTGGCACCCTCAGTCTATCATAGGTGTACAGAGCTCCAGATAAGCTGCGTATCTGCGTGAAATACGCATCCGAAATACAGAAATACGCAGTAAAAAATAATCCAAGCGTATCAAATATGCAACGAACATTACAGCTACGCTACAAAAACAGATTTTGTGCGTATCATCAAAATGTTGTGAAGTAACCCTGCGTATTCGATTAGCAAATCAGCAACTTATTTTGAAATTATAAACGGGCATTCCGTCAACCTTGCCAAACTCCACGATGACAGTCACATCATGATCATTTGCCATTACACTTTCTTGTGGAAGTATCGTGGTATTTTTGAGTCCTATAAAGCTCTCGAACCCACACAACACCAGTTTGCAGGGACTAGATGAATAGTGTTTTTAAATATTTAACTTAAATACCCACATGTGTAAAAACTAGTGGGTAACAGAAATTTGAATACGCAGATAGAATTACTGATACCCAGTGATTTTAAAATGCATGGGTAAAATACCCACAACACCAAAAGCTTATCTGGAGCTCTGGGTGTACCAGTGTTAGAAATTACGGTAAGCATGAAACTAAGTGCTCCTTGTCATAAGACGATAAGTTCAAGATTTGGGGGGGTCCAAGATCTAAATATCACAGAATAGATATATTTGTTTTGGATAAACATGTTTAGTCCACTAGTCCTTATATCTATGGCAAAGCCCTTAAGAATGGCAAATTTCTACAAGAACATCAGGAATAGTACTGGAGAGAGCTTTATTAGCTGCTGTTTAACATTGAAGTTGAGGTGAAATTGGGTTTAACGTCGCCGCCAAGTTTTTGCACTTATATAGGTGTGTGTGCCTGCCGGTATTAGTCTGGACTAATCCCGATTTTATAGTGCTAGCCCACTGAGATAACATGCAGCAGTTTAACATGAATACCCCATTCAGACACATTATGCTGACCTGAGTCCTTGTTTTAGCCTCTTTATACTGAGCGCCAGACTTGGTAACAACAAGTAGCATCTTTTAATGTCTTTTGGTATGACGCGGCTGGGAATCGAACCCTGAACCTTCTGCTATCCGGGCGGACGCTCTACCACTAGACCACGGAGGCGGTTGTTTTACATGTGAAACAAATGTTTTTATTTTCCAAAATTGTTCAGAACTAACTGTATCCTGTATATTTCAGTATTTGTTCATGGAAATATGGAAATAAGCTTCCTTACGGACCGGTCCCCACCCAGTACCATCCCATTGGATGCCAACAAGATATACAGTGTACCTCTTAACCAGAGGATAAGTAAGCCAGTAGTAGCTGTCATCAAGAACAGTGGGGTGCAAGTAGAGACAGGAGAATTGGCATCAGCTCTTTGGTATGTGGAGACAATAGATGTAACAACAGCAACGACACCTACCACACCAGATCAGTGGAAAGCCAATGGTGGAAAATTATGTCAGTGGGCATACAATGTTCCTTACCCTTTAAGAATGGATAGAAGATTTTGCACGTAAGTATGCAGATTATCAACACCTCATGACATTAAACCTTAAAGGGCAAGTTCACACGGAAATGAACCTATTTTTCTTGTACTTTTTCCACATTAAAAGTGTTAACCTAGAAGTGTCATAGACAAAAATATAAAAATATCACAATTAATTAACATATTTTTCGCATTAAAACGATTTATATTTTTCACATTTACCAAGTGTTCTATTTCCACAACAAAAACACCATGGCTTATGCCCCTTGCAATATGACGTCATTGGTGCCAATTGATAAACATTATGACGTCATCATGCTTTGTTAGAGCCGCTTCACGTGGTGTAGGTACAGGTGTGTGATTCTAGCGTCTCAGATGCCAGCCAGCATAGTGTTATGCTGAGTCACCACTGCGCCGGAATGTGTCGTAGGCCATGTTGTTTTACCACAAACTGGTACTTGATATCTTTTGCGTTGAGAATAGACAGGGACCCAGTTGAATTGGCACCAATTACGTCATAATCTAAGGGGGATAACACAGGCCTGTTTAGCTCGAAAAACGAAGGCCTCATAACGGCATATCATTTTCCCACTATTGTGAGCTTCCTACTTTCACTGTGAAAAAAATGTGTGTATATTTTCAAACACAGATACTAATTAATTCTAAAATTGCGTTTTGTTTGGAAAAAGATAGAAAGTGATTTTTGCGTGTACACTTCCCCTTTAATAAGTCTTTGCATTTCTGCAATATATTCAATAGGGACGTCATGATACGACTATTTATATGTGGTATGTATTGCAATACCTTGTTGCTGATATGTTACATGTCTTGATACTTTTTTTTAACACAATCTGATTATACACCCATTTACTTAACTGCATCAGGGCTAAACAAAATTCTGTAACCATCTGCAGGGCAAGTAAATATTATTTTGTACTCGTTCTGCAATATTTTCACTTGCCCTCGTAAAGTTTCATATTCTCAGGTTTTATTACTATTCTCTGTAATCAACCTTTAAGTTGAGAAAATTTACCACAGTAAGTACAAAATAATTTAGTCACCCAGTGCCTGCCATCCAGAGCTCCAGATAACCTTTTGAGCAATGGACTTTTTACTCGAAGATTTTTATTTTACCTGGGTTAACAGTTTCGGTCCACTAGTCCTTTTAATGATAGCATATAGCAAAACCTTTAAAAATGGCAAAATTCGACTCGTCCTTGGGAAACCTTTACTATTGGACAGTTTGGCAAAGACTATAGGACTGGTGCCAATTTCTAACCCTGTGTTTTTGGTTGTAAATAGCGGTTCCAAATATAGGCTTGACTTGGAAAATAAATTTATAGCTTGTAATTGTGTTTCGGAAATTAGCTCTGTTGTACACATGCTGTTAAAGCTTCATTGAGCATTTACTTGTGCTGTTTTCAAACAATTGAGTTTTTCATATAATGCATGTGTTTCTGTTCGCAAATTAATTGAAAGTAATTGGGTTTTGAAAAGTTTTGGGGGGTATTTTACGCAAATATGCGGCTTATCTGTATTTGTGGCCATCTATATTCATCTTTGCTCTTTCAAAGTCACTCATCCACAAACATTTCATTTTCAATTTTTACAGTCCTATTTTTTAAAAAATAAATTCATTTTTGGGCCTGTTTGGTAATCAAATCATGTTTTTTTCTCATCAACCCCACCATTCCTGATTAAAAACAGCAATAACCTTTACAAAATCTCTCACTTTCGCTTTGATATTTGAGAATCAGTATTATAAAGAGTGGCTTACAACAAAAATAATGAATATCATTGCCTCCCTAGTCCCTTATCAAAACTAGTTTGCTAGTCAAAACTAGTTTGCTAGTCTGCTCTTTCTTTGAGAACGCACTTTCAGCGGACAGTTGCCAAGTATACCGTCTATTAAGTATGATTATTGATATAAGCAACATTTTTTTCATTATTACTACGAATGTACGAGAAATGAAACCTTTGATATTTTAGGTTTGAAATTATCCTCCATATTGCATTGAAAACGATTAGAAATGAATTGATTCAATTCAAATATATGTACACGCCTGGAAGGACAAGCATTTTTTCACGTCTTTCTCGCTCTGCACAAGCTGCCACTCGTTAATACAAACAGAGGAGTGGATTTTCCAAGCCCTGGTCCTCCAGATGAGAAAAATATATCGGATATCACACTCAACAAAAATATTCCATTAGAACAAATTACCCCAACAAAAATTAGCACACTGTTGCAATAGTCTAACCTTGAAGTGACAAAATGCATGGATATATGCTTTGTCCACCTATATCTACTGATTGGTCTGGTATTCCTTATCTGAATCAGATGGTCTGTGTTTTGGCAGATGTTATTAACATGGTTTCTCAAACTTAATGTTGAATCAGTGATCATGCCTTAGCCTAGATTTCTTGCATGTCTTCTTGCATGTCTTGGGTGAACAATACCTGTTCTCGCTTGATCTCCAAAAATGTGGACCATCCAGTACAAATGGTGGTCATTCAGTCTTTGAATGGCAGATTGCAGGAAGGCAATCACATCGAGATGAAGCCAAACAATTTGGGATGTCCAAAAAAAGGCTATATCCATGCCTTGATACAAGAGTGGCAAAACTTCCCCCAGCAGTGTTAGAAATTGGCACTAGTCCTGTAGTCCTTGCCAAACTGCCCAATAGTTAAGGTATCTGAATCATAAGGACTAGTAGAAATGTTTAAGGGTTTTGCTGTATGTTATTATAAGGACCAGTGGACTAAACACTGTTTCTGCCACTGCCCAGTGCAAGAAAATTTATTTTTAGAGACTTAATACCATATTCAACGTAATAAGCGCCCCACTCTAATAAGCGCCCACGGCGATATTTGCCAATATATTGGCTAGTGAACAATCCCATTAGCACCCTCCCGACTGATCAATGTACACCATACTTATTTATTCGTGTATAAAAATTAATACGCACTCGTGTGTTATATGCACCCTTAATAATGGCCAATTAAATTCTGGATAATATATCTGTCGTGTATAATACGCACAGACTTTTCTTTTGTATCATTTCAGGCTGTCAGCATAAACCACGAAATCTACGATCTTTCAACTTTTTTTCTCACCAAAATTATTTTCTAATAAGAGCCCTTTATTTCTAATTTTGAGATCACCCTGGGTGCTTATTACGTCGAATACGGTAACCAAAATGAAATGTTGAAAGTTATGTTGAAAGAATTGAAACCAGGTTAATTTCATAAGTGTTTTTATTTCTTCAAATTTGGGGTTGACAAAAATTGTAGGGTCCTGGTAATTTTTAAAGTATGAGAAGGTCTGTGGTTTGAATCCTATCACAGGACTTGAAAATTTTGTGGCTGCTTCAGTGGCTACACCCAGAATACTGTTTTGTAGTAACCCAGATAAAACTCTTCTTGTCATTGACTCATTTGGTGACCGCTACTCTTTGTCGATTTAGACCCGTGAAGAATCAGTCTTCAGCAACCCATGCTTGCCGTAAAAGGTGACTATGCTTGTTGTAAAAGGCGACTCACGGGATCGGGTGGTCAGGCTCGCTGACTTGGTTGATGCATGTCATCGATCCCAATTGCGTGGATCGATGCTGATGATGTCAATCACTGGATTGTCTGGTCCAGACTCGATTATTTACAGACTGCCGTCATGTAGCTGGAATATTGCTGAGTGCGGCGTTAAACAACAAAACAACCAAACAAATCTTTGTCGATTTAGTCATGACTGGGTTGTTACAAAGACCACTTGACTTGATTTTTAGTTATAAATGCTTTTAACAGTTGTCTTGACTTTCCTCCTATGTCATTTGCATCTACGGACCCCTAAATCTTTACCTCAAATCAATGACAAGGACCCTGGACTTTCAGGATTAGTTTCCAACACTGGTGGTATCAGGTGATAATTATGTTTTTCTACTTCCTTATAGATTTTCTTGTGGAAATGCAACTGGACTTGGAGCTACAGTTCTTGGTCCTCTGGAAGCACACAGTGGACTCATGGTTGCAGAGGCTCTGTATCATCAACACGATAATGACACAGTAATTCCAGCTACAAACAGAATCTTTCGCTTTTCAATGCGTCTTCCGAATGGATCCATGTTGACCAAGGACACAAAACCATTTCAGATCACAAGTAAGCTTTACTAAAAAAAATTCAAAATCATGACAATCGATAACCCATCTGTACTCATGCCGCCACCACCGGTCCACCGGTCTTGACTATACCACTCACGATCCACCAATGGCAATTAGCTCCACCGGTCCACCGGTCCACCCCTGCCGATAGACTACCCTGGTACTGCATCTGGAACACAAAATGTATATAAGGAGCCCCCCCACCCCATACACAACAGTCTGATGAGAGCATACTCGCTCGAAACTAGTCACATAGATTGCTCTTGGGTTTTAGCCCCAAACCTTTTATTATAAAAAAAATTCAAATTATTTCTTTTGATACATGACTTTCCCCCAAACTATGATCAGTCGTAGGATCATTTTACTGATTGTTACATTGCTAAGTTGCAATAAACAAAATATAGCTTCTTTTTTTTCGTTATTCATTTTTCTTGTACAGTCTTTGACTATAGCCTATAGCATCTGGGATACACATGGCCACAATTTCGTTATTTTGACATTAGTAATAATCTGATTCTGAATCAAAGACCAAAAAACTTCAATCATTAAATCAAACAGTAAATCAGCCATCTCCGCAACTTCCCCAATCACAACATGAACTTGGAAATCCTCTCCAACAACCACCATTCATTTGCCTCAAGTTGATTTACAGTGCAGTATTATGGCAATGATGATGATCAGCGGTAGAAACTAACCTTTTTGGTCCACTGGTCTTTATAATGAAAACATATTCTAAAACTCTTAAAAATGACAAATTTCTACTAGTCCTTATGATTCCTTAACTATTGGGAAGCTTGAAAAGGACTACGGGACTAGTGCCAATTTCTAACCCTGATGATGTAATAGAGGTTGTATTCTTAGAATTATTAACAATGTCTATTGTTCCTTTGTCTGTATGATATACACTACTGATCTCCAGATTCGCGTCAATAAGCTATTCTAGCCGTTAATAAGTTTATCATGAAAATGCCTGCTACATGTCAAACTGGTGCAAAAGAATTTTGTGCAGAATTATCGAAATTTGGTTGCAGAATTTACAAATATTCAGATTTTTTTTAAGAAGAATTCCGCGGGGACTGGTGTATACATGTGATTGCTATATCTGGCTTCATTCACAAGACAAATACACTAGGTGAACTTAATCTCTGCATATAAAACAATGTCTACAGCGTTAGAAATTGGCACTAGTCCTGTAATCTCTCCGAAACTGTCCAATACTTAAGGTATCATAAGGACCAGTAGAAATTAGCCCTTTTTAAAAGGACTAGCAGACTAAAAATGTTAGTTTCTCCTGCTGTGTCGGCATAACACGAAATACAATTGAAATGGTAAATCATCATGTAGTGTGATGTTCTTTCGCATATTTCCCATTTTCATTGTCTACATTTGTTATTTCCTGCATGTTCATTCATCTGAAGCCAGTTGTAGATTTTAACTGCGCACAATACATGGAAATCCTGCGTAATTGGATTGTTGCAGGAGGAATTAAAAATCGAACGAGTTTGCATGAATGAGTACTGTAAGATGTCAACAAATCGGCAGTCCATATGTTTTTGATGATGAAATGAAATTGTGATATGTCTGTCAATGTAAACTGATACAAAAACTACTGTGCTTGAAGGACACTTTTTGAAAGAAATTTAAGTGATAGCCAAAAGTAATCTCATCGTTAATCAGACCAAGGTTGCATATGACTCCCTTATTAACTTATCAATATTTAGGTGAGCAGTCTCTAACTGCCGTATGCATATGTTTTCTGACTTCATCAGATGAAAAGGGTATATAATTTCTCATTACGTTATCTTGAGGGGTCCTTGAAGCCATCTCCTACGACAATTAAGTCTATGGACCCCTGTGATTTTGAACTTTTAATATTAGTGTTATGACACAGGGTTAGATCTTAACACTAGCCTGCTAGCCCGAGGCAAGTACAAATTCCTGTGTACTCCTATTCTTTTAACATTACAAGGGGATTTTATTTTTACCCTGTGACAAAAACCACTTCATGTTGATTTCAAACACTGTGCAATACAACCATTTTTCTTGATCTAAGTTTCTATATTAAAGGGAATTTAGATTATATTCTTTGTTTCCATCTCCATTTTAGCTCCTGCCAAGACCTTAGTCATAACGCAACAACCTCCAACAACCACATCTGCGAATAGTGCATTTGTTGTAAAGGCACAAATTGTTGACTCAAGAGGCAGCGTTGTTTCTACAGGACTTGACTCCACAGCATTTGTTGATCTTCAAATATCATATGAATACAAACAGTTTTATCACTCTGTTGGAAAAGAAATGTTTCTTTACAGCACTGCAGTAAGTAATACTTACCAAATTTAATCAAATTAAGTGATAAACTTAATCAACCAAGATTTCCAAAGGTTACTTTTTTTTAAAAACTATGCTGGAATCTGACTTCAACCTGAAATGAATGAAAAAGGGTTGTTTCCTTCGATCATACTAAAGGAAAATGTATTAAAGTTGTTGCTTTGAATAGATCAAAGGTGCAAATATCCTGATATTGATTAAATCATACGGTTGATAATTGATTGCGTGCTGAAATATTGCCTGCGCACGCTGATGAATATTTGATATACCGTAATCGACGTAATAAGCGCCCGGCTCTAATAAGCGGCGATATTTGCTAATATATTGGCTCGTGAACAATCCTTATTAGCACCCTTTTCGATTGACCAATGTACATAATACTTATTTATTTGCGCTCGTGTGTTATATGCACCCTTATTTATGGGCAATTAAACTCGTATATAAACGTTTTGGGCAGTCAGCATAAACCACAAAATTTATCTTTCAACTCTGTTTTTTTTCGACAAAATAATATTCTAATAAGAGCCCCCTATTTCTAATTTTGAGAGCGCCCGGGGCGCTTATTACGTTGAATACGGTAATTGTATTTTGGTGCATATTACACAACAATCAAAGATGTAATTCCTTGTGAGGCGATGTTAAGTTCTATGTCATCATAATATGAAGTACTATAAGGCTAAAAGAAATAATAGTCTTGGTTCTCAGGCACCACCTGTATCATCATAAAGTCTGCAGCACGTTTTGTTTTTATTTTCATTTAAAAAAAAAAGAAAATTCCTAATTCTTAAAAACAATGCGATCCAATATAGCACACAGTTACTTCCCTTCACATGTGCACTGCTTTACTGCACATCTCGTGTTATGGTTATGGCGGCAATAGGAGTTTGTATAGGGAGGTCCTTTCCCAGATTGATGGTACACAGCTGTTTATTTGTTACATACTAGTTTAAACAAGCAATAAAACCAAATAAAACCAACCGCCCGCCCACCCACACTATATTTTCAAAAGTCATTGCCTGAGAACCAATTCTTTTATTTTTTTAAGCTTAAAACCTGTTTTTACTTTTGATGTGTTTCATTTTCAGGTTCGTATGGAAAGTAGTGAAGCTATTACCCATGCAAGTACTTATGACAGAATAATCCGAAAGAGAGCTGTAGGTGGAAATGTCACTTTCAGTGATATCAAAATCTTAGATGTCCATGCGAGTGTACGATTCAATTTGACAATGACAACAGCGCATGACCCCTGGATCAGAACACCAAATGACTACTCAGATCTCGCAAGCAAGTTCATCACTACTTTACCGAGTGGAGTATTAGTATTTTCAATTAACACATCATACCCATTGAGTGATGCAGTCAAGTTAAGTAACTCTTTTGCTGTTACAGGTAAGTTGAGTTGGTCAAAACATCTAAAATGTTCATATTCTACCCAAGAATTGTTTTCAAATGGACTTTTATTATTCACTCACCTGGTCCTAAGGACCAAGGTGAGCTCCGTCGTCCATCCGTCATTTGTACGTCAACAATATTTGAAAACGACTTCTTCTGAACCACTGATTGGATTATGAAATTTGTCTGGAAGCAGCCCTGGGTGGTGGGGATTAAAAATTGTACAAATGGTAGCACTATATCCCCAGGGGACTGAGGGGCAGTGCCAAATAGTGGTTATTTGGCTATATAGAGAATCTCACCCGAGGGTCTTTTGATATCAAATATATCAACACGAGTTGATAAAAGTGGAAAAATTCCGAGGCTTGCCGAGGATTTTTGCCACTTTTATCAACGAGTGTTGATAAGTATAGAGAATCTCACCCGAGGGTCTTTTGATATCAAATATATCAACACGAGTTGATAAAAGTGGAAAAATTCCGAGGCTTGCCGAGGATTTTTGCCACTTTTATCAACGAGTGTTGATATATTTGATGTCAAAAGACATGAGGGTGAGATTTTATTTATCATCCAACATCATTCTTCCAACTTTTTCAATTTGTAGACAGTAATTAGCAGTGTCTTCAGTGTAAAAAGTACTGAAAACACCTTCAGTAGCAGAGCTGTTAGTGATGTCATTTGATTGTGATGTCATGGTAACCAGTGACGTCACAATGGTCTGCAAAGCATTGTGATGTAATTTCACTGCAGCAATATCTACAGTGTAGATATCGCTTGATCTAATCCAAGCGATATCTCCTGTGGGAGCCAGTTTTGGATGATAAATTGCTTTAAACGACTTCTTCTCTGGAACAAAGGATAGATATCGACCATATATGGTTGGAAGCATTCTCAAGTGGTGAGGATTTAAGATTGTTCAAATAGAGGGGCTGACTCCCAAAGGGGCTGAGGGGCAGGGCCAAATAAGGGTAATTTGGCTATATTGCTTTAAGCGACTTCTTCTCTGGAACTAAGAGATAGATATCAACCATATATGGTTTGAAGCATTCTCCGGTGGTGAGAATTCAAAATTGTACAGATGAAAGGGCTGATCACCCCCCAAGGAGACTGAGGGGCGGGGCTAAAAAGGGTAATTCTGGAGTGATTTTCAGAAACTTAGATCCTGGATCATAACATTGAAACAGTTCAGATCTTTATGCCACATTTGTATCTAGAGAAGTACACGTTCATGCTGTCCGATTTGCCATCCAACCCTTTTAAATGCTGACAGTCAAAATTACGAAATATTTGCAGTATTATATACATGTACAATGCAAATGTATAGTTTGTCATGATTGTGTAAATATCCAGGTGAGCGATACAGGCCTCTTGTTTATTATGTTATCTTGAAACAGATAAAAACGTTTAACTGAATTCTTGTCTCAGTATGTATTGTTAGACTGAGTTACAACTCAAATTGTGACAAGGAAGAGTTATTTGTTGAAAAAATATATAATTTCTTTATTCTAATTATAATGATTATCATCTTGTAACACATTTTACGCTTTCTGTACAAAGAACTACTTATGGCAATAATATATGAATTAGATTTATATTGGGTATAAGATTTTTATCCCTTCCGCCTCACTACCTAACATCCAATCTTGTATCTTTTAATTGTCCCCAGCACTGCAGATGAAGAAAATCTGCATATGTGCTGCTTTTCTTTACTGCATGAGTGAGTGAGTTGGGTTTAACGCCGCTTTTAACAGTATTCCAGTCATATCGCGACGTGTCAGCTTAATGTGGGAGGAAAGCCCGGAGTGATGCAGGTTTTAGACGTTAACCACTTCGGTGAAACCCACGAGCACGGGTATGGTGCTGACAAACCTAGAAACATAATCGGGGCCAACCGGGATTACTTCATGAAATACACCCCATATTTTGTCATGGACTGTCAACAGTTGGTTAAGCTAGCGTACACCAGTACGAATTTTGAGGGGTTGCTGGTGTCCTGCCTCTATAGTATTCAAATCTAGGGACACCCCTCGCCCTAAATCACTTTTGAAATAGACTTTATAGGTTTATGACAAGGACCTCCTGACTCTCATGCTTAGTTCCCTTCCTCACAGTCATGGTATCCCAATTGCGTGGATCGATGCTCTCGATATCAATCACTGGATTGTCAGTTTCGATTATTTGCAGACCGGCGTCATATAGCTGGAATATTGCTGAGTGCGGCGTTAAACAACTAACGAACAAAAGAAACAGTCAAACATAGGTTTGAAACATTCTCAGTATTTTTTCTCTGTGAATAGTTTACAAATGCTGGGAATGTTCACATCTAGGTCTTGTGCATCAGGGCAAGTCCAACTGACCGCTCATCGCCCATTTTGTGTCTGGGATAGGTCTTGCACCGTCTCAATGCAGAGAAACAAACAAATATATCCTTCCTCAAACGTTTCATAACATGGGCCAAGATTCCCTGCTCAAAATTAAGGTTTATTCTGTGGTACTAAAGTTTTTCTGCTGTCATACTTGAATCTGGGACCTTCTAAGGAATAACTTTTAATACTGAGATCATGACATGGACCCCTTGCCTTTCTTGTTTAAGGACCCGTGAAGATCCGGGGTAGAATATGTCTTCAGCAACCCATGCTTGCCCTAAAAGGCGACTTTGTTTGTCGTAAGAGGCGACTAACGAGATCAGGTGGTCAGGCTCGCTGACTTGGTTGACATGTCATCGAATCTCAATTGCGTCGAGTGATGCTCATGATGTCAATCACTGGATTGTCTGGTCCAGACTTGACTTTTTACAGCCTGACGTCATATAGCCAGAATATTGCTGAGTGCGGCGTTAAACAACAAACCAACTTTCTTGTTTAAGTTTGAACAGTGTATTTGATAAGTTTGTACAGGGAGCAACATGAAAGAGCTTTGAAAATATTTCCAAATGGAAAGTTAGTTTTTATTTAGATCTTGAAAATTTATGCATATTGATTAAAATTAAAAAGCTTCATTTATTTTGCACTGGAATTTGTATTTGTCAATATGCAGATACAGTATGACAGTTACCTGTCAAACTTTTTACACATGAATGGAAATTGTTATTGTTTGAGATTGTGGTTATGAATATTCCTGTTCCCAGCACAAGTTGCCAGTACCCTGCAGATGCTGACACAAACTGCAAACATAAAAACCACGGTTGGAGCCAACTTTCCAATTACTGAGGAATTAATAGTTGAAGTCAGGGATGCAAGTGGTGCAAGAATCTACTCAGGACCTGACTCAAGCTTGGTAACTTCATTTGTGTTATGCATGAGCACTTCCATCAGTAGGGGGCACGGGTGGCCCAGTCGCTGTGCAGAGTTGCGTCCCTTGGGCACGCCAGCAACCTATGATTGTGGGTTCGAATCCCGGTTCGCCCCGATTATGTTCCTAGGTTTGTCAGCACCATACCCGTGCTCGTGGGTTTCACTGAAGTATAACGTCTGGGACCTGCATCACTTTGGGCTTTCCTCCCACATTAAGCTGACGCCGCGATATAACTGGAATACTGTTAAAAGCGGCATTAAACCCAACTCACTCACTCACTCACTTCAATCAGTAAGACTGCACGGTATTAACGGCATATTGCAACAGTGTTTGAAATAATTTAAAAACCCAACAAGACAGTCGGGCCGGTTACTCATAAATGTTGCCTGCCCATCTTCAAAGTTACCTGTCCGCATTCAGACATTATAAATATTGAAACATTGCAAAAATAAGAGAAAAATCTTGTCTTGATTCTGTGTTCCTGTATATTGGATGAGTGAGTGAGTGAATAAAACGCCACTTTTAACAGTATTCCAGTTATATCATGGCGTATCAGCTTGATGTGAAAGGAAAGCCCAAAGTGATGCAGGTCTCAGACGTTTACCACTTTAGTGAAACTCACGAGCACGGGAATGGTGCTGACAAACCTAGAATCATAATCATGGCAGACTGTGATTTGTATTGTTTAACCTAAAATCTGCCCAGAAATTCATTCTAAAAAAATGTTTCACTTTGATAAAACCATAGAAACACGGAAGTGACTTTTCTCTCATGTTGTTATCTCCCCTGTATCCATGACTACAAAATGGTGGCGACTGATCATGCTGACTTTAGTATTTACTTAAGTGTGTAGAAAATAGGGTCTGCATGAACAATCAGTGTCGATCACTGTCAAACACTTTGGCTGCCAATTTGCAATACAGATAAAGGTATCGCAATATATTGCAATACACTTTGTTTGCCGATACACAGCCCTTCAGGTGACAAGAACAATTCAGGAAGGACTAGAGAAAATAGGTAAATTGCAACTCTGAAGTGAATTATTCATAAAAAAAATACAAATTAGTTACTTACGCTTATAATTCATAAGCGATCATAGAATACCATTTGAATCTCATATCTAACAGCATTTGAATATTGTTAATATGAAGCAACTAAAAGGCTTGTGGGGTCAGGTTTGGTGCCTTGTTTGATTGCTTGTACCCAAATGGCTTGGGATGCTGCTCATAATATTATTCAGTATGTTTGGTCAAGGTTTGATTGTTTATAGCTGAAATGTTGAGTGTGTCTCTCTCTCCCCCCAGGGGCGGTCGGGTAGCCTATTGGTTAAAGCGTTCGCTCGTCACGCCGAAGACCCGGGTTCGAATCCCGACATGGGTACAATGTGTGAAGCCCATTTCTGGTGTCCCCCGCCGTGATATTGCTGGAATATTGCTAAAAGCGGCGTAAAACCAAACTCACTCACTCACTCACTCTCTCCCCCCAAAAATAAAATAAACAAACAAAACAAAACAACAATCCCCACCCCACCCCAACCCCCAGACCCCACCCCAACCCCCAGACCCCAGACCCCATCCCCATCCCCATCCCCATCCCCAGCCCCACCCCCACCCAAAAAAACAAAAAAAAGCCAACAAAAAACAAAAAAACACAACCAAAAAACAAACAAACAAAACAAAACACAACCACCCCACAAAAAAACCATCTGACATTGTCTGCCTGTTCAAAACAAAACATGCTTTTCAAATCTAATCTGGTAATGTAGCAGGTTCTCTTCAGTTGTCAGTAGAGCTTGTATGATACACATCTAGTAGTGACTTTGCTGGAGACAAATGTCAATAGAACATCTTTATTATTGTAGCATATTTTGAAGGGACAATCTTCTATACCATCATCAAAATTTACAAATGTATTCAGGACATTTTGGATAACAATCTAGTCAATGTCCAAGAAAATGAACCAATCTGAAACCATGCTCAACTGTGGCATAATTAGTCTTGAGTGCACCATGTGTGTTTTAAGAGTGAGGTCATAGCTGACCCAGTACATTAAGGCGCCACTATTTGATATTCAGTTGCCTCTCTTAGCAATGCAATGATAAAAGTATCTGGCCCTTGAAATAAGTTAACGTTCACGGTTTTAAAGGCAGAAATACACTGAATGCTTCTCACGACCTTTCATCACTCTTTGAAAGCAAATTTAAGACTCACAATATGAATCCCCCAATGTGTATTTTTGTCTTTATAACAGTGGTTCAAATAGCCAGTTTAACGGTCTTTGATATGTGACTGTGAATCTGAAGTCTCTGTATAGTTTTCTTACCTTTCGTATTTCCTCCTGCCAAAATTGTGATGGCTCCTGAAATATTGCTTTTGGCGACCACAAACAAAACTTAGGGAACCAAGTGGTTACCTGCTGAGCTGCTGCTAAAAGTGTACAAAATATGCTGCAAGTATTCTGTATGGTACGTTTTTTACACAATGATGCCAAGCACATGTCTGACAAAAAATATGTTTAGAAAGTTGTTTTTGTACTGCAGTGCTCTTTTAACCTTCCTTTGCAGACTGTCACTGCTGTGGCTCATCCATCAACTGCATGTTTATCAACAGATGCAAACTTCGTAACAACGGACGGCCAGGGCACATTTGTTGGATCTATTTGTGAACCCATTGTTTCAGTAACTCTTCGATTTAGGATTGTCTCAGCTGGAGGATTAACCTTGAATTCTGCACCGACTCCAAGTATGGCCATCAATAGTAAGTACTCAGTTTGATGCAAAACATTTAAACGTACACACATGCATTCCTCAGTGAAATTGTCGTGTTACTGGGGTAGAATATTGTTAATGAATTAACTCTTTCAACACCAGTCAACCAGAAGTGTTTACTGCTGGGACACCGAGTTCCCAGAGACTCTTGTATGATAGATGAAGCCAACATTTATCAAAGAAAATACCTGCTTGTAAAATATATTTGCTACTACATGTTATACAACATTGGAAAGGTCTGATCTTATGGTTTATAAATATGAAAGTTATATTTTTCAAATTATTTAAAATAATGCATTTACAACTTAATTAAATTCGTTGTAAATAAAAAATGTACGCTAACACGTTGTTAACATCCAGATTAAGGACCAAGGAAGCGAAAACTTGACGATTTTCGGCAAATATTTATATTTCATAATATCCACGTACCTATTTCTGTTTTATTTTCATTGTTTACGTAATTGGAAAATCATTTTAAAAAGAATTATAAATAGTTTCTGTCATCACCCATTTCCCGATAATAGCGACTGTCCGCTCAGTAAAATGAAGAAATACCCCCGTTTTCGAGGGTTCGTATGAATAACACGTTCGTCGAAGAATGGCATATGACACATCGCTGGAAAGCTTATTCCTTCATCTACACGCTCGTAACATCGACTGGTTTTGTTTCGTAGTTATAACAAGCGATTTCATTGGATTAAAATTGGTTTCTAATGACGCTTTCTTGCTGAAATCTGCTACAAGTTTCGTGATTGGTCAATTATGAGCACGTGACCTAAGGCAGCCAATCAAATTACAGCTGTGATACCAAGCTCGTGTTCGATAAATTACAGAAGTTTACGAAAGAATTTTGTTAAATCGTGTTATTCTGAACGTTTTGAGCAGGAAATCACGATATATATTATAAATATGGAACTTCGTGAATGTATCGTACTAGGTTACGAGCTGTGACAAAGATTTTTCATGCATATATTTTTGCATTAAACATCGTGTCCGAGCCGAGAATTCAAGGCGACGAAAGTCGAGATGTCATTTGACTTACATTACACGTGATCGCACGAAAAGATGGAAATAATAACTTAGATGTAAGTTTGATTACTTTTAGATATATTTTTGTTGATTTTATTCATTACTTTGTAGAATATATTTAAAGATTTGTTTAAAACGTCTTTATTTTCCTCTTTGACGTGTTCGATGTGGACCCGTTGTCGAAATGTGTGTCCGAGAATTTTATTTTCAATAACATCGCGAGAAATAGTGAATAATTTTTTAATTTAACGATAAAAAATGTTAAATTGAAATGGAATATGTATTTCAGACATTGTGAAATGTGATAGATTTAATAAATGAATGACATCACAGGTAGGTCCATAAAAATATATACTATTTTGACGTGACTACGGCTTGGCCGGATAACCGGCCTGCGGTGTCTGGGGACTCGATGCTTCTTGGCCGGATAACCGGCCTACGGTGTTGAAAGAGTTAAAAGGATTGGGTGGTCAGTGGGGATGGATATTGAATGTTTAAAGTGTTTCACAATATTTTGCAATGGACGAGGCCGGATTATTATACATATCATGATATATTGTATAATTAGGAGATAAACATACTGTGTTTTCAATGTTGAGCTAGGTTACCTGTAGATTTAACCCTGCTAAATTGAATTTGGAACCGAACGCGCAGCGTGATGTTTCAAATGTTAAATTTAGCGCGGTTAAATCTACAGGTAACCTAGCTCTACATTGAAAAAACACAGTATGTTTATCTCCATTCTACCATGACTAAATAAAACGCACAGTTTGGTGTTAGCAAATATACTGAGTGAAGCGGCATGTGTTGAGTTCAGTCTTTTGAGTGGGTTATCGATCTGAATTACGGAATCACCGAACAAAATATGGTGCTGTATACACCTTTATACTTCACTCGAACATATGACAGGCATTGAAAGCATATAAGCACGGCAACTTGGTAAGCTAACATGAGGTGGGCATCCCTAAAGAAAACAAAGCAAGCTTTGCAAAGCTTTCGCTCTACATCGCACGTCTATTAGCTTCTGCGGTGATGCGGCCGTCAAACCAGCTGTTTCAATCAGAGGGGGTTTATTGTGATTTAATAGCCTCTGATTGACCAATCAGAATTGAGTAAATTCCAAATTCATGGTAGAATTCTAAATTTAGACCACTGCCACTGACAAACTCCAGAATGCAAACTTGATTTTGGAATTACGGAAACATTTCGAAAGCATTTGGCAAGTGTATGACATTAAGCGATTGATAAAAATGGCTGTTTTGAAATCACCCGATATACCGAGCATTCAAAAATGATATTGTGATACTTGTCATGGAAAGAATGAACTTCAATTTACTGAGATACCAGTCATACCGGACACCATTTGTGGTCAGTTAAAGGGACTTTGTATGTGAATGTGGCCCTGCTGGTGGCACTTTGGCAGGTGTTAGGCTTACACCTGGCAAAGTGCTAGGCCGGTAACCTCCCAAAACCCCGACATCCCATTTCCCCTACCGCTTAAGACAACAAAGTTCACGGTCCATGGCACTGCTAATCCCTAGTCAGTTACCTATATCATACAATGGAACAACCCAAGAAACTCGAATAGATTGAGATAAATATTTAATTACGATTACGATATTATTCAAAATTCATAATACATTATAATAAAATGTTCATTTTTCAAAATTCATAATACATTATAATAAAATGTTCATTTTTCAAAATTCATAATACATTATAACAAAATGTTCATTTTTCATCTCAACTGTAAATCGTCTCATCTCAGTTTCTCAGTGTAATAATTGTTTCTTCCCATTGTTATTTTTGTAATTTCTAAAAATTGTCTTCTCATCATACAGGCATCTTTCATCACACTTACATTAATTCTTTTTTTTTTAAACTTTCCTTTAAGTCCCCTAATCCCCTAGAGCTCTACCCCTTTCATTTCTACTACCTCTACTCCAGACCTTAATCTCTCCTTTAGGTGAGTTCATAATGCCAGACAGGTAAATGCCGCGTGTTGTTTTAACTAATTGTAGGGGAACTGGGTTGTAGGGGAAATGGGATGTAGGGGTTTTGGGAGATAACCGCTAGGCCGCCCCATCATAAATGGAAATCGCACCACAATTGAACTAATAAGCAGCTTCATTGATGGTGGTGTTCTTGCTGTCTTTTGAAACTGCCAGTCCTGGCAACTTTAAAAACTTCAAGTTCCCCCTATTTTTTGCCAGTCCCAACTTTCAACAAATAAAAAAACGTATGAAAATTATTTCGTTTTAACTCTTTCAACATCATCTTAAGTGCAAAGATGTCATCTCAGAAGTAACTTAGATATATATGTCATTCACACAAACTTCAGTCACAATTTTCTCTTTTTAAAAAAAATAAATATTTTAAGACGAAGTCGCTCTAAATGGATATTTAACCTAGAAATAGACAAGAGGAAACCCTGATGGTAACAGACAAGCTGACTTTGTTCGAAAAAATGTACTCACTGGGTCCGAAGGTACGCCTAGTCATCAATGTCAGCAGCGGTAGAAACTAACAGTTTTAGTCCACTAGTCCTCATAATAACATATAGCAAACCCCTTAAAAATGGCAAATGTATACTAGTCCTTATGATACCATAACTATTTGGCAGTTTGGCAAGGACTATAGGACCAGTGCCAGTTTCTAATGCTGGTTAGACATCACATGCCCACATTAAGGACACCAGGGCTTACAAATAAATAACTTTGATCCCATTCCAATGGTCTGTCTTGTATGAGGTCCTCTGACCTAAGGTAGACTCCTTAATCTTAGCTTAATCAACATCCTGCCCCAGCAATATACACCTACAACTGCATCTTAATGCACATGGCCCATAATGACATCTGTGATTACAAACATAACACAAAAACAATCAGTTTAAAGATACAAATTTATTGAAGCGATCTTTGCATCATGATCACCGGAAATTCACCCGTTTTCATCCCGCCTTTGTTACTCTAAGTCCCGCCACTGGTCCATGGGTTCTTAGAACACCACTCACCAGCCCACCGGTAACAGCCAGATCTCCAGCACCCATTCTGGAAACACTTACCACTTGATCACCATTTCACTGGTGAACTCCACAGGTATCGCAGGGAACGCCTGGAACACAAATTGTATATATGGAGCCCTCTAGTATGGCAAGCCGTTTTCACATTTATTACGGAATTACAGATATCTTCAATTGTTTTTAAGATATCGGTATTTTATTTAAAGATATCAATGTTTTTAAGATATCAAAAAATAATTAAAGATATCTTAAATTCATTTCTGATATCCATAATATAATTACTGATATCTTAAAATGTTACGGTGATATCAACAAATTAGTTTGAGATATCTCTAAATGTAGTTACGATATCATTAAACAATTACCATCCTACAGTACATAAATATATTAGAAATAAATTCAAGATACCTTAAATTCAGTTCAAGATATCTTGAAATAAGCTATACATATCCACAAATGCATTACAGATATCTTTAATTCAATTAGAGATATCTTTAATTCAATTAGAGATACCTTTAATTCTGACCGTTACTGATATCAAAAATCCAATTAAAGATATCATTAATAATATTGATGATATCTTTATATCAATTATTGATATCAGTTATCTAATTTAAGTAATATAAATGTAACATCTTTAATAATGGCAACAATTGAAGATATCAATAATTAATTATTGATATCTGTATTTAGTTTCAAGATATCAGGAATTGAATTATTGACATCATAACATAACATGACATTTTGATATCTTTAAATCATATTTTGATATCAATAATCGAATTTAAGATATCAGCAATTATTTTCAAGATATCAGTAATACGCTTCACCATATCCTTAATTCATTTCGTGATATCTTAAATTTTATTGCAGATATCTACAATTATCTGCATTTAAGATATCTTCAATTCGATTCAAGATATCTTTAAAACAATTGAAGATATCTGTAATTCCGTAATAAATGTGAAAACGGCTTGCCATACTCTAGCTTGAAACTAGTCACCAATACTTGAGATTACTCTTGGGTTTTAGCCAAAATCTCTTCTTATCTACTGGGCAAGGTTTGAATGACTGTAACCAGTAACTAGTAACCAAAAGAAAAATACATACTTTGGGCATACTAGGAGTGCTTTTTATATATTTATTGTTGACTTTTAACATTTTTCCATTTTGTGACAAATTATTGTCATCCAATTTTTTTTTAAATATCATTTCTGATATTTTGATGTTGACTTATAAAAATATTTTTCTCTTACTTTTCGGTAAATATGCATTGAATACCTATTGCTGATAACACATTTAGAATTTTACTTGTGCTGTCTTTGCACTTGTCTGGACAAATCACTGATGTCTGGCATGATCATACCAAGTGGTTGGTAGAATTATGTCCTTTTTTTGTCCAATTTGGACCTCCATACACAACTTTTCTCTGTACCGCGATACGATGGAGTTCTCTCCCTTGTCAAACTGAGCGCGAGGCCCGGCTTTTACTCGGAGCTACTAATGTAAATAATGCATTGTTTGATAACATGAATGATATCTGATACAGAGAACACGAATGAACATAAAGGTTAGTGAGTGCATTTTGTTCCGTTTAGCGTACATGACAAGCACCGCGAACCCCGAGGTTGCAGGCTAACTATCAAAATATTTGATATTATGAACTAAACTGTGTAATCTCTTTTGTTTCAGATGAAATCTACATCGCTTCCTATATAGATAACTACCACTCAGGGTCCAGTTCAGATGTGCAACCTCATGTGGAATCTTTCATTCAGTTTGCAGTGAATGACATTAACAGTAATGTCTTCGCAGGAATACTTGAAAGTGAGTTGACAATATGCATTGTCTATTATGCTTCATACTAGTTTCATTTTGGAAAACAATGTCCATATGACTACGCATAATGCATTGTCAGTACTTTGAATACACTGCATATGTGCTTGACTTGTGAATATGTATAAGCTATGTGGTATACACAATTGATGTCAGGGATTGACTTAGGTCGCAATTCCGCAATCGCCTAGTTATCACATTAATGTGATTGAAAATCACGTACATCTTATGGTCAGCATGCTATCTCTTTCTGTGTATAAATGATTCCTTTATCACTGCATGAAGCTTTGCCTCCGCTGACAATGGTGGTGTGCGCAACAAACTCTCTACAGCGAGCAGATATCTGATCACTGACATCTACCACTAATTAGTGACGTGTATAGCGATCTGAGAAATCTCACCCAGTATCAAGTGTCAGGGACAACTGCGGCAAATTAACACAATCGCAGCGAATCGACAGTCACTGGTGACGATTCAACCTTGTTAAACTTGCATTATGTTAATCTTACCTTTACATGTAATTATCCCCCGCCCCAACGAAGTTGGCGGGGGATATAGAAATCGGTTACGTGTGTGTGTGCGTGTGCGTGTGCGTGTGCGTGTACGTGTGCGTGTGCGTGTGTGCATCCCGAAATCAGAAACCGTTAAATATTTCTCTGTGAAACTTTGCATGTCTATCAGACTCATGCTGAACTGGTGCCTTTTGCTATTTAGGAGTTTTATAAACTTTTATTTTTTACGTTTCCATGGCAACAAGTTGGACTTCGGTTCTATAAGGGTGGTGTTTCGTTTCCGGAGCGTAACTCAAAAATCATAAAATACTTTCTTACAAAACTTTGCATGTCTACTAGGCACATACTGAACTGGTGCCTTTTGCTATTTAGGAGTTTTATAAATTTTTATTTTTTACGTTTCCATGGCAACAAGTTGGACTTAGGTTCTATAAGGGTGGTGTTTGTGTCCAGAGCATAACTCAAAACCCATTCAATACTTTCCAACAAAAACTTTGCATGTTTACCAGACACATACTGGACTGGTGCCTCTTGCTATTTAGGAATTTAAGAAATTTTTATTTTTCACGTTTCCATGGCAATAAGTTGGACTTAGGTTCAAGAGGGGTGGTGTTCGTTTCCAGAGCGTAACTCAAAAACCGTTAAATACTTTCTTACAAAACTTTGCATGTCTACCAGGCACATACTGAACTGGTGCCTTTTGATATATAGCACTTTTAGAAATTTTTATTGTTTATGTTTCCATGACAACAAGTTGGATTTAAGTTTTAATATAGGATTGGTTTACTTAAGGAGTATAACAAATAAAATGTTAAATATTTCCTTGCCAAACATTGCATGTCTATATATAAAGCGCATACTGAACTAGTGCCATTTGATATTAAGGAGTTTTAGAACTGTTTATTGTAGAATTTCCATTGCAGCTATTTTGAGATGGGCTCAGAGAAATGTTGTGTCAGTTACCTGGTTTGGGACCATAATGTGTTAAAATGGGCGGGGGATATAGATGACTTTGTCAACTATACCCTTGTTTCAACTAAACTTGTCTGTAAAACAAACATTGCTGATATGTAAAAAATATCTGGCAATAGCAATCACCTGTACCAAAGTGCTGCGCTTATGGTTCTTATAATTATGTCTCCCCCAGAATGGAGGGAGACATATTGTTTTTGGCACGGTTCCCGTCGGCGTCGGCGTCGGCGTCGGCGTCGGCGTTCCCACCGTTTCCGGACCATAACTCAGAAACAGTTTAATATTTTTTCGCGAAACTTTGTATACACATAACCCAGCACTGAAGTGGTGCCTTTTGCTATTTAGAGATTTTTGACATTTTTATTTTTTCTCGTTTCCATGGAGATAACTTGAACATAGACTCTGAATGGGGGTAAGCTTGGTTTCCGGACCATAACTCGGAAACCTTTCAATATTTTTTCGCGAAACTTTGGATACACATTAACCCAGCACTGAAGTGGTGCCTTTTGCTATTTAGAGATTTTTGACATTTTTATTTTTTCTCGTTTCCATGGAGATAACTTGAACATAGACTCTGAATGGGGGTAAGCTTGGTTTCCGGACCATAACTCTGAAACCGTTTAATATTTTTTCGCGAAACTTTGTAAACACATTAACCCAGCACTGAAGTGGTGCCTTTTGTTATTTAGAGATTTTTGACATTTTTATTTTTTCTCGTTTCCATGGAGATAAGTTGAACATAGGCTCTGAATGGGGGTAAGCTTTGTTTCCTGACCATAACTCAGAAACCGTTTAATATTTTTTCGCGAAACTTTGTATACACATTAACCCAGCACTGAAGTGGTACCTTTTGCTATTTAGAGATTTTTGACATTTTTATTTTTTCTCGTTTCAATGGAGATAACTTGAACATAGGCTCTGAATGGGAGTAAGCTTTGTTTCCGGACCATAACTCAGAAACCATTTAATATTTCAACATTGACCTCAATACAAACAAAGCGCAACCTCTTCTGCAGGAACCCTTCACGCAGCTGATTGAAGTGTCCACTACCAGGAAAGAAACTGTTATTGACCATATTTATGTCAAGGATCTTTCACATCAGAGAGCTGGTGTGGTGCCTTGCTATTACAGTTTCCATGACATCACATATGTCATTGTGTAGAGACCTGCAGAGTCAGATACACGGGCAATTACATCACAGAGACTTTCCTTTGTGCCATATAACATTGCTACATCATTTCTGATATGTTGGGGATATTAATATATTTGTGTCCAAACTCTATTAGTACTTTAAGTGGATTTTCTACAAATACTTCAGTAATAAGAAAACTGTGCTACTTAGATGACTACACTGTCAGGTGGGTAAATGATTGAGGGATTAGTGGTGTTGATTAGACGCTGAAGTGGTGCCCATTAGTTGTTTGAAATTTCTAGTTCTATTTTTGTCTCTGTTATTTAGTAATGGAGGGTGGGAATGAAGAGATGGGGTTTAACGTGAAGTAAACCAATGAATGGGGGTTAGGGGGGTTGGGGGGAGACATATGTTTTTACGAGTAAAAACACTTTCTAGTTTTAAATATATATATAGTTAAAGCTGTAACTAAAATAACACGATATTGGAATATATTATTCTGATAAAATAATAATTTCAGATACAATTTCTTCCTTCAAATGGATCAAAATGTTTTGAAGTTGTATCATTGGGAATAGTTCTGGTATTTGACCAAAGCAAGTCAAATACCAGAACTATTCACGAATTTCATAAAATTGGTATTACACGGGAGCTCGTTTAGTATTTTATTTATTACTTGCCACTGTCACGTATGAATAGGCAGACACCTACACAATCCACAACGTAATCCAATTGAGTTTAACAGAATAATACTTCAAACGTCAAACATTGACACATATTAATTTAATACCATACAACGGTCCACCTTTAGAATTCAGGCGTCCGTTCCACAAAGTTATCGTAGCGCTAAGGTTATCAGTAACTCCCATATACCTAGACGTACAAGTGTCGTGGCGTTACAATTGCTTTGTGGAACGGAGCCCTGCACCACAAAGTTTACAATCACGTCACAATACCTGATGACGTAATTTGTGGAATTTTGTAGCAAGATCCATCAGCGAAACAATGCCATGTGATGTCAGCCTAGCAACAAGGTTGCTGGTGCCATCGAGTGTGCATAAACTTCTCTCAGTGATCTATCATCTCCACACGCAATGTCGTTGAATAAGCCAAGGGATGTTGAGAGTTTCATTATTTGTTCGTGAAACTTGTTCCGACAGTACATAAGCACACGTGTTGGTATTACACAATGTGTAATACAGCTGTATGTTTATTAAATGGGTGATCTCTTCATGGGCAAGTTATCATTATTGTTCTTGTATGTGTATCACTTTGATGTAAGAACAATTCCTTTATAAAACTGATGTACTGTACTGTTCTTATCAGCATTAAACTCAGGAACTCACTCACTCACTAACAACTCCCATTTGCAGATCGAACTCTACATCTGCAGACCTATAATACTTGGAATGATATCACCTCTACTGTCAACACGTACAGAAAAATGATTGATGCTGGCAAGGTAACGAAGTGTACCTGTTTTAAATGTCTGTGAGTCGCGTGTGCGTGTGCGTGTGCGTGTGCGTGTGCGTGTGTGCATCCCGAAATCGTTTCCGGAGCATAACTCAGAAACCGTTAAATATTTCTCTATGACACTTTGCATGTCTATCAGACTCATGCTGAACTGGTGCCTTTTGCTATTTAGGAGTTTTATAAATTTTTATTTTTTATGTTTCCATGGCAACAAGTTGGACTTCGGTTCTATAAGGGCGGTGTTCGTTTCCGGAGCGTAACTAAAAAATCATTAAATACTTTCTTACAAAACTTTGCATGTCTACTAGGCACATACTGGACTGGTGCCTCTTGCTATTTATGGAAATTTAGAAATTTTTATTTTTCACGTTTCCATGGCAATAAGTTGGACTTAGGTTCTATTAGGGTGGTGTTCGTTTCCGGTGGCAAGGTAAAGAAGTGTACCTGTTTTAAATGTCTGTGAGTCATTAGAATGTCCAAACACAGTTGATGATAATATACCTTTCTCACTGAAGCCTCTGCTGCCTGTGTAATTTTGAATTTGGCTGTCTAACGGTCCATAAGCATTTATATTAAATTATTGGCAGAATTTTTGTTTGTTTAGTAATTGCAAACAGATGAAAAGTGGTAATTCTTGTGTTGATATCAGGCTTATAGCCAATCTCATTAAAATCAGATCTAAGTTCTCGCTCCTGCAAAACAAAGATGTCGACTTCTAGTTAGTCACTTCAGTGGTCGGTCAAAGTTCGCGAAAGGTCGTTCTGACGTGACCCGTAATGGGATGTCCTCTGATCTTTGTTTAGCAATAGCAAGAACTAAGATCTGATTTCAATGAGATTACCTTATAGCGTGCTCGTAATGGGCTCTAATAACCTTTGAATCACATTGAAAACCAGTATGCTAATTTTCTTTTAATTCAAAGGAGAAAGAATTTTCTTTATGAATATCACAATAATTGAGGTAAAACCTTGTGTAGATAATAATTATTATATGTTCTTTTTGCACCATTGCAGTTGATGTTGCACAAACAAAGAATCTCAGAAACTGATGTGCCAAATGTTGTGATACTGGAGTGTTTGTTACCATAACAAGGCTTTCAAAGATCATACTGTCCTCTCACATCTGAACAGCCAATAAAATGCTTTTCCGTTGGCTAAAGATTTCACTGCATATGACTCCAGGGCCCACTTGCACAAAGCGATCTTAGCGCTACGACTATCGTAAGCCTATGTCAATCATGGGAGTTACGATCATCTTAGCGATAAGATCGCTTTGTGCAAGTGGGCCCAGGTGACTTCCCTGGTGAGCAAAAGTGATGGGCATATCTCTGTGTCTTTCTAGGCTCAAGGTAGTTACCAAAACCAATTTAGAACTTTTGATAATTGTAATGATTTTTTGTTTATCAGGCAGAACCAAGTAAAATGGTGAGAGGAATAATTGGATTTGGACATAACGCACTGACACAGAGTATTACCCCTCTCCTGAATGGTGACAAGATGCCTGTAATATCAACCAGGGAAAACAAGATTGAATTTGGAGACAAGGTAATGTCAAGTTTCTACAGAAATCCTCTCAAATTAACATATTTTCAGCCTCAGAAATTGGCGCTAGTCCTGTAGTCCTTACCAAACTGCCCAATAGTAAAGGTATCTTAAGGACTAGTAGAAATTGGCCCATTTTAAAGGTTTTGCTATATGTTATCATTATAAGGACTAGTGGACAAAAGCTGTCATCTCTAACCCTGATGTTAGGATGGACCCTTAACATATTTCTTGCCTCTGGTCTGTGAACAGTAGGTAATTATTAAAAGTACCTAAGTTATCATGTGAATTTTAGCTCTTGGAATGTCAGGTCAATTAACATTTTAATGTCTTTCCAATGTTTCCTAATTTTAACACTAAAACTTTGCTGTTTGCTGTTTAATGCCACACTTAGCAGTATTGTGGGGGTATGTAAATGATCAAATCAAGTCTGGAACTTACAAACCAGTGATTGATATTATGAACAACAATCAATACATATTGTCAGGTATGATGACATGCTCTCAACAAGGTTACAGAACCTGATCATGCAATACATACGTTGCAGCATATGACAACAATAGGGGGACTGGAATCACAATGGGGTGAACTTATGCTACTGTTAATATCAAACTTAATGATATTGGGAAGTTCATATGACATCATGTGACATGTTTGACAAAGTGGCTGATGTTAAAAACAATGTCATAATGCCATCAAATGCTATATGATACTGTAAAAACAGACATTAATATTGTCATGATTGTCCATGAAGATTTGACTTTTTTATCAGCTTCTCCGAAATGACTTGATGGTTGAAGTGTGTGGATGTTTGTTGCTATAAAGGGGTTCAAGTTTGTTCAAGGCATTCAAAACTTAAAGGGCCAGGAGCCCTTTGTTGGGTTACATCTTGATCGAATATCAAATCTGTCTCCCAGCAGCCTCGGAAAACATAAAAAATCATGAACTGTCCGTTGTGAACATCTTCTCTCCAGTAGCCATTGCAGCGATGAAGCTGAAACTTTAAATGCGTGTGCCCACTAATGGTGACACCTGAATTTGTTCAAGAAGTTTGAATCTGATTTTAAATACTGCATTCGATGTAATAAGCGCCCAGGGCGCTCTCAAAATTAGAAATAAGGGGCTCTTATTAGAATATTATTTTGGTGGAAAAAACAGTTGAACGATAAATTTCGTGGTTTATGTTTATATACGACAGATATATTTTTCGAGAATTTAATTGCCAATAATTAAGGGTGCATATAACACACGAGTGCGTATTATACACTAATTTATAATTCTTGCGTACATTGATCAATCAGAAGGGGTGCTAATTGGGATTGTTCACTTGCCAATATATTAGCAAATATCGCCGTGGGCGCTTATTAGAGCGGGGCGCTTATTACGTCGAATACGGTAGTCACAGCAGCCATAATGAAAGAGCTAATTGTGGCCATGACTCATTCAAATATGACATTTGGTATACTGTATTCGACATAATAATATTATTACGGCGATTTATATTATTACTCAGTGATATTTGCTAATATATTGGCTCGTGAACGATCCCAATTAGCACCAATTAGCACCCTTCCGATTGATCAATGTACACAAGACTTATTTATTCGTGTATAATACGCACTCGTGTGTTATATACACCCTAAATTATGGGCAATTAAATTCTGGAAAAATGTATAATACGCACAGACTTTTCTTTTGTAGCATTTCAGGCTGTCAGCATAAACCACGAAATTTATGATCTTTCAACTCTTTCACCAAAATAATATTCTAATAAGAGCCCCCTATTTCTTATTTTGAGAGCGCCCTGGGCGCTTATTACGTCAAATACGGGATGTGTAGGAACTAGTGGGTGTGAACTATGTTATTCCAGCAAATATCATCTGTTGCCTCATTGCAATAATCCTGTATTTAATCCAGAAGTTCTCTTCACTGTCAGCTGACCCTAATTAGTTGTGTGGGTAATAGTCAGCACACTTTGGTGGTTTGACACTGATAGTTAATCTCTAGTTTTTCAAATTATGTCATAAGATTCTTAAGAATCTCATATTTGGTTGATTAAGTTGAACTTGGTCATGAAAGTGCATTTACTGATGTGTCTTTGGGACGATGGGGACCCTCTCTGTCCACTGGCGACAATGACGTGCATCAATGTGGCAAGTACAAAATCTCTTGAGATCTGCATGCCACCAAACAACTGCTGCAAGAGCAGAGATGCTCTTTGCACATGTGATAAGAGATGTTTGATGTGGTCCTCTCTCTCTGAGGCTTCGTTCAACATGTTGGTAGACACTTGGGATAAAGAAACAGGAGATGAAGAAAGCCAGTGATACTGCTTCTAAGAAAGCCAGCTACTATGTCATGTACCACACCATCAAAGAAACAAGCCAAATTGAGGGGAGTCTTTGACTACTTCGACAGAATCTCAGGCAACACGTCAACCTCAAAGCACCACTAAAATCACATTTGGGGAATTGTATTATTATTTATTTGCCAGATCTACAACCCAAAGCTTAAGAGGAGCCTACATCCCAGAGGCAGGCCTCAAAGTTGCGACTAAATTGGTCGCCATGGCGATCTAGTTTTGTATTTTGCCACTGGTATTTTCATTTCAGTCGCCAACTGGCTCCTTGTCTTTAATTAAGTTTGGTGACTAAGTATCTCTTGTCATAAGATATTAAAAAAGATCGTTTTTAATATAAGTGTGGTAACTTCAGAAAAAAAAATCAATATCAGAACATAATAACATCGACTAGATCACTGCTAGGCTATGTGTACTGTTTTCGCTTTCGATATGAAGCTCCATACCTTGAATGAAGGAAGCGCTTTTCGTTATTAAGCAATGAACTAACGATGTTAAGAGTTTAGTACCCATACATGCACTGTATGACATCCGCCCAGGTGACAGCTATGGCGGTCGTTTCGCCGTTCAAAAACACGAAGTATTTTTCCATATTTGCGCAAGTCAAAACAACAACAAAACGTTGTCAATCGGCAAATGATGACGACTGCGCTCCTCCAAAGGGGAATGCTTTGAATGGCGAAGCTGACACGGAAGTTTAGTCGTCTAGCAATTCTTGTGTTAATTCGTTTGTTGACTCGTTCGATAAACCAAAACCTGCCACTGGCACTGGTAAACGAACATTCAAACAGGACTGGCTGAAATATGGCAAGATGGCACCATCTAAAAACATTATATTTTTAATTGACAGGAAGATAAATTAATTAATTTTAAATGAACTTTGAAATTAAAAATAAATAAATTTCATGAAACCATGCATTAAAATCATTTGATGATCTGATGTAAATAAATTTGGAGAATGAAACATGATGTTATAGATTAGATTTTATTTTGAACATTAAAAAAATGCTGAATTTGTAAGATACACTACATCAGTTGAAATATAACATAATTATCAGTATTGTTATGTCCTGAAGCTTGTCTGATGATGTTACTGACACAATGTTCTAAAGCTTGTTTGTTCATGATTTAAAACTGATTATTCAAACTAATATATTTTGTTATGTATGGCTCCTTACATTTTGCCTTGGCTCCTTGAAAACAAATTAAGGAGCCAAGTGGCTCCTTTGAAAAAAATGTAACTTTGAGGCCTGAGAGGCTAGAATGTCCGAGGTTCTACTGTCCATCATCATCAGATCCACTACAAAATGTCATACCCTTCAATGGCCGAGCTTCACAAAGCAAATCATCAAATGGGCTAATGAGAGCCTTTGATGACGACAGGTTACAGCAAACCCAATTGAAAAAAAATGAATATTCCAGAATCATGATATTTAGTTCCCAAACCTTCCTTCAGTTGATAAGGGTTATGTTAAGTTGGGGAAGTCTCCCAGCAACTAGGCCATGTGCCAGATGTTAAAAGTTAACATATTGGTACCGTCTGGAAGGACCAAGAGATATACTGAGTTGAGATTGCTACACGTTTATAGATATTAAAAAAACATGATGGACTTGTCAGTGGTAGCTTAGTCTCAGAATGAGGCTCAATCCAAGATGGCCACCAAAAACAATACATTTCTTTAGAAAATAACTTCACATTGGTTACAATGACAAATCTACAGCACTTAAATGCTGTGTCACGCAAACATTATTTAAGTTGATAAATACACAAAAATCTGGCTGTACTATTGATGGTTTATTTATATATTTTGATATCATAAACTTGTTGCACTTTTATGTTTTCCACATAATGACAAAGTTCCTCTGAAATTATACTCACATTTATATTGCCATCATTTGTTATATGACATGTTAAATGCATGGATTTTCATAAACAAGATGTCATTGGATTTGGAGTATCGCATGTGATGCCACAGACAGTCTGCTGATAATCTTTCGTTATAAAATATTACAGTAATTTTGGAAATATTACATGTTTCACATCAACAGTAAACACAAATCAATACATGTAGGATTACACGATGTCATACCGCTATTCAGGAATCGTACAATGGCATGCTGATGCATCCTTCTCGATGGGGTTGGACCAAAATGTCTACCCAGATCACAGACATCTTGTCAACACTGCTTTCCTAGAAGAATCTCTCAACCAAAAGGGCAAGTTGGGAGTCAAGGTGTTTTGGGGGTGGACATAGAACTAAGAAGCTCTCTACAATTCCTTGTCTCTCCAGGCATGGAGGTCACGTTAGACCTTTGACCGTGGGTTCCTAAGTAGGAAGATATCCAGTCGTCAGAGAAGAACTTGCTTCTCAATATTTTGAGAAGCCAAGCTTTGACAAACATTGTACGGGGACCAGACGGCACCGGGATAGGTACTTCTAGTCGATACCTAACTGCCTGTGCCATACATGCTAAACTGTACATCACAGGTCTGGGTTCAAGTTTGGAAATTGGAATCCTACGGTCACCGACTTTTTAAGCATCCGGGAATCTTACTGTGACTGGGGTAGTTGGATCTGACATCTATACCCATCATCCAGGACATCATGGGAAGAGACAGATACAAGAGTGGTTCCACTGGCGCTGTACGGTAGCCAGGTAGACTCAAGAGAGTCATGAAAACTAGGACAAACAGCCATTTACTTTGTTGAAAGTACATCATGACCGATCTCTAGTCTTTTTTCCGAGCCATTCTGTAAGATAGAGACCGTAAGCCAGGGCTCGATTTGAGGAATTTGATTTAACCTGCACCGGTCATCATCTGGTCTGTTTATCCATCCATTTTTTGTTTCTGGAGCTTTGCTTGAAAACAGTTATAGATTTTTCATTCAAACTTGTTACATGTTTTAACCAGGGGCTAAAGTGGTACCATTTGCTATTTCGGGATTTTTAAAAAAAAAAAATTTTCCATTTCCGTAGCAACAAGATTGACTTTGGTGTGTTTGTCAGGACCTTATCTCTAAAACTCATGAAACTTTGCACACACAAAGACCAGGGTGACATACAAAACAACCTTAACGCTACGAGTCGTAAGTCTGTGTTAAGGTATGGGAGTTCTGATCACCTTAGCCCTAAGATCGCTTTGTACAACGGCACCCTGGTTGTCAACTGGTGCCTTTTGCTATTTAGGGATTTTTTTCCAAGGCAAAAAGTTTGATATTGACTCTGTTCATATTTGTGTGCACCTGACAGAGAAATTCAAAGTTCCAGTCCTAGTTCCATGGTATTGTTGTGATAGCTCAATAACTACTCATGTATACGAACAGACAGATAAGATGGAAATCAGATGATTTGTTCTTTCGAATTTTAGAGGGACTTGGGGATTTGTCATCTTCTGATAACTCTTGTTGTCTCAAGGCTTCAAAGAATAAAGTGTGTTTAGGGCTAGTTTATTGACAAGTGGTTACACCCATATTTGCAATTTCAATGTCTGAATTCCTGTTTTGTTGCCAACCAGTCACTGTACCCATACTACAACAGACTGGCTTGGAATGAGGGCGCTGCAATTCACAGTGTGTTTCTTGCTGCAAAATCAAGAAAATGGACCCATATAGTAAGTACTGGTATATTAGCTGGTATTGCGTACTGGTATATAAACATCAAAACAGCAGTGTCATGTTTGATCATTGCACAAAATGTAAGTGTATGGATTCTAAAGTGGTGTTTTAACATGAGGTACTATGCCATAGGGCAATGATAGGGTGAGGAGTGTGTGTGTGTGTGTGTGTGTGTGTGTGTGTGTGTGTGTGTGTGTGTGTGTGTGTGTGTACTCATTTTACTGTCTATGCAATCTCCCATTATAGTTGTTTTCATCAAAACTGTTCATCACTTTTCCGTTTTCTGTTACAGTTGATTATACGATCTGCAGGATACGAACTTAACAATATCATCTATGACAAAGCTCAAAGCAATGGAATAAGAATTATGGGAGAGGTAAATATTCAGATGCATGTGTTTTCGCTCTTAGTTACATCGTTCTTATCTTCAGGTAAAATACCTGAGACCAGTTTTCATAACAAAAAGCTTTAGGTGTGATCTGCTTAACTGACATAAGAGTGAGTGAGTTGGGTTCAACACCTCTTTTAACAGTATCATATTTATATCACCATGTGTCAACTTAATGTGGGAGGAAAGCCCGAAGTGATGCAGGTCTCAGACCTTACCACTTTGGTGAAACCCACGAGTAGGGGTATGGTGCTGACAAACCTAAAACATAATTGTGGTTAACCGGGATTCGACCCACAATCATAGGTTTCTCAGGCGTGCCCAAGGGACGCAACTCAGCACAGTGAATTGCGACGCCTTAGAAGACTGGGCCATCCGTGTCCATACATTCTTCCAAACTGTTGTTAAAATAATATAATAATTGTTCAGCAAATACTGAAAATTCACTAGATAAAAATAATCATCTCCTGTTGCCCAAAATTATCCCTTAATTCTGAAAGAGTTGAATTCCTGAGTTCAGTGTCCTTTTTTGTCATGTATTCTCGTGTTTTATCAAAAACGTTCAGAAAGTATACTGTCTGAAGTTTATTTACTAGGTGTTGAAAATCATTTATAGGGTTTTATTTAGATCATCTCTGCCTTTTCACATTGTACTGGAAGGACTTACCTCGATTGCCGGTGACCCCAAAAACACTGCGTCCTGGAAAGACTAGATGTATTTAATGACAACTTCTAACAGTATATGAATGAAAATAAGATAAATGTTTTTTGCTTAGTTCAGTTACTTTATTTTTAAAACAATTTAATCAGTTAAGTTGATTTTGTTGGATAGAAAACTTCAGGGCCATTGAACCCTCAACCCCTAAACTCAAGCAATTAAGATTTTTTATCCAACATCAAACTTTTGAACTGGTCCCTCAGAGTTCACAATCGTTTCTGATTTTTCCTTTGAAATACTTCAATGTGACAATTGATCACCACGACACAATCAGTTTCAAAATGTGAAATGCGAACAGTGTCATTTGTGACAAGCAAGTATGATATATCCGTACAGGCTAACCATACGACTTCCATGGGGTGTTTTTCATGACATTGTATCGCCAGTCAGAGAGCTGGGTTCTTTGTTTATGAAACCCCTGTGTTGTCATGGGCAGGACTGAAATCGTACCTAGTTCTGAGTCAAATTAGGTTGAATTATTCTAAATGTAGTATATTCTTGATTATGGTAATAAAACATTTCATCAATCAATGTTTTTTCATATTCAGGTTGTAATTCCAGAATTAAGACCTGAGGATTGGGTAAGAGGTGATTTAGATTATACAATGGCAAAAATGAAAAACTTGGGAACAAGGATCATCTTTTCGTATGTCACAGCTCCACTCATCTACCATGTCTTGAGAGAAGCTTACAAGTAGGTATAAAGTTGGGAGATGATTATGGATAAATAATTATAAACGAAACAAAAGTTTACATGTGGTTTATGTGCAATCTCATTAAAATCAGATCTAAGTTCTCGCTGCCGCTAAACAAAGATCTGAGGTCATCCCATTACGGGTCACGTCAGAATGACCTTTCACAGACTTTGACCGACCACTAAAATGACGAACAAGAAGTCAACATCAGCCAATTAGAAAGCAGCTTTCTCGAGCTTTACGGCACTCGTTTCAACCTGGCGACTTCTATTTCAGACTACGCTTGAAAAATATGTTGACACAGTTATCAATTAAAATTTTGAAAACTGAACAAACGAACATTCCGGAATGTCTTATGTGGTTGAGATTGTATGGCAGTGCTTCCCACGTACTGTGCAATACCTCCTCCGTTCAAATGTTTATCCCACGGAAGCGAGAGACGGAATCAGTCATACAGGCCGTTACTGTCGTTCGGTATACCCTGTGTTAATGTTTTTGAGGTTGCATGATTAGAAAACACATTCCGACTGTCACTTTCATGATCTGGTAAGCGACGCTTTGATTTGTCGGATGAAAGGCCGTTCTGACGTCACCTGTAATGGGATATCCAGTGATCTTTAGCGATAATGAGAACTAAGATCTGATTTTAATAAGATTGGGTCTATGTGGTATCAGATGGTGACAGAGACTTTTGGACAGTGCTTTGATAAGTCACCTCCTTAGAATAATAGTGTTGTTCAGATTTAGCAGTTTGAGCATTGTCCTTATATTGTTGTGTTTTATTTTATGACATTCTTGGTGACACAATAGCTAGACTCTTAATGATGCTTATGATAATCAGCTTGGATTTTTATAGAATTATTTCCTATACTATATATTAGAAGGGGGTCAGTCCATCCATGTAAGATATCGTTTCTGGAGCAGATCTTGACCATATTCCTTCACCAAACTAGGCACACAGATAATTCTACTGGTGAACTGGTGCTTTTTGATTGTTTGGGATTTACAAAAATTATTTTTTTTAAATTGAGTTTCCATGGCAACAAATTTGACTCAGGCTGTAAAATGGTGGTAGTGCTTGTTTCCGGGGCCGATCTTGATGACCGTACAATATTTCTCCCAAAAAATGGCACAAAGATAGGTCTCGTGGTGAACTTGTGCCTTTTGATAGTTTGGGATTTTCGAACAATATGTACAAACAAACAAACTGATCCATGGCAAAGGGAACAGGTGCTTCAAGATTTCTGTCGCTGGCGGCACCAGCGCCTGGCTCCCCAGCGTGAAAGTCAGGTTGTCACCAAGAGAATCTCAGACTCTCTTGCGACTGCCTTTTGCATTTTGTCTCTTTAGGGGGTGTCATGAAAAGTGATGTTCATGGGGAGGGTCATAAAAAATATGACAAGCATTTGGGAAGGGTAAATAATTTCTGTATATTAGTGCATCAATTACTTCCAATAATCCAATGAATTCCTTCTCGTAAGAAAAATGCACAATTGACATCTAGAATCCAGAGTGCAAGTAATATCACTGGACTTGAAACATTATGTATGAGGATCAATGGGAATCTGATGTAATAGAGGTAAGATATTGGCAGGAATTACATGTGTTCAAACCATCTTGATTTCTAGCTACGGAATGTCTTCCTTACATGGATACCAATGGGTCTTTGTCAGCATCTTTATTTGGCAATTCCCCTGGGGGAACCAGCATGCAGAATGTATGGAGGTATGAAAAAAAGAGGAGTCTTATTTCATAACTTTGATCATCTGTGTTTTGTAATAAAACTGAACTTCTGGACTAACAAATGAATAACAGTACAAATTTTACTGTATATATTTTTCCCAAGCAACCCTATTTTATGGTCATATTTTTTAGAGCCTTTTAGGAGTTAGTCTAATATTAACTGATTAAAATTGCAGTTTTTAAGAACATGTGCAGCAGTCATTGAATGAAGAAACTATATATTTGTGGTTACTTTAAGTCTTTGTTTTTTAGACACCGATCTGTACAGTAGCTTATAGAGGAACACATGGATTTGCGTCAACGTACGATCTAACAGCCTACACGTCTGACGACTGGTTCAGAGTCATGGGTTACCACATGTATAGTGATCGATCAGTTTACCATGGCCGAGTCAAATATGTCATCCATGAGGTAAATTTTCATTTCACAACCCATGCGGAGATTCCAGGTTTGAATTGGTTCCCAGCAACTGATGCTTGGCGAATAAGGCGACTTACTGAATCAGGTTGATAGAGAGTACCCTGAGGGCATGAATTGTTGCTCAACATATCAATCAAGTGGGTTTTTTTCTGGTTCAGAGTCAATTATTTACAGGCCCCTGCCATATAGCATATTACTAAAGCATTTATTGCTGAGCAGTGATACAAAGTAACCTTAAAAGATTAAATATCCATAATAGTGATTTTACTTGCAATGAAGCCAACTGAAAATCCTTACATTCTACTGGCCCCTGGACATCTTCGTCCTCTATGTGTCCAGGGATAGCATTTCGGTAAATGACGTGTGAAGACCTGGGTTGGAATTGGTTTTCAGCAACCCATGCTTGCTGCAAAAGGCGACAATGCTTGTCGTAAGAGGCGACTAACAGAATCGGGTGGTCAGGCTTGCTGACTTAGTTGATGCATGTCATTGTATCCCAAATGCGTGGATCGATGCTCATGATGTCAAACACTGGATTGCCTGGTCCAGACTCGATTATTTACAGACCGCCGTCATATAGCTGGAATATTGCTGAGTGCGATGTTAAACAACAAACAAACAAACATTTCGGTAAACCTAAACTAACCCCTGGATCAATGTCCGTGGTTCTCACAATCTCAAATTACCCACGCTTGATTTCCGTTTAGACAGTTTGATTGGCTACGCTACTAGGTCTAACATACCAATCAGAATGCGAGTTACAGACCAGCCTCAATCTTGGGTTGGCGAAATCAACAACATAGCGGCCAGTCCCATTGATTACGACAGACTTTGTGATAAAGTTCAACGTTTGAAAAACTCACTGATATACAATAGAAAGCCTCAAAAATCTTTTTGATGGAAAGGATGTCTTCATATCCATCAAAACTGGCGGCGGCTTTGGTTTTTTAGGCAATATGAGTTACCTCCCTTAACCGTTTTCTTTTTCCTTATTTGGACGTTTGATTGGTCGGTACAATGTTATTGAAATCAAGGGCAGGTAATTTAAAATCGCTAAAACCTTGTGAATGGACCCGAGGGTTAGTGTAGGTTAACCAAAATGCAAGCCCTGGAGATATAGAGGATGGGGTGCCTTTAACTTTAGACAAAGTGAAGACAAATGAAAGTGTATGTCAGAATGGAGCTGACTTTATTACATGTATGTTAATGCAAAGACAGATTTTCCTGACCAATACCTAAAAATATATTCCATGTTTTCTTTCTAGGTAGGAGCAGAGTTTGCTTTGGGCTATGATGCCGTCAGGGCAATGGCAACAGCAATGAGCGACTTGATTGATCAACGACAGACAATCACTGGAGACAAAATTGCACTGGCAGTGAGAAATGTACGACTTTGAGATAAACTTTTCACTTTTGTTGAGCTGAAAATGTACATGAAACAACTTTGGTTGTGACTTGTGAGAAATGGTTCAGAATAACATTGGGGATACAGGGATAGAAACTAACAGTTATAGTCCACTAGTCCTTACAATGATAACATATAGAAAAACCCTTAAGATTGGTAAATTTCTACTTGTCCTTATGATACCTAAACTATTGGACAGATTGACAAGGACTATAGGACAAGTGCCAATTTCTAACGCTGGGATATTATGTCGTCATTCATTGTCACTCGTGTTGTGTCAGGACATTCATAAATTTCTTTCCTAACTGTACATAACAACTGTACATTACAACACCAGTGAAGATCCGGGGTAGAATAGGTCTTCCGCAACCAATGCTTGCCGTAAAAGGCAACTATGCTTGTCGTAAGAAGCGACTAATGGGATTGGATGGTAAGACTTGCTGACTTGGTTGATGCATGTCATTGTATCCTAGTTGCATGGATCGATGCTTATGACGTCAATCACTGGATTGTCTGGTTCAGACTTAATTACAGACTGCCGTCATATAGCTGGACACGCCGCGATAAATTGGAATACTGTTAAAACCTAACTCACACACACAGATATAGCTGGAATATTGCTGAGTTAGGCTTTTAAACAACAAACAAACAAAGTACATTACAAATGTACTAATTTTCTTTTAGGGAATCAATAAGATTCGTTCAATCATGAAAGCAAGAACTGTTTGAGTGGTGATTACTTTTAGCACATGGGAGTGTATGTTGTTTGAAGTCTCCAATCACTGTTGTCTGTGTTATCCATAATCTTTACATTTTGAACCTCTTTTCCGAAATGGCTTGGATTCAGCTGAAAGTTTTTGTTGACAGATGTTTATTATTTTAAGGGGTTTCAAGTTGGTTCAAGGAATCAAAATTGAAATTTAGCCATTTGGCAGACAGCAATCTTTGATCTATTTTTTAAGATATCCCATTTGTTCATCATGATTGATATACATGTGATGGTTTTTATTTTTTAATGCTTTTTTTTTACTAAAAACAAGCGATGTGTGATGGCAGTCTTGTTCACAACATACTTGATAGTCTCATTGTTTTCTATTTCTCATTGCTGCTACTCTTTTTCAAACTACTTGACTTATATTCAAAAATTCTCTCTTCATTTAAAGGGGAAGTGTACACACAAAAATCACTTTCTTTCTTTTTCTAAACAAAACGCAATTTTAGAATTAGTTAGTATCCGTGTTTGAAAATATACACTCATTTTTTTCACAGTGAAAGTAGGAAGCTCACAATAGTGTGAAAATGATATGCCGTTATGAGGCCTTGTTTTTCGAGCTAAACAGGCCTGAGTTATCCCCCTTAGATTATGACGTAATTGGTGCCAATTCAACTGGGTCCCTGTCTATTCTCAACGCAAAAGATATCAAGTACAAGTTTTCGGTAAAACAACATGGCCTACGACACACTCCGGCGCAGTGGTGACTCAGCATAACACTATGCTGGCTGGCATCTGAGACGCTAGAATCACACACCTGTACCTACACCACGTGAAGCGGCTCTAACAAAGCATGATGACGTCATAATGTTTATCAATTGGCACCAATGACGTCATATTGCAAGGGGCATAAGCCATGGTGTTTTTGTTATGGAAATAGAACACTTGGTAAATGTGAAAAATATAAATCGTTTTAATGCAAAACATATGTTAATTAATTGTGATATTTTTATTTTTTTGTCTATGACACTTCTAGGTTAACACTTTTATTGTGGAAAAAGTACAAGAAAATTAGGTTCATTTCCGTGTGAACTTGCCCTTTAAGGATAAAGTATTTTAGTCTGGAGCTTCTGCACTGTTTGTCAGTGAACACTTTTGGGTAGAAAACACATCCTTCAATGGGAAGTCCATGTGATTATTTGATCTTCTTCCCTGTTTGCCTCACAACCAAACAGTTTCACCCCTCCTCACAGACTTTTTGTCCCTTTCAGTGTTTGAAATAATTTTGATACCCAACAAGACAGTTGTGCAAATGATCCATAAATGTTGCCTGTCCATCTTCAAAGTTACCTGCCCGCATTCAGACATTGTAATAAAATTGGAAAAAATAAGAGACAAATCGTGTCTTGATTCAGTTGATAAAATGCACACAATTAATTGAGAATCTACAAGGAGTTGTAATAAAACTGAATACAGAGCTGTGAATACGCGGTGTTGCCGCGATATCTCAAGAACTAAACCTCTCGATTGTCTTCATATTTGGAACTATGGTGTATATACAGACTCCGCAGACACCAGTCGGTTTTGGTGACCTTGATCCCATTTTCAAGGTCACAGCAGACAAATCTGCTTTTAGAGTTGGAAAACGGTGTTGCCGCGATATCTCAAGAACTAAACACTGGATTGTCTTCATATTTGGAACTATGGTGTATATACAGACACCAGTCGGTTTTGGTGACCTTGACCCCATTTTCAAGGTCACAGCAGGCAAATCTGCTTTTGGAGTTTGAAAACGGTGTTGCCGCGATATCTCAAGAACTAAACACTGGATTGTCTTCATATTTGGAACTATAGTGTATATACAGACTCCGCAGACACCAGTCGGTTTTGGTGACCTTGATCCCATTTTCAAGGTCACAGCAGGCAAATCTGCTTTTAGAGTTGGAAAACGGTGTTGCCGCGATATCTCAAGAACTAAACCTCTCGATTGTCTTCATATTTGGAACTATGGTGTATATACAGACACCGCAGACACCAGTCAGTTTTGGTGACCTTGACCCCATTTTCAAGGTCACAGCAGGCAAATCTGCTTTTGGAGTTAGAAAACGGTGTTGCCGCGATATCTCAAGAACTAATCGCTGGATTGTCTTCATATTTGGAACTATAGTGTATATACAGACACCGCATACACCTGTCAGATTTGGTGACCTTGACCCCATTTTCAAGGTCACAGCAGGCAAATCTGTTTTTGGAGTTGGAAAACGGTGTTGCCACAATATCTCAAGAACTAATCGCTGGATTGTCTTCATATACAGTGTGTATATGGCGGGGGATATTTCGTCACTCTGTGACAAATACTTGTTTAAATCTTAAAATGTTCACAAATTTGGGGAAAAACCCAATAGAGTGATGAATAGATGAGTGAAAAAATGTTGGTTACCCAATTAAAAATGTTGGTTACCCAACTAAAATAGAAACCCTAGAGTTAAAACTCAATTGCTCAAAAAGTTATCTGGAGCTCTGTGAATACATATGTAGTCTTAAAATTATTAGCAAGACAGTCTGGCAGGAGAAGGAAAATTTCATGCAGCCCCATAGAAAAGTTACTAGCCATGGGCAGGCAGTTATTTCTGACAGTGGTCTCTTGACATGAACTTTGACCTATGAATTGGGATACGATGACATGAATAAACCAAGTCTGACCACACAATACCGTTGGTCACCTATTCTCCAAAATGTTGTCCCAAATGTCCTGAAGATATGTTTTTTATCCCCCGCCCAACAAAGTTGGCTGGGGATATAGAAACGGGCTCTGTCCGTCCGTCACGTTTTGTTTCCGGAGCATAACTCATAAACCGTTCAATATTTTTTCATCAAACTTTGCAGGTCTGTCAGGTACATGCTGAACTGGTGCCTTTTGCTATTTAGAAATTTTAGAAATTTTTAATTTTATCTTATCCTTACTCATACTTATTACTCATTTGTATGAGTCAGGATAAGTATAAATGACATTTTTACTCTAAAAATACATTTATTTTACGTTTCCATGGCAGCAAGATGGACTTATGTTCCAAACTCTTCTTTTTTTTACAATTTCCGTGACAAGTTCCACCTCGGTTAAAAAAGATTAGGGTTTGTTTAGATTTAATTATGTCATAAATTCTGCAACAGGGGCGGGGGATATAGCCACGTTAGTGGCAAACTCTTGTTATATTGCTGATCATGGTGATGGTATTGAAAAATGTCCTATGAAAATGTCGTTATAACATTTGTCGCCAGCAAAGTCACTTCTTAGATGGAGCTTGAATAAGCTATTTGCATTTTTATACATTAACAACATGCACTCGCTCAGTCTGATTTGTATTTGTTCCAGGTAACTTTTGCAGGATTAACAGGAGGTGTATCATTTGACGTTCAGGGCAACAGACCTGGTTATCGAGGATTTCTTGTACATTGTAATCCTATTCCACCACTGTTTGGAATCCAGCCAACAAATGCAAGTATTTGTGTTCGCTCGTTGATGTTATAACAATCAATTTTGAGTGCAAATAAGCCTTTCACAATGCGGTGAGCATTTCTCCAAGATATATCAAATACCTTTCCTCCTCACACTTCTAACATCACTGAGGGGGCACGGGTGGCCCAGTCGTCTAAGGCGCCGTGATTCGCTGTGCAGAGTTGCCTATGATTATGGGTTCAAATCCTGGTTCGCCCCTATTATGTTTCTAGGTTTGTCAGCACCATACCCGTGCTCGTGGGTTTCACCGAAGTGGTAAATGTCTGAGACCTGCATCACTTCGGGCTTTCCTTCCACATTAAGCTGACATGTCGCGATATAACTGGAATACTGTTAAAAGCGGCGTTATACCCAACTCACTCACTCTAACCTCACTAAAAGTACCGAGCAATTTGAATTGATTGTTCAACAAATTCTGTATTTACCTCTAATCCAATTATAAATGGTATTCTTTATTGACATAAAAAACATGAGCAGACATGAGTATTAACATCGCGGCACTTTCTGTTTATATCAAAAGGTGCTAATCAAATTCAGCTGCTTAACACTACTCACAATATTCAAGTAACAAATTAACAAGCTTGAGGTGAGAATGACATTTTCGTAATTCAATACGGTTTTGTTAATATTCAGTTTCTGATGACTAATCATGACGAGGTGATGTAGGTAGGTTGACTTATCTACCAGACGTACCATTTGATACAGGTTTCTAGGATGAAGTTAATACCTTGGCTAAACTAGGAGGTCGGCTTATCTACGGTCATATATGGTACATATTGATACATATTGATACATTGGTTGAAAACTTGATCAGTATCACAGAATTTTATGTTTCAAAATGTTCAATGTTTCAGGTAGCCATCTTTGTACGAACTATGATAATGGACAGTGAAGAGGCAACTGAACAATTAGAAGTTGTAATGGAGGCCTTTTATCCTCTCTACTTGCCGCCATATAATTATACGCTTGGACAGACTGCATATCCTAACACAACAAAAATGAACACACGATAGTAAGTACTATATACATTTACATCCTTGCTTCCAATAAAATGGAGTTATTTCAAGTTACCACCCACTTGTCAAAAACTTAGAGCATATGTCCTACTTAGATGTAAATTGTAGAGATTGAACATGACCATTGGGCCATCAGCTCATCCATCCTGTGATAATGATAGATGACCCTGGCACTTGTGCTTCTTCACCTTCTCAATTTTGACTTCATTTGGGCGATTATTCACTCCTATGAGGTCTGTCATTCTCTTTGTTTTTACGTAGCACCATATGACTTTAGCCACAAGTCCAAAGTCAGAGTCTAGTAAATTGTCTTCTGGTCTAGAAAGATCATCTTATACTATTCCATATTAGGCTAAAACATATTAAAAATACCCAAATACCCAAATAGACATCTCACAAGTTCTTGGCACAGACTGAAGTAGTTGCTTGTCATTTAAAGCTGCCAAGCGAGACCAATCCTGATCTGTTTTGTTGCTTGCACATAACCAATCTGTTTGTCTTTTGAGACAATAAAATATTTGGGACCTCCAACATTTGACTAATTTTCATTCAAATTTGATTTAATTTACAGCTACAACTCTACAAGTGGTATGCTTTCTAGAAATACACAGAATATCGTACCAATCCCTCCTTCTACAGCAACACCCGTTCCTATGCTTCGATCAGAACCTGCAGTGGCACCGTTCTTCTGTTCTTCTGGATGTGGGGGACATCTGCTAAATCCCGCAGACATCAATTTCTATACATTTGGAACATGCACAGCCATGGAAACTTGCACGTGCGTTGTCCTTTCCTTTCTTTTTTCCTGTTTATCAATTAAACTTAAGTTAAAGCTGTGTCCTGTGCCCAACCGCCGTCCTGTTGTGGACAATGGTGTCTACTTTGGGGTTTCTAGAGGACATAAACAAATATTGGTATTTATGGGTATGCCCAACCACCATCCTGTTGTGGACAATGATGTCTACTTTGGGGTTTCTAGAGGACATAAACAAATATTGGTATTTATGGGTATGCCCAACCACCATCCTGTTGTGGACAATGATGTCTACTTTGGGGTTTCTAGAGGACATAAACAAATATTGGTATTTATGGGTATGCCCAACCACCATCCTGTTGTGGACAATGATGTCTACTTTGGGGTTTCTAGAGGACATAAATAAATATTGGTATTTATGGGTATGCCCAACCACCATCCTGTTGTGGACAATGATGTCTACTTTGGGGTTTCTAGAGGACATAAACAAATATTGGTATTTATGGGTATGCCCAACCACCATCCTGTTGTGGACAATGATGTCTACTTTGGGTTTCTAGAGGACATAAATAAATATTGGTATTTATGGGTATGCCCAACCACCATCCTGTTGTGGACAATGATGTCTACTTTGGGGTTTCTAGAGGACATAAACAAATAATGGTATTTCGTAGTCAAAGGTGACATCCAATGTCTAGAATGTGCTCGGCAGTAGTATGTTGTTAATCCCTTGAAGTCAACATAATTATGGTCAGTCCCGCGTCCAATGTGAATTCAGAGTCAGTGACGACCACAACACTTTTCCACTACTACCCATAGATAGTCAGATATTTGTGAACAGAAAATTTCATGTTTGTTTTAGTTTTCAACAGATATATATGCTTTGTGTACAAACTAGTAAGAATCCAAATCCGTATATCGATGTGTATAAGGCAAGTTTTTCAAAACTAGAATTAGGAGGCTTTTTTTGGAGTGGGGTGGGGGGTTGGGTGTCATCTTTTACACAGGTTTGAAGAGGTTTTTTTAATTTTCTTTGTCCCCAACACTAACACATTACTGTGAGCACGTAGCACTGGAAATACCAAATCTGTGCTGAAGTACGCAAATTTATCATGTAATTACACTGTCTGGTTGTAAAAAGAGTTCATAATATTTCTGGACTTATATTTGTAATCTATTTTATTAATTTTATTCAACATTTCATTCAATAGTGTTTCAATTCATTTTGGCGAAATCGTATGTGAAGTGATCGGAAGATCACACAAGTCACCGTTATTTACAGCAACCATGGTCATATTACCGCTATTGAGGCCTTGAAACGAACTTTAGTGGATAGAGAATGGATATATATATATATCATAAATGCCATACATTGAACCCCTGAAAGTCTTATTTGTTGTAGTTTGACTATTATATGTCAACATAAAGTTTTCGCAATCGCGGCCGCGGGAGCATTGGCGGTGATTGGTCAAATTCTTTCATACGAAAAATATCAGCCAATAGCGATCAGCTAAACCAAAGTGCTACGCTTATGGTTATTAATTTATTTCACATGTATAAAGTAAAGCTGCAACTAACATGATATTGGAATAAATTATTCCTGATAAAGTAATAGTTTCAGATACAATTCTTCTGCTCATTGTATCAAAATTCTTTAAAGTTATATTATTGGTAATTGTTGACCGAATCACGGGTAGGTTCCGAGAAACGTGTGTACAGCTGATTGCCACTTCCGGCTTAGTTTACGAGACAAGACACACTGTAATCTTAATCTCAGCATATTAACAATGCCAATCAGAACAGGAAATACAATTTAATTGGTAAATCATGTCTAGTGATGTTTTATCTCAAATTTCAAATTTGTATTGACCAAGTTTAATTGTTATGACCTGTTCATTTCCCTGAATTCGCTGAAGGGATAGGATGTAATTTTCTTTCTGCGGAAGACAAACACGTTTTTATTGCAAATGTAGGTATGTGTATGCGCTGGTGGCGTGCTTCTTTCCTATTCGCTCTAAAGACGGGGTATATAAATTAGCATCGATTTCTCGCTTATTTTACGAGACATAAAAATATGTAAATCTTAACCTCTGCGTATGAAACATTGTCCCGGATACAGTACACGGATACCATTGAATTAGTAAATCATCATGTCTAGTGATGTTTTATTGCAAATTTCATATTTTCATTGACCAAATTTGCAAACGGCAAAACAAGTACACTCCTATTGCCACCATGAGATGCGCAGAAAAGCAGTGCGCATGAAAAGGGAAGTAACTGTATGCTATATTGGATCGCATTGTTTTTAAGTATTGTAGCATTTCACTGTAGGGGTCGTATGTCTGAGACGCAAAATATTTAAGGTTTGTTTTTTTATGAAAATGGAAATGAAAACAAAACGTGTGGCGGCGGCCTTTATGATGATGCGGCCTGTGCCTGAGAACCAAGAATATTGTTTTTTAGCCTAAGGGTCAATCTCAGTAGTCACATACGATAGGAACCCGTGAAGATCTGAGTTTGAATAGGTCTTCAGCAACCCATGCTTGCCATAAAAGACTATTATGCTTGTCGTAAGGGGCGACTAATGGCATCGGGTGGTCAGGTTTGCTGACTTGGTTGATGCATGTCATTGTATCCCAATTGCGTAGATCAGTGCTCATGATATCAATCACTGGATTGTCTGGCACAGTGCATTATTTACAGACCACCTTCATATAGCTGGAATAGTGCTGAGTGTGGCGTTAAACAACAAACAAACATACGATAGCTAGATTTAAACACAAATGCAAAAGGATATCTGTGTTTGTTTGCAGATGTGAACCTGGATACTATGGAGATGATTGTAGCAATATGATCTGTTCCTGCAAAAACGGCAGATGTGATATCCCAAGTGTTTGTATCTGTGAAGCTGGTTGGCGTGGTGCTTTTTGTGAGCAGGCTATTTGCAAGTAAGCACCAATTTCAAGTGGACATTTTTTATCAGTATTACGTAATTACAATATAAGCAGCCTAAATTCCTCAGAAGTCCACATTTTCAAATCTAAATCCTGCTACAATGATAGAAATTTGACAGTGACTACAGTCAATATAGTTCCAACTGAAGCTTGCATTTGAGACGGTGCCATAACTATCATGCAGGGTTAGAAATTGGCACTAGTCCTATAATCCTTACCAAACTGTCCAATAGTTAAAGTATCATCAGGACTAGTAGACATTTGCCTTTTTGAAAGGTCTCAATGTAATCATTATAATGACGACTGGACAAAAAGTGTTAGTTTGTTTCGCTGTCCTATTATTTCAGGTCTCTGAAAACTTGTCCCCAAATATTGTAATTTATTACCTTGTCTATGAAACCAGTGTTAAGGACCAGAAACCTCTATATGGCTGTTGTATTCATCAGAATAAATGTATTGATCTACACATCAAAAGTGATGTAATGCAAAATCTATTAAGAATATGTTTGTGTAAGAAGGGCTTCAGAGTAATTCTTTATACAGTTGAACCCTGTTGTCCTGAACTCCTGGGTACCAGAGAAATAGTTCGACTTACCCTGGGTTCAACACATCCGACTTGACCTTATTACCATATGTCCATGTTGGTTTGACAAAACCGTGAATTTGACACATCCATGTACGAGACGAAGGGGGTTCTAAAGTCCATATTACTGTTTGTAGGAAACACTGATGTATGGAAAGAATCTGTTTTTGTTCACACAGAATTAGTGTTGAATGTGTGTATTTGCACAGTTTTCACAATGAATGTGATGTATAGTACTATACAGGGATAGAAACAAAGAGTTTTCGTCCACTAATCCTTATAATGATAACATAGAGAAAAACCCTTTAAAAGGGCAAATTTCTACTAGTCCTTAGGATACCTTTACCATGGGGCAGTTTGGCAAGGACTATAGGACTAGTGCCAGTTTCTAACGCTGCTATACAGGCATTTATACTTATTGTCTTTTGCAGCCCTGGTTGTGGTGCAAATGGGATCTGCAAATCCCCCGACACCTGCCAGTGTAGTGATGGATACACAGGGGGAACATGTGGCACAGTTTTAGCTGTGGCTGTAATTCTGCCATTACTATTTGGAGCAGCTTTGGCTGTTGGACTTTTCTTTCTCATCAGATTTCTCACCAGAAGGTAATGTATTTGATCATTTACGTCAATGGAGCCACTTTTATAAATAATTGTTCATAATTTTATTATTCTGTTAGTCTTGTCTATGTAAAGACCTGGATCCCTCTTGCCCTCGAATCTTTGAAAATTTGTTTAATTCAGCTAACCAATACCTAAACCAAAAATCGTCACGCCGAAAACCCGGGGTCGATTCCCGACATGGGTACAATGTGTGAAGCCCATTTCTGGCGTCCCCCGCCGTGATATTGCTGGAATATTGCTAAAAGCGGCGTAAAACCATACTCACTCACTCACTAAACCCAAAAAACCCAGTTAGCTAATGTATCTTATGGCCCAGTTTATCAGCATACCGTATTCGACGTAATAAGCGCCCAGGGCGCTCTCAAAATTAGAAATAGGGGGCTCTTATTAGAATATTATTTTGGTGAAAAAAAACAGAGTTAAAAGATAAATTTCGTGGTTTATGCTGACAGCCTTATATGTTTATATACGACAGATATATTTTTCCAGAATGTATTTGCCCATAATTAAGGGTGCATATAACACACGAGTGCGTATTATACGCGAATAAATAAGTCTTGTGTACATAGATCAATCGGAAGGGGTGCTTATTGGGTTTGTTCACTAGCCAATATATTAGCAAATATCGCCGTGGGCGCTTATTAGAGCGGGGCGCTTATTACGTCGAATACGGTATATCCTCTTTATTAATGTAACCTTGATTGGTTTAATGGGTTGAGTGAGGCTCAACTGCTGTATTGCACCATATAACCAAGTTTTTTCCAGTGAAATTTCTTCTGGTCTGTCATAAATGGACATCTTCAGTGAGTGAGTATGGTTTTACGCCGCTTTTAGCAATATTCCAGCAATATCACGGCGGGGGACACCAGAAATTGGCTTCACACATTGTACCCATGTCGGAAATCGAACCCGGGTCTTCGACGTGACGAGCGAACGCTTTAACCACTTGGCTACCCGACCGCCCCAAGATAACTCAGAGATTCGTCAGTATTTATGTCATGTTTGGTCTGTTACATAAGGGTGACCATATTATTTGTCATATTTGATGTGTCAGTAATGGATGCCTTCAGTGTTCGTACCATGTTTTGACAGGCATGCTCGTTTGGCGTCTCTGCAAAACCTTGATTGGTTGGTAAAGTGGGATGACATAACAGCAGCTGATCGGGCCATCAGTCTGCTCTCCACAGCCAGTGATACTAATGACAAAGTAACTGGTAATGTCGTTACCTGGAGACATCAGAAATGCCATGCACAGGTAATATCAGTGTTCGAAATACCTGCCTGCCCGACCGTCCGAGACGGGTTGATTTCAACTCGGGCTGCCAGATTTTCAAATCCCCCTGCCCGACGGTGGGGTTATATTTCATATGTGAAAATATTCTAAATATTTCCCGATGATTAGCATTAATTCACATGTAAAGATGAATGATAAAATGTAACCAAAAAGAAACCCCGTTAGCTTATCCTGAGAAACATATGATTATAGTGGGCAGGCAGGTTTTGGTCAGGGCTGGCAAGTATTTCAGCTAGCCAGTCCTGTGGTCTGGCTGAAATTTTGGGGAGTTTCATACCCTGGTAATATATACAGGCATAAGCTACTAAGTCCATTTATCTTCATAAAGATAATATTTTTGATTGATTAAGTATTTAAATAGATGTTATCATACGAATAAACATTGTATTTAGCAAACATTGGTGAGTTAAATACGTAGGTTTATTCCTGATACAGGATATTTACCATCCTAAAACACAAGCGGGATAACCCCTTTATCATATAATGTCATTCTTAAATTCTACCATCAAAATCAGCATCTTGATCTCTCACAAACAGTATCTCCACATTGAAGTTTTCCTGGAATGTACGCATTAATATATGACATCGCAGTGTCAGTGAATTGTCAGTTTGACAGTGACTACAGTCAATATAGTTCCAACTGAAGCTTGCATTTGAGACGGTGGCATAACTATCATACAGGGTTAGAAATTGGCACCAGTCCTATAGTCCTTGCCAAACTGCCCAATTGTTAAGGTATCATAAGGACTAGTAGATATTTGGCATTTTTAAGGGTTTTGCTATATATGATCATTATAAGGACTGGTGGACCAAAAACGTTAGTTTCTACCGCTGTCATGTAATAGTAATAGTAATTTGTCTTGGTCCCTGATTGTCAATTCTGACTCCATCGCTAATAGGCAAGGGTAGCACCATATTTGTTTGTAAACTCTGAAAGTATTACCTACCAATCGAAATGGATACCATTTTTAACCGTTAGCTTTTTGCTGCAAGAAAACATACCCATGATATGATATGAATGTTAGTAGATAGGTTTGGGTTTTTGTACTTGAACTTGACATCTTATAAATATTGATCAATGTTAGAATCTAAGACTAGGTCCTTATCAAAGTCTGTATGTTATGATTGATTATTTTAGGGATCAGGGTATCCCAAAAACTAGCTTAACTCCTTGAGGACCTCGGGAACTTCTTAATTCTTTTCGCTGCTGATGATCCATTTACTCCTCTGTATTTGAAATGATATTTACATATATGAAATCCATGAAATTATGTTCATTTTATGGTTTACTTCAACCTTTCTGAAGGTCAACCCATGAAGTTCCGGGGTAGAATAGGTTTTCAGCAACCAATGTTTGCCATAAAAGGCGACTATGCTTGTGGTAAGAGGCGATTAACAGGATCGGGTGGTCAGGCTCGCTGACTTGGTTGGTGCATGTCACTGTATCCCAATTGCGTGGATCGATGCTCATGAATCAATAAATGACTTGATTATTTACAGACCAACCTCATAAAGTTGGAATATTGCTGAGTCCGGCGTTAACAAACAAACAAAAACAAAACAATCTGAATCACAGTGTTAATATCTTTAAACATTGATGGATCATTGTGTTACAGCATAAATGTAAGTGGTTAAATAGCCATGACCACTTAGCCTGTTTTAGAGAAGCCTTCCTTTGTCACCTTGGAAACATTTATATATGATATGTTGTATGCCAACTCTTTTTGTCTATTTCATCCATAGGACTTCAACATCGACTCGCTTGACATTAACAATGAAATTCTAAGATTAGAGATAGTTTTGATGAAGGAAGTGCGTCACAACAATATCTTGACTTTCGTTGGTGCCTGTTTTGATGCTCCACATGTCTGTCTTCTCACAGAGGTGACACCAAAGGTAAATGTGCTTTTTTATGGAAATCAGCATCAGGTAAAATACTTATTGTTTTCCCTAACAAAACTAGAGTCTATCATCGAAACTCTAGGAGCTGAAGAACGTCACCATAACTTGACATGAGAGAAGCAAAGCTTAAAGTGTTGATATTTCTATGACTTCAATGCTATTTTTGCACAATGATTGGTGTAGAACATGAAGATGGCTTTATGAAATATTAAAGCTGTATTGATAGAAATATCCTGAAACAATTCATAAGTTGATATATGATGGCATAGCACTATTGCATATTAATGTAAACAAACATGGCTTCTGACTATCAGTATGGATCTGTTGACTCTCCTGATTGACTGAGTGCCTCATGAGGCTACAGACAATATTCTGTAAATCTTGAAATTAACGCGAGCGTGAATTAAATGCGAAAAATGCGGGTGGTCTTTGCTCGCATTAATTAACTTCGCATTTATGTCTCCAAATGACTATCCAACAATAAGACGACCTCACTGCACACTTTGGATAGCGGAAATATATACACAAACACGGTTTATTGAGCCGCAGTTGTAACAAGTATATAACAATGTCAGTCAAAAAGTAGGAATTACACAATAGGCATCATGTATCATTCCACTGGAAATGGGGTGGGGCAGTCGTATTTCTGGCTAGGGGTCAGCAGTCATATTAATTTAAAGACGCATTAATTTCCAGAATGCGTCAATGACGTTCTGTACATATATTTAGAAGAAAACAAAAGTGAACACTTGACAATCCAAATCCAACACTACGGCAAAGTGCAACATTTAGGCTGTAGTCTGATACTCTGAATTTCAACTTGCTGGTGCCAGTATCAACCTTGTCCTTTGCACTGTCAATCATTCCATATCAATTCCAATGTCAATGTTCCACAAACGCCAAAAATTGATGTTTGAATAGCTCGCAAAATTGACTCCCAATGTTGACGGAATCGAAGGCCAAGTTCAAATCACATCACAGGACTTGTGGTGATGCAATCCATTGTTGATGACATATGTCTAGGGCTAGTGTCACACTTAACTCTTTAGCATTTCATGTGCATAACTTCTTACCATATATTGATGTTTTTACCTCTTTTTATATTCATGCTGAGCACAAATTCTAGCCCTTTTATATAAAATAACATATTGCTTTTTTCTCAGTGTGTCACCTTTTGCAAAGCCCTCAGTATGTTCAAGTAATGATAGACCTCAGGGTCCTGCAAATGATAATGTCCTGGAAAGTAAACTTTCAAACTCTCAGGGGAAATGTGTGGGAGGATTTCAGTAAAAACACCTGTCCTTAAAAAAAAGTCATCTGCCTGCACAAATCCTCCATGTTCCTTGTATGTTAAATGCCCAGATTTTACTTCCATGCAATGGCAATATCACTCCCAGACTGTAAAGAGATAAAATGATATGTAAGATTTTCAATTATTTACATTCAGTGGGAATTCTGGGTTTAATAACGTCCTGAGTAAACTATGACCAGGTGGTCAAACTTGGATGCTGATTTGGTTGATTGTGTGTCATCATCTCCGATGGTGTGGAACATACTATCACTCACTGTTTTGTTTGGCCAAGGTTAAATTAGTTTCAGGCCATCATTATATATGGAATACCGTATTCGACGTAATAAGCGCCCACTGCGATATTTGCTGATATATTGGCAAGAGAACAATCCCAATTAGCACCCCTTCTGATTGATCATTGTACACAAGACCTATTTATTCGTGTATAATACGCACTCGTGTGTTCTATGCACTCTTAATTATGGGCAATTAAATTCTGGAAAAATATATCTGTCGTATTTAAACAGTCAGGCCGTCAGCATAAACCACAAAATTTATCTTTCAACTCTGTTTTTTCCACCAAAATAATATTCTAATAAGAGCCCCCTATTTCTAATTTTGAGATCGCCCTGGGCGCTTATTACGTCGAATACGTCGGTATTGCTGATTTTGACATAAAGCAACAGAGATGATTTACTGTCAGGGTTTTATCTACACCTGCTCAGAGGTCTGCAGCAAATGTCATTTCCCAAGTTTAAAGTTTTCAGGTTAATATCACTCATAACTAATTTATGGCATTGTAGAAGTAACTGAAAATACGACCATTAAGAGCAAGAGGTTTCAATACTTAGTTTAACATCACTACATTGAATGCAATCACAAAATAGGATGTCAACATTCCTCTGAATAAAAGTAAATAAGAACAAAATAAATGTTTTGTTCTCAGTTTGCCTGCCAAAGGAACTGACTAGATGTTTGACTTGTTGGTGTGACTAGATCAACTGGCTGTGTGCTGACTACTGGCCAAACAAACAGCAGTTGTTCGACCTGTGATATGGATGACAATGCAACATTTCAGAGATATTTGGGAAATTTTAAAACTTTTCCCCTTTTTTTCCAGGGAAGTTTAGAAGACCTACTGTCCAATGAATCTGTTAAACTGGGCTGGGATTTCCGCTTCTCAATACTGAAAGATGTATGTAGAGGAATGGATTTCCTACACAGATCAGAAATAGGATCTCATGGTCGACTTAAATCCACCAACTGCTTGGTTGACAACAGGTGGACTTGCAAAATTGCAGGTAAGGCCTTTAAGATGATTGTGAAACATCACTTTCAACAGTCTAGACTCAACCAGGAACACCCCATGAGTACATAATGGCAATCTTTCCCCTTCTTAGTGCTTTGATTGAGAAGAACAGCTCATAAAAATGAGATCTTTTAATACCCCCATAGGTCATGTCAGGTGCTACTTGAGCGAACGGGGGCACGGGTGGCCCAGTCGTCTAAGGCGCCGCGATTCGCTGTGCAGAGTTGCGTACCTTGGGCACACCAGAAACCTATGATTGTGGGTTCGAATCCCGGTTCGCCCCGATTATGTTTCTAGGTTTGTCAGCACCATACCCGTGCTTGTGGGTTTCACCTAAGTGGTAAATGTCTGAGACCTGCATCACTTCGGGCTTTCCTCCCACATCAAGCTGACACGCCGTGAGATAACTGGAATACTGTTAAAAGCGGCGTTAAACCCAACTCACTCACTCACTTGAGCGAACATTGACTGTCAAGTTAAACACGTTGGTTGTTGAGCCTGTCTCAGTCAGATGTCATCATTAAGTGTTTTGAAGTGGTAAAGCTGGAGTGTGGCGTGGCTTTCATTTCACTTGTACTTTAAAACATTTACTTGCCTCAGACTCACAGACAAGCAGTAATTTCCAATTCTGCCTAATGAATGACATAAGGGATTTAGTCAGGAACATATATTGTTGAAAGTAACCCACTCTGAACAACCTATGAACTATCATATGTTCTTAAATCCATATTCACAGATAGACATAAAGCAAATAGAAGGACATTAGATAATATCAAAAAAATATTTTTAATTCCAATGTTCTGTATTCTAGGGTTTGGAGTCCCAACATTGAGATATGGGGCAAAGAGATTATCTGAGAATGAGGATGCGAGCAAGCCGAGGTATATGTATGGTCTAGTTGAGTGTCCTGGCATATAGACAATTACATTTTTGCTTGTTATGTGTTTTATAAAAAGTTTTTATCATGATAACATCATGTCTGATACCGAAAATTAATAGAAGTAACATTGTTGATTAAAACACTATGGGTACACATGCACATTACACGTATAGTAGGGCTGGGACGATATACCATCTGTGCCATCAAATACGAATCATGATGCTTTGTTCATGACCCGATATGTATAATGATACTTGCATGAGCTCTTTTCTGAGGTGCGCAAGTCATCTTTTTCATAGACAGGATGGGCAAATACTTGCACACTGACAACTTACAGATGGCAGTGTCAAGTATGTAGCAATTGATGAAAATGTTTACGTTTTTACTACCAATTTTAACTACTAGTTAGTGTTTGTTGTAACAGTTATCAAAGCAAACATTTAAGGTAAAAAATAATAATATATATATATATATTAATATAAAAAAAATGTGAGACCCGTGAAGATTCCGGGGTAGAATAGGTCTTCAGCAACCCATGCTTGCCGTAAAAGGTGACCATGCTTGTCGTAAAAGGCGACCAACGGAATCGGGTGGTCAGGCTCGCTGACTTGGTTGATGCATGTCATCGATCCCCATTGCGTGGATCGATGCTCATGATATCAATCACTGGATTGTCTGGTCCAGACTCGATTATTTACAGACCGCCGTCATATAGCTGGAATATTGCTGAGTGCGGCGTTAAACAACAAAGCAACCAACCAACCAATCCTACAATGTGAGGTGTATGTTCCTATTTTTATCCCCCCGGCATATAATGCGGGGGGATATAGCGATCAGCCAGTCTGTCCGTCCGTCTGTCCGTCTGTCCGTCTGTAATCATTTCCTTTTCCGGGGCAGAATTCCAAAACCATTCAGTGTATTTGATCGAAACTTGGCAAATCTATCAGGCACATACTGAAGTGGTGCCTTTTGATATTTTGGGATTTTTCTAATTTTTATTTTTTTAAATTTTTATGGAATGAAGTTGGACATAGACTCAATTGGGGATGGGGTTCGTTTCCGGGGCAGAATTCGAAAACCATTCAGTGTATTTGATCGAAACTTGGCAAAGCTATCAGGCACATACTGAAGTGGTGCCTTTTGATATTTTGGGATTTTTCTAATTTTTATTTTTTAAATTTTTATGGAATGAAGTTTGACATAGACTCAATTGGGGATGGGGTTCGTTTCCGGGGCAGATTTCGAAAACCATTCAGTGTATTTGATCGAAACTTGGCAAAGCTATCAGGCACATACCAAGGTGGTGCCTTTTGATAAAAAAATTTTACGAATTTTTATTTTTTACAATTTTTATGGAATGAAGTTGGACCTAGACTCCATTGGGGAACGGGTTCGATTCCGGGCCAGAATTTGAAAACCATTCAGTGGGTAAACAATGTATGCTTCTTAAAGAACATTCAACTGTTGACTCATTACATACAGAATTGCACATTTACTAGTGGTTACTTTACAGAAAGCTGCCGGGGGGATATGTCATCTTTCTGATGACTCTTGTTTGTTATGGATTTTGTTGTTGTTTTTTGAAGATCTATGACAACTCTCTGCATAAAATTCCCATTCTGTTTTTCTAGTGCCCTATTCTGGACTGCACCAGAGTTTCTGACTACCTGTTCAACCCTTGCTGAAGTTGAGTGTGGATCAAAAGCAGGGGATGTTTATTCGTACGTACATGTAGTAATTTTCTAGGAGTAAGTTAACAGAGAATATATCGTAGGTTGATTGTCACAACTTTTACCAATAACTGACAGTTGGTCTAATAATATTATTGTGCAGAGTGAAATTGCCAAATTTCAGAATAAAACATACACATTTGTAGACCCTTAAATGCAGATACTTCCAAGTTGCACATTGAAACTGGCAATGTATTGGGGAAAATTTGACACACCTATCATGCGAATATTCAGGTTCCTGATTTGGTAACTATAAGATACTTCTTGTAAGTTGTCGCTGTCACATTTTGGCGTCAATGCAGCCTTAGAATTTGGCACTATTACTACAGTCCTTGCCAAACTGCCTTACAGTTAAGGTATCATGAGGACTAGTAGAAACTTGCCCTTTTTAAGAGTTTTGCTATATGTTATCATTATAAGGACTAGTGGGATAAAAAGCTTAGTTTCTAACCCTGCATTGAGAAGGGACGTGGGTGGAAGTTCCTCCTTTTTCAATGGTTTGAGAATCCTTGAACTTGCTTGCTTTGAAAAATGACTGTAAATAGTTCTACTGATTAAGTAGGTGTGCCTGTTTAGTAGGTATTGACATCAAAAGAGTATCACACTATTTTGCGATGCACAAGGCCGTATTGCGATACGTATCACAATATATTGTATCATTCTAAATTTTAAATTCAGAAGCATACATTAAGGTATGAATTGAAGTTCATAAATGAAACAAAACAAGATGCTGGTACAACATGATGTTTACTCGTTCAATAAATACGCAGCCATCTTGCGGCCCTGGATGCATTTGGTATTTGGCTAGTATATAGCATTAAATTCATGATAAAAATCGCTATTTGAAACCACCCGATATATCGAGCATGACAAAAAGATATTGTGATACGTATTGTGGAAAGAATGAACCTCAATTTACCGATATACCGATTATAAATACCGCACACCCTTACTGTTTAGTAATTTCACTGCCTTACCTTGCTATTGGTTTTGACACTTGGAAGTGTTTCATTGCAGAAGTAACTGATGTAACGGTGAATCATAGCACTCCTACCATTAGCTTCTGATTTTGTCTGTCCGAACTTGTTAATTAATATTTAGTAAGGATGGCATTGCTTTTGTATTGATGACTACAACATAAAAGAACATTGACTCACTGTGACTTTCTCTCCTTGCACCAGGTATGGTGTTTTGCCTCGTGGGGATTCCAGGTTAGAATAGGTCCTCAGCAGGGTCATCTTCCTGAGGCAAGGGAGTTAACTGACTATATAGTCCAGTTTCCACCCTTGCCGAACTAGGCTGGAATTCCTGGGCTCGACCGTAGCGCCACCAGTGGTTATTACAAGTTATGTTCCTTCTAAGCCTCTCCTATGGACCAATCAGATTTTACCTCTCGACGTATCACTTGCATTTGTTTCAAACAAAATGGTGGCTATATAAACGGGTCTTACATAGCAAAGTGCATCAAATCACGTGAGCACCTTGATTAAAAACACGAAAAGACTTGGAAAATATCTGCTGACAACGAAATGGCGGTGCACATGCATTGCAAATCCTGCAATCGACCGAAATCTGCACGACATTTTACAAACCGGATTTCGATTTCGACGCGCGATTTTGATTGGACTATGCATAGACTCGTTAGTCCAGCCAAAATGTAACTCCATAATACCAGCCTAGTTCGGCAAGGGTGGAAACTTGACTTTATAGTCAGTTAACTCACTTGCCTCGGGAAGATGCAGCAGAGTATGCTGGTTGTAACAGGCAACCAAATGAATCAGGTGGTGAGGCTCGGGGACTTAGTTTATTGCGTGTCTTTGTACCCTGACAGCATGGATTGTTGCTCTCATTGTCGATCGCTGGATTGGCTGGCCCTGACTGGATTATTTACAGGCCACCATCATAAAGCTGGAATATTGCTGAGTGCGGCAGCAAACAAACTGCTTGAAATGACATGTTTTTAATAGCAAATATATGTAGGAAAAAATATACATTATGTTGAATTTATATAAAACTATATGAAAATTTCTTTAAAATGTTCGTTGGCAGCTTTACTATCATTGTGACTGAAGTATGCACCCGAGAACAACCTTTCACATATGAACTTCAAGTCATGGAGCCCAAACACATCATCCAGATGGTTATTGACAAAGATGATCCACAGAACAGAGAAGCCCAATCAGTAAGTTCAAATTTGTAGTGTGGTTCTCAGCATAAACAGGAATTTATGGCTATGATGTTATAGAGGTAGGGTATTCACAAGAATTATATACTTTCTCTAATAGCTTTTTTAGCCTTTAGATTTGTGTTGCTATGAAGAATAGTTACTTGGCTTGAGTAGAGGTGTAACGGTGCAGTGGGGTCTTGATACGATACATATCCCAATACTATGAGTGTGAGACTGTTCGTATCCCCGATACAGTACCTTTCTTTCATAAGTTGATATTCATCTTTCTGCAGGGGAATCACAACCATGAATCATTTGTTTTTAAATTTTAGAGATTGAAAATGTTGTATTGTAGGGCAGAAAAAACAAACAATGGTTATCATTGTGAATAATTCTAAGAATACCACCTCTATCACATCAGTGCCATAAATTCCTGTTTATGCTGAGAACCACACTATAAATTTTTTTATAAATTTTCAACAGACGTCCACTACACTGCCAACATATCCATAGTTGTGAGGGAAACCCTATCCCTTGCCAGAGGCGCCACTGCGCATGCGCAAGGCGGGAATCTAGTCACTTCTTTCAACCCATACTCTCATCAACTAGATACAGATATTTGGGGAGGTGGGAGGGATTAATTCCTGATGTGATAGAGGTGGTATTCTTAGAATTATTCACAATGATAACTATTGTTTGATAATTCTTGTGAATACCTCACCTCTATCACATCAGTGCTAGTATACACCAGAGGGACCGGCGGGTTCTGGTATCTAGCATCCCATAGATATTTGGCTAGTGAAGTGGTAAAACCAAGGATTATATGCCAAAAGGGGTCTTAAACGGATGTGTCTAATAGTCTACTTACAAGACTTAGACGTATAGAATTTTCAAGGCATCATGTGAAGGGTATATGTATATTCCCTTGTGATACTTAGACTTTTTAGTGACGTCGTTTCCTGTGATGACGTCATCTGTGACGTCACTTCCGGTGTCACTATTCTCCTGTATCACTTATGACGTGGTTTACTGTTATGCCCTTTTGGATAATGATATTTAACGTATCTTAACGTTTCTCCAGTGTGATGACTCCTATGACGTCACTTCCGGTGGTAGTACATTAACCTTCCTATCATGTAGATTACCGTATATCACTTAATCCTTCGATCTCTGATTTCAGTGTTGACATTTGCCCTGTTTTACTAACTCAATAGCGCAGTCCAGTAACAAAGTACAACTTACCCTGAGTTCCTGAGGTACTTCTGAAATCTTCACCCCCCACTTTTTTCCCTTTCCTGGAAGAGGGAGGGAACAGGTTACTTTACTTGGTAACTATCACCTGGGCGGCCACCAAAGGCCCCAGAGTGTATAGTCCATTTAGATCGGTCTGTATGTCTCGTAAGTAAAAGTTTGAAAAAGTGTTGTGGGACTTCCACTGGCAGCTGGCCGCGATTTGTTCGATGGATGCAGTATTCCATGTGGCTAGGCTTGTTGCCAGTGCTCTGATTTCGTGGGGTCTGCAGCTACCCCAAATCGGAGTGGAGATTTGTGCCGTTTTATAGCTATCTGTGATAACTGTTTTTAGCCATCCCCCTACAGTGCCCTTTGCGATGTCCTTTTCTGACGAGGGCTTGCAAGAGATAAATAGGCGTTTTCTCTGCTTTCTGTGGGGTTGAGTCGCTGTGATAAAATATCTCAAGGCTCTTATGGGGCAAAGCAATCTATCCGGGAAGTCCACACTTTTACTTACAGCTGGTATTGTGTATTGCCGATGTCCGAGTGGGCCGAAGGTTGACGACTGTTTTTTGGCAATAAATTCAGGGAGCGATCTGAACGACACTGCTTTCCATTCTTTGGTATGGGTTACAGTGGAGATATCAATAGCTTGTAGTTCTGACACGCGAGCCGCCGTAGCCATGGCTAAGAGAAAAGCAGTTTTCTTGGAGACTGATAGTAATGTCGCACTACTCATGGGTTCATACGGTGCTTTCATCAATGCCGACAATACTATAGATAGATCCCATTTGGGAAAAGTACGTGGTACTTTTATATCTTCCAGGGCAAAAGACTTCATAAGTCGATTTAGTACTGGATGGGTACCTATAGATAGGTCATCGTGTTGTAATACTGATGACAGGGCTGATCTATATCCTTCGATAGTGCCGTGTCGTAATTTCTTGTCGTTTCTGAGATGGATCAAGAATTCGGCTACTATAGGTATCGTTATATCTCCATGTAACTGTTTCCCTCTTCTCCATTCGACGAACTTGTCCCATCTGTTATTATATAAGGCAGATGAGGCTGGTCTCCATGAGCTAGCCACTCTTCGTGCAGCTGATTTAGAGTAACCGGCGGCTTGCATCTTATGCGAGATAATTTCCAAGCGTGAAGATGGAGGTTGTCGAGGCGGCCGTAAAATATGTCCGTCTTTGGTTGTCTCAATAGGTCGTGACGTACTGGGAGTTTCAGAGGTACTTCTAGCTGGAGTTGTAGAAGTCTCGGAAACCAAGCCCTTTTGGGCCAAGCCGGGGCTATGAGGATTATGACACAATCCGTTTCCTCTATTTTCTTCAGTACTCTGTCTAGGAGAGCCCATGGGGGAAATGCATAAGCAAACATTCCCTTCCATTCCATGGAGAGCGCATTGACTTGGAGTGCTAGTGGGTCTGGTACTGGGCTGACGTAGACTGGTAGTTTGTTGTTGAGACATGTGGCGAATAGATCTATGTTTGGAGTGTCCCATACCTGGGTTATCCACTTGAACACCTCGGGATGTAGTGACCATTCTGTGGGTACTATCTCGTTTTTTCGGGATAGGTAATCTGCTAGTATATTTAGCTTCCCCGGAATGTGTCTTACTTCGATCTTGCAACTCACTGAGTCTACCAAGGCATATAAACATGTAACCTCCTTCAGTAAAGGCTGAGACCTTGTGCCTCTGTAGGTTAAATCTTGGATAGATGTGAGCGGGCATAGGCGAGACATCCACCAGCGTCTCGACTTGACGGCCTGATCGAGTGGGCTTTGTTATCATGTGCTCTACTCTTGCATATCTGTCCTCTGGTGGTGCTGCTATGCCCTTGTTGAGTAGAATCTTGCGCCTATGTAGGTGATGCCTGTGTGGGTACTAGCTCTGTTTTAGAGGGTGAACAAGGAAACCTAAGAGTGGAATACTGGGGAGTAGAACCCGTGAGTGGTCTCTGACTCTTTTAAGATGCTGATAGCCCCTTGCTGAACTTGGGTAATCTTGGGTCGATGTCTGTGAGACCGGCTAGTTCGACTGGATTCGATGTGGTCGTATCTTTGATCTTCTGTAGTTCTAAATCGTTGTCCATTGGGCAAGCGATGTCGGTAGGGTCTGAAGGCATTTCCAGTGGTATCCCCTCCTCTGCGAAGTGGGATGATCATCTTTAGCAGGAACTGTGCTTCTTGACGTCAGTCGGGTTGCTGATTGAAGATCTTCCTGCATCTTCAGTATGTGTTCCAGTGAGCTGTGGATGAATCCGGTCTGCTGTAGTGTCATCTCCGTGGGGTGTCTAAGTGTAGGCCTACGTTCTGATTGTTCGGGGTATGACGTTAGTAGAAAAGTTCAACGATGCTCGGCTGTTGTGCGCAGGGGCAACTTGTGTAATCACTCTTATTAATGGCAGGCATACCCAGTCTAACATTAAGTGCCGAATGTAGCATTTAATGAATATTCGATTCTTGATGACGTCATCAATATATGACGAACAGGGAAGGGTAAGGAATTCTAGAATCAACTGACCGGTACCTCCTACCCGTCACGTTCTAACAAGGTCATCTTGGTATTTTGTCCTTGTATCTGTTTTAAAGGGCGGGCATTAGATTTATAGAGTTCTGCAATGATATGTTAATGGCATAATTATTTGGTCTATAATTAACCTCCGTAGTAGAATCCCCACTGTATAAAAAACAGTATTAGCAATAGATCCGCACCCCCTACTCGGGCTGTGCTGAGACTGGGTCATATGGCTGAGGGTAGCGTAATCCCGGTCGTCTGATCTACGGCTGGCCGTGCGGGAATCAAGTGTTCTATAACTGTGTGATAGTGACGTAACATCTCCCTGGCTTCTCCACCCGTGTAACTGGACTGTGTGGCAGTATGAGATGGCGTATGCTTAGGAATTCTATCCTGATTAGCACGAGCTTTTTCAGTTCGTCTATCTTATGGCTAGAGGGTGAATGGTGTGTATTTCTGAGCATACTGCGATGCAATGTCCGTGATTCACGATCTGCCCTATGGTGTACGTGGTAGGGAGGTAATCTATCTCTTTTATGTTCTCCTGTGTCCTCATAATAATCAGATACAGCGTAGGCTTGCATTGTCTGCTGTATGAGGAAGTACTGCCATATTCAGCCTTATATCTCCCTCAATCTCGTGCTTATCAATCCCCGTTTGGTCATGCCGGGTTTGTGCAATCAATTCTTTTAGAGTTTATTCCTGAGCCCTTGATTGCGTGCGCTTTTATCAATTATTACAACATTGAGTTGGTTAATTTCTCCGAATCCCTTTAGTTAAAAACCTGTGAGGTACATCTGCTCCTCAACTTTATTGGGAGATCCTTAGGTCTCTTGAATTTCGTGATCGACCCCTGTTGGCCAAGCCCGGGTTGTGCGACAGATTCTTTTGGATATGAGATTTCCGGAGACATTGATTGCATGTGCTTTTATCAATCTGATTGACCCCTGTATGGCCAAGCCGGGGTTGTGCGACAGATTCTTTAAGATATGAGATTTTCTGAGACATTGATTGCATGCGCTTTTATCAATCTGATCGACCCCTGTATGGCCAAGCCGGGTCATAGATTGCATGCGTGTGTCAATCATCATGATCATAACAGACATTGAATTTGTTATTCTTTCCGTGAACTCATTTAAGTTAAAGGGGGAAAATCGTTAGTTTCTGCCCAAACTCGATGATCGACCGTACCAGATGTTGCCGGATGCAAGTTAGAGGCACTTTCTGTTTGACCGGTAAAATGCATCTGCTCCTCAACATTATTGGGAGAGTGGGATGAGCGACGGGGTCTCTTCTCCTCATAAGGTGAGACGGCGCACTCGCGCGACACTCGCGTTTTTACGCTTTATACATCATTACAGACATTGAATTCCGAACTCAATTAAGTTAAAGGGGGAACGCGGCAGAGGGTGAAAATCGTTAGTTTCTGTCCAAACTCGATGATCGACCGTACCAGACGTTGCCGGATGCAAGTTAGAGGCACTTTCTGTTTGACCGTTAAAATGCATCTGCTCCTCAACTTTTGGGAGAGTGGGATGAGCGACGGGGTCTCTTCTCCTCACAAGGTGAGACGGCGCCCTCGCACGACACTCGCTTGTAACCCACGTGATTAATATGGCCACCAAGAGCTTAATCACTTGTTTTTACTTGATGCGCTAGTAATCTTTGTAATCAGGATTGTTGATACATGCCTTGTAGAGCTTGTCAATTTTCTCCTTTGACAGAGGCTCGCAATAGCTGCACCTTGACTTTTGTGTGCAGTTGCTTGCATGATAGACATCTAGGGTGAGGGTCACCAGGTATCTGGTGTTGCCCACAGCCTGAACAGACGGGTGTCTGTCCTTGAGATGAAGATCTCATCCCACAAAACGTTTCTAACTAATTACTTACTAGAACTTCCGATCTTCTTATACCCCCGTTCTCTGCTTGTAGACTGCTCACTGCTTGTAGCCTATGAAGCTTGAGAAGATCTAATGTGCTTTGTAAGTGTGGAACTCAATCACGTGTACGGATGTGCAACAAAATATTTTCCTTGTTGTCATCTGGACACACAGGAAAGAAGTGACTAGATTCCCGCCTTGTGCATGCGCAGTGGCGCCTCTGGCAAGGGATAGGGTTTCCCTCACAATTATGGATATGTTGGCAGTGTAGTGGACGTCTGTTGAAAATTTATAAAAAAAATTTTAGTGTGGTTCTCAGCATAAACAGGAATTTATGGCACTGATGTGATAGAGGTGAGGTATTCACAAGAATTATACAGCTTAGAGGGCATTGTATATGTTTTAGCAGGATCACTCGAGGTAGTGGGGTTGTATGCGTCCCGTATTAGCTTTTATACCACGAGCAGGAGGCCAGTGGTATAAAACCTAACATGGGATACATAAATCCCAATGTACCCCGAGTGATCCTGCTACTACAAATTTATCTTTCCGACATGTTTTAATATGACATTTTAAATGAATTAAAACAAATTCAAAATTGATAGAAAACAGCTGTTCGATTGAGTGGAGATTAGCTTGTGCTGTGTAACATGACTTTCCATTGACTCGGAAAAAGCGTGCAGCTTTTTTGCTTCGAAGCTGGGTAAAAGGGATTTATTCTGCCTCTCAGAAATCCACGTGCAGCCTGCCTTGCTCGTGGCAGGGTATAAGGGCTTTAATCTCCCGCTGAGAAATTTATTTCCCTCCTAGGCGGGATACATAGTATTTTATCAAGATCATGTGGACCAGTCAGACCTCATCATTCTGATATATCGGAGGTATGATAATGATTGTTACGCTATATATAGCCAAACGACAAATGCTGGAAAATCTCTGTGAGCTGGATGTTGAACAGTTTCTGTTAATATTTACATGTATGTATTTGTGTCCATCAGGCTTGCTAAAGACATAAGATCAAGGGTTCAGTTCGCAGAATCTAACTAATTATGTTTTTAGGTTTTCAGCACAACAATACCTGTGCTTGCACGTTTTACCAAAGTGGTCTTGACTTTTGGCTCATCTCTCACATTAGAGGGTGTGATGTAACTGAAATAATGTTCAAAGTGGCGTTAAGCTAAAATCCCTATTTCACTCTCTCTTTTTCAGTTGTGGAGAGAACTTAAAGCAGATACCATGAAACCGTTCAGACCATATGTTGAAGAAACCTTTTTACCAGAAGACTATGACGCAAAAGCCAATATGACAAAGGTGAGGCCTAAGAAAGAACACATACAAGATGACATAAGCAGTATTGCTTCCAAATTCTGACAAGATAGACACAATTTTATGGATAACAACTTCTTTAATACTGTAAAAGCTATTTCCAAATTCTGTTTTGTCAATGTCGATCCGTGAAGATTCTGGGGTAGAATAGGTCTTCAGCAACCCATGCTTGCCGTAAAAGGTGACTATGCTTGTCGTAAAAGGCGACTAACGGGATCGGTTGGTCAGGCTCGCTGACTTGGTTGATGCATGTCATCGATCCCAATTGCGTGGATCGATGCTCATGACATTAATCACTGGATGGTCCAGACTCGATTATTTACAGACCGCCGTCATGTAGCTGGAATATTGCTGAGTGCGGCGTTAAACAACAAACCAACCAACCAACCAAAACACTCTTGAAATTTATTTTTCTGAAAATTGTGTTCCTCCAAGAAACTTCTTTCAAAGTTTTCATGGGTCATTTGTAGCTCACCAGACTGAAAGTCAGGTGAGCTTATGTCGTGGATTTCCTCCGGAGCACAACTAAAAAAAACATTCAATATCTTTCAACAAAACTGAAGTGGTGCCTTTTGCTATTTGCTGATTTTGGGCATTTACTTTTCTCGATTTCCATGGAAACAATTTGGACTTTGTCTCTAAAGAAAGGTGGATTTCATTTCCGAGGCACAACTAAAAAAACATTTAATATTTTTCAACAAAACTTGACAAAAATATAAAACAGATACTGAAGTGGCGCCTTTTGCTATTTGCAGATTTTTGGCATTTATATTTTTCTCGATTTCCATGGAAACAATTTGTACTTCATCTCTAAAGAGGAGTGGATTTCATTTCCAGGGACAACTCAAACAACGTTCAATATCTTTTGAAAGAATTTAGACTTAGTCTCAAATGGGAGGGGGAGGTTTCGTTTCCGGAGCACAACTTGAAAACTGTGAAAGAGTTTTCATTCAAACCTTTTGCTATTTAGGAATGCAACATGCAACAGTTTGACCCACATACAAAAAACAGTTTGTCAACTGGTGCCTTTTGCTATTTGGAGATTTTTAGAATTCATATTTCTTCTGTTTCCTTGGCAACAAGTTTGATTTTGACTCTGTTTATAGAGGTGTGTACCTGACATAGAAATACAAAGTTCCGAATCCCAATGCCATGGTATTGTTGTGACAGCTCTTGTATACGGACAGACTGATAACATAGAAATTCTCTCATTAAGTCGGACTAAAAGTAACAGTCAGATGATGTGTTCTTTCAAATTGATGGATTTGTCATTGAACAGAAGGAAACAGTTGTTCTTGGTTGGGTTGGTATAGCTCGTCCAAATACACTCGATTTATATGGAAGTGCTCGCCCAAACACACCCGTTGCGCATGTTCTTTTTTTGGGAAAATCTAGTGCGTGTCATGCTGATGTGACGGACCACTACGTTGAACGGGGTAACATGTGGAAGTTGATGTTTATTCGTTGTGGGACGAAGACGTCCTTAGAGCTAAGGTCAGGAGATTGCCTTTGCTAATATTAGAATTAACTTCCATTATCCACTTTGGTCAATTATTCACTTTAGATGAATATATAGACACATTTGATTTTGGGGCGATTTGGTTAGTGTGGCAATGAAGGTTTGTGTTTCTGTCTTCTGTTTCTGTTTAATTAAAATGTCTGACATGATATGTTTGACTTGTTGTTTACTTAACGGGGAATAATGTGCCTCATTCCCAGTCATCTTCTGATGACTCTTGTTATATCTTTGTTGACAACATATCCAGGTAAGCTGCATTGGCATGGCACTATAATTTCTTGTGTTACTTTCTCCCCCCCACCCCTCTCCAGGTTTTGGTCAGGGGTCTTTCTCTTCCCGGTAAACTGGGATTTACCTCAAATTAAATATTTTGAGCACAATGAGGTGAGTTTTGCTATAGGATCAGCAAAATGATGTTTTTATTCTGGGTTTCAGTTGTTGGAAGCTGGGTCACATCCAAATCCAGAATCAAGGCCGGTTTTTAAGGAAATGTTAATGAGGTTAAATGAAATTCATCCTGTCAAGGGTGAACTGATAGACAATCTCGTCAATATGGTAAGTTGATTGCACAACAGGATTAGGCATTACTTTTTTGTTTGCCCGATTTACGGATTCACCAAACCATAATTCCACAAATGTGGAATCTGTTCATTTTGTTAAAACTTGCAGTTTTAAAATCTTCTGAGTAGGCCTAAAGGGGACCGTGGAAAATTCCAACCACAATAAGTAGGCTTGGATGACTCTAACTTACTTCCTGTACAGTTTATGAGACGGCTGATTGAGCGTTTGATAAAATATGAACTGACGTTTTCAGCTAGAGAAATACTCCAGTAACCTGGAGTCAATTGTAGCTGATAGGACAAAGGAGCTACAGGTGGAGAAAGCCAAAACAGAACAACTTGTCAGTCAGATGTTGCCCAAGAAGGTTGTTGAGGATCTTAAGCATGGCAGAAAAGTTGATCCAGAGAGCTTTGAATGTGTCACCATTTTCTTCAGGTATCTCATTATTTCTTTATTTGTGAAGATTCGGGGTAGAATAGGTCTTCAGCAACCCATGCTTGCTGTAAAAGGCGACTATGCTTGTCGTAAGAGGCGACTAATGGGATCGGGTGGTCAGTTTTGCTGACTTGGTTGATGTATGTCATCATATCCCAACTGCGTGGATCGATGCTCATGATGTCAATCACTGGATTGTCTTGGTCCAGACTTGATTATTTACAGACCGCCATCATATAGCTGGAATATTGCTGAGTGCAGCGTTAAACGACAACCAACCAACCATCTTAATTTGTTTATAAATTGATTCTCGTCTCTGTGCATGCCATGTTAATGTAGGTCTCCAGCAACGTATGCTGGTCATGGGAGGCAACTGACTGGATCTTTTGGGATGTTGATCACTGATTTGTCTGGTCCAGTCAAATTTGTGTGCAGGTTGCCGTCATATACCTAGAACATGAGTGGAGCGTTAAAAAACAAACATAATTCTTGCAAGCCTAATTTGGCCTTTTCATTTCATTGATCAAGGAAGGAAATCGTAAATGTTAACCTCTGTGTGGTTTCCTTGTTATCCCCCGCCCCAACAGAGTTGGCAGAGGATATTGAAATAGGTTCTGTCCGTCCATCTGTGCGTGCGTCCCAAAATCTTTTCCGGAGCATAACTCAGAAACCGTTAAATATTTCTCTACGAAACTTTGCATGTCTATCAGACTCATGCTGATCTGGTGCCTTTTGCTATTTAGGAATTTTAGAAATTTTAATTTTTTACCTTTCCATGGCAACAAGTTGGACTTATAGGGTGGTGTTCATTTCCGGAGCATAACTCAAAAACTGTTGAATACTTTCTTACGAAACTTTGCATGTCTACCAGGCACATACTGAACTGGTGCCTTTTGATATTTAGCACTTTTAGAAATTTTTATTTTAGAATTTCCATTGCAGCTATTTTGATATGGGCTTAGAGAAATGTTGAGTCACTTACCTGGTTTGGGACCATAATGTGTTAAAATGGGCGGGGGATGTAGATGACGTCGTCGACCATACGCTTGTTACAATTGGGCCATAGCTACTTCTGCTTTTAATGGGTGATCAGGCACAGTGACTTGGTTGATAAACATGTCAAAGGACCTCTACAGCAGGGATCGTTGCTCACAGTATCAGTCACAGGATTGTCTGGTCCAGACTTTAGTTTATATATAGATCACTATCATATAGCTGGAATAAGGAGGAAAAGCATGCACGCACACACACGGAAGATGATTTGTCTATCGACTGATAGGGTTTGTGTTTGCTTTGACTGGACCATGTTCATTCCATGTTTCAGTGACATCGTGGGTTTCACAGCCATTGCAAGAAATAGTACTCCTCTACAAGTTGTAGATTTGCTAAATGATCTGTACACAACATTTGATGCCATTTTGGACAACTACGATGTATACAAAGTAGAAACAATTGGCGATGCTTGTAAGTTGTCAACTTGATGTCATACAGTATTACTATACCTAACCTTTAACCCACCTTTCATTTCATCCATGATATTGCCATCTGTAATATATACTTCTGTGCAAGGAAATTAAGTGTAAATAACCAACTTTCCAAGAAAGTTGTTTTTTTCAGGCGCTATGGCTATGCTGATTGAGTGTCATCACGTCCTGATGATGTGGATCATTGCTAATGCTCAGAGTCAGAGCTCAGAGCTTTTTTTCCAGCTCAGATTTATATACAGGCTGTTGTGATACAGCTGGAATATTGCTGACTGTGGCGTAGATCATTTACTATCTCATCATATTACTCAATCACATTCACTTCTCAGTTATAAATGTGTCGGTGCCTAATTCAACAAACTGTATGTATGTTTGTTGTGTAAAAATTTGCAAAATGTTCTAAGTTATTTTCATTAAGGACCCCTGTGTGACCGTTATCGTCAAATGGTTTACCTTTAATATTGCAAACATACCAGAGCATTCAGGTGAGCTAGGGCGGTTGGCCATTCAGGTGAGCTATTGCGGTTGGCCATATTTTTACATACAAATATGGACAATGTGTTGACGTCACTCGGGAGAGGGCGAAGTTCACTTTGTAACAAAAGGTATATTACATCATATCTCACCTCAATATTTTGTTTTGTACCTTGTTTCTGATTAATTTCAAAATTCACTGCAGACTTGATCGATATAGTATGTTTCACAGATGTCCAAAAGTCAGAATAGCTCTTCAGCAACCCATGCTTGCTGTAAAAGGCGACTATGCTTGTCGTAAGAGGCAACTAACAGGATCAGGTGGTCAGGCTCGCTGACTTGGTTGATGCAAGTCATCGATCCCAATTGCGTGGATCGATGCTGATGATGTCAATCACTGGATTGTCTGGTCCAGACTCTATTATTTACTGACCGCTCTCATATACCGGTAGCTGGAATATTTCTGAGTGCGGCGTTAAACAACAAACCAAACCAAACTAAAAGGTGACCATGCTTTGTCGTAAGCGGCGACTTACGGGATCGGGTGGTCAGGCTCACTGACTTGGTTGATGCATGTTAATGTATCCCAAATGTGTAGATCGATGCTCATGATGTCAATCACTGGATTGTCTGGTCCTTATAGCTGGAATATTGCTGAGTGCGGCGTTAAACAACAAACAAACAATCAAATATGATAAGCACATGATGATCACACAAATCATGTGATCAAATATGGTGTAGATATAGTTTCTGTGCAGAGCCTGTCATATTAATGAGCTTTGAAATGATACAGCTATATGTTGTACGTTATTTTTGGCCACCTGCTGCCCATTGCACATTGTTTCTGTTGTAACATGTTGTTTAGGATGGCTAAATATAGAATAACTTTTGTTAACTCTAGACATGGTGGTGAGTGGGTTGCCAATCAGGAATGGCAATCTCCATGCAGGAGAAATTGCCACCATGAGCCTTGACCTGCTATCCTCCATGATTGGCTTCAAGATAAGACACATGCCTGAGGAAATTCTACAGCTTCGTGTGGGGATGCACTCTGGTTTGTAGATTCTTTAATTGATAATATTCCCATACATTTTTATACCAAGGACCAGGGTAGAAATATATTTGTTTTTAGGTGTGCCACAGGCTACTCAAAGATGTCTAGAAGTGCCCTGTGGAATTTAAGTGTGCCAACAAGAATAAAACTGATCCATCGTCAACTCTGTGAATGTTTTTTTAGTTTTAGCTACATACAAAGCAGTCATTGACAAAGTTTGCCACCGTAATTCCTTTTCAATGAGGTTAATAAGTGCTTGTGTTAGAGAGGGAAGGGCACTGTTAGAATCGTAATGGCAGAGGTTCCCAATGACTAAAGACACACTTTGAAATAATTCTTTTCATTACCTTGTAGTTATGATTAAGATATGAAGCTATTGATAAATGTTCTTTTAAATGAGTAAATGACAAACACACTGAGAATGAATACATGAACAGAATTATTAATTAATGCACAGATCCTACACAAATTAGACCTGGAAATTCAGAAAAGTTTGAACTCTGAAAGAACTACCGTATTCGACGTAATAAGCGCCCAGAGCGCTCTCAAAATAAGAAATAGGGGGCTCTTATTAGAATATTATTTTGGTGAAAAAAAACAGAGTTGAAAGATAAATTTCGTTGTTTATGCTGTCAGCCTGAAATTTTATGTACGTCAGATATATTTTTCAAAATTAAATGCCAATAAGTAAGGGTGCATATAGCACACAAGTGCGTATTATACGCGAATAAATAAGTCTTGTGTACATTGATCAATCGGAAGGGGTGCCATATTGGGATTGTTCACCAGCCAATATCTTAGCAAATGTCGCCATGGGCGCTTATTAGAGCGGGGCGCTTATTACGTCGAATACGGTATATTTTTATTTCAGCATCATATAAATTAAAGCAGGGTTTTGAATAAATGAACTGAATTGATGATTGTATTGTCAACATACATTTGATGAACAAATGCTGAAATACACTGGGTACAGTAAAGAACAATTTTGTGAAAAAGGTATTTTTGCTTATGTAGCAAGCCGCTAGTGTAGCCCTTCCAATATCTGGTGTATGAAATTAAGGGGAGTCCTGTGGCCCTTGAGGTTTGCTCCTGTAGTATTGGAATCAATCAATCTCCAACAATCAACATTAAAATTATGACAAGGACCCCTTGAGTTTTATGCTTAATTTCGAACACTGAAGGTTTCCAACTTTCACTGCACATGTGAATCCCATGATGGTGATTTATTATCTGGGATTCCAAAGTAAATGACCCTCACAGGCAAATTTGGATTTTTTTTATTTTGTTCAAAATTGGGTTGGTTTTTTTAATACAACTATTTTAAATCTTTTGACTCATCTTTTTACTAAAACATTTGTGCGACCTATAACTTAAAAACTACTACAGTTTACATACTAATAGAAGAGGTGCAGTGCAAAGTTTTGATATGTGGATATTTTCTGACTTTGGGCCTTGGAACATCTGACTCAATGAAAGTCTGGATGAACATGTGATGGCAAATGGCAGTTTTTTTCACTTCCATATGATGATATCCATTATATTGCTTGCACCATTTGCAGAAAATTTCAAAATTTCAAATCACAAATTCACGGATTCATACAGTTTGCACATCGGTTTTTCAATTCATACCTCAATGGGTAAAAAATACAGTCAATCTTAAACTAAATTTGTGCAATATTCTGGGCCATGATAATACTGTCTTTTGCTTTTCTCAATGCTTCAGATCAATATAGAGGTTTGTTATCTGTCAACCGATATCGACATACGCCACATTGGCAAAACTGCAAACTTGTCATGGTTCTCTGAATGATTGGTCCCGACAGGTTCTCATGACGGACCAGTTCTATAAACATTTTACACAAGGACACCATATCCTACATTCGACCATGCAGCAGTATGCTTTAGATCTGACTGTACATGTAACTGGATGTTTGGTTAATTTGAAACCCTCAGGCCCTGCTGTGGCTGGTGTGGTTGGTCTCAAGATGCCCAGATACTGTCTGTTTGGTGACACTGTCAACACAGCATCTAGAATGGAGTCCAGCTCAATAGGTGAGTATGGCAAGAACGATATTTCAAAAGGGTCAAATTTGTTTTTTGTTTTGTGCTTGTATTGAAGGTGGAAGATGTTATGTTTTAAAACATTATTCAGAATGTTTAATTTTAAAAGCTGATATTTACAATAAGTTTTTAGCATTATTATTAATATTATTATACACTATTTATTTACATGCAAATTAATTGTTCGTTGATAACATTTTCAATGTCTTCATGTATAATTCACAAGTTGAGACACCCATGAAGATCCGGGTTAGAATAGGTCTTCAGCAACCCTTGCTTACCGTATGAGGAGTCAGTGGTCAGACTTGCTGACTTGGTTAATGCAAGTCATTGTATCCCAAGTGCGTAGATCTAAGCTCATGATGTCAATGACAGGATTGTCTGGTCCAGACTAGATTATTTACAGACAGCCCTCATATAACTGGAATGCTGCTGAGTGCAGCCGTAAACAAACAAACAAACAAACAAACAAACAAACAAACAAACAAACATAACATAAGTTGAGGATCCCGTCATCACACCTTTTAATCTGTTTATACTGAACAGCGTTTGAAATTGGCACTAGTCCTGTAGTCCTTGCCAAAGTGACCAATTGTTAAGGTATCAGAAGGACTGGTAGAAATTTGCCAATTTTAACGGTTTTTCCATTTGTTATCATTTGAAGGACTAGAGGACTAAAAATGTTAGTTTCTACCACTGCTGAACAGCAAAAAGAAAACAAATGTGTCGGTATCCACACCAAACATTGGGCAAATTTATGCTATTACTGTTTGACATTATTGATGGGGAGGTGAAATGAAGTACTTCAAGATTATTGTGATACAAGTGTGTGTCTGTGTCTGCTTGTAGTTGTACTAGTCTTGACTTATGACGTTTTTATGGTGCTAGCCCACTAAGATACCAACTTGCATTTTAACATGGATACCCCACTCAGACACAGTATACTGACTGAGCTGAGCCAAGCCGATCTGATCTTTTTAGGTCTTTTGGTATGAGCCAGCTGGGATTTGAACCTCCGACCCACTGTCCACTTGACCACAGTGGCAGTCTTTTCATTATTAATGACATATGAATATTATCAAAAAGATAGGGTTTTTCAATATCCAACTCTATTAGCAGCCCCAATATATTACTGATCTCTTGAGATGTGGACGTGTCTGACTGAGAATCAACACATCATTTTTTTCACATTGTATGTTATTTCCAGCCTTGAGGATCCACATGAGTTCGAAGACGGCAGATATCCTCATGGTGCTTGGTGGCTACAAGTTGGATTGTAGAGGAGAGCGAGAAGTCAAGGTACTCTCATGCATAATGTATACCTTAGTTTACTAAATGACTGAAGTTGTATTTGTTGACGTTCATCAGCTAATGAAGACAGTGCCTCACGTGAGCAAATTCCATGATTATTTCAAGACATTGAGGAATTCCCCAAAAGTAGTTCTGTATATCTCCGCTCAGCTGACGTTCAATGAAGCGACAGTCAGCTTGGTAGTTTCATCAAGGCGAGGTCACCTGCTACTGTCAATATATGAAAATCACATCAGCTTAAATAATTATCTGTCATTGGTGCAATGTCTGTTTTCAGTCCATTGGCTTAGAAAGATATATTTTTTTTATCCCCCCGGCATATAATGCGGGGGGATATAGGGATCAGCCAGTCTGTCTGTCCATCCGTCTGTTATCATTTCCTTTTCCGGGGCAGAATTCCAAAACCATTCAGTGTATTTGATCGAAACTTGGCAAATCTATCAGGCACATACTGAAGTGGTGCCTTTTGATATTTTGGGATTTTTCTAATTTTTATTTTTTAAAATTTTTATGGAAAGAAGTTGAACATAGACTCGATTGGGGATGGGGTTTGTTTCCGGGGCAGAATTTGAAAACCATTAAGTGTATGTGATTGAAACTTGGCAAATCTATCAGGCACATACTGAAGTGGTGCCTTTTAATATTTTGGGATTTTTCTAATTTTTATTTTTTTAAATTTTTATGGAATGAAGTTGGACATAGACTCAATTGGGGATGGGGTTTGTTTCCGGGGCAGAATTTGAAAACCATTAAGTGTATGTGATTGAAACTTGGTAAAGCTATCAGGCACATACTGAAGTGGTGCCTTTTGATATTTTGGGATTTTTCTAATTTTATCTTTTTTAATTTTTATGAAATGAAGTTGGACATAGACTCATTTGGGGAAGGGGTTCGTAGACTCAATTGGGGATGGGGTTTGTTTCCGGGGCAGGATCCGAAAACCTTTCAGTGTATTTGATCAAAACTTGGCAAATCTATCAGGCACATTCTGAAGTGGTTCCTTTTGATATTATTTTTTTAAAGATTTTTTTAAAGATTTTTTTATATTTTTAAGAATTTTTATGGAAAGAAGTTGGACCTAGACTCCATTAGGGAACAGGTTCGTTTCCGGGCCAGAATTTGAAAAACCATTCAGTGGGTAAACAATGTATGCTTCTTAAAGAACATTCAACTGTTGACTCATTACATACAGAATTGCATATTTACTAGTGGTAAAAATACTTTACAGACAGCTTTCTGATGACTCTTGTCTATAATGTTGGATTTGGATCATTGCCATATGTAGACACCAGCTTTTTATAGCCAGATTTCAAAAAGTCAATATTGGGTGGTCAGTAAATTGTCATGTGAATTATGGACAGATGATACATGAACACAGGTCAAACTTAGTAGCCAGTCAAAGTTGACTGAGACTGTTTTCAGTGTCAACTAAACATCAAGTGGTTGTAAATGTTTGAGGATACACACTGTATCCTCTCAACTCTTGCGGGACGGGGCGGGGCGGGTAGCCTACTGGTTAAAGCGTTGGTCAAGACCCAGGTTCGATTTCCGACATGGGTACGATGTGTGAAGCCCATTTCTGGTGTCTCCCGCCGTGATATTGCTGGAATATTGCTAAAAAACGGCGTAAAACAATACCCACTCACTCATAACTCTTACTGGTCACAAATCTGAAAGTTTTCCCTTTCTTAGTTAGCTTGTTTCCCACCATCGTTGCATATTCAGTGTTTGTCTACAAGGTTTGAACAGTCTTGAATTTTGCAGTGTGGCCTTAAATATTCCTTAAATCTGAATCTGCCTTTTTTTATGCCTAATATATGACTTAAAAGGTCTTGGATTCAGCAACCCTTGTTGACTTGGTAATAAATAAATGTATGAAATTTATCTTTTTCTTTCATAAAGCATGATATAATTACAGTAAAGTACGGTTATAACGAACTCAAAGGGACTACTAATTTAAGTTCGTTATAACCGTAGTTCTTTATAAGCATATATACAGCATAACTACAGCAAATAGTCGGGACCAAAAAAGTAAGTTTGTTATGTCTGTCAGTTCGCTATAACCGTAGTTTACTGTATGTACCAAAATATTCGTTCTTAACAGCTCCATTTAGATACTGGTATGGTAAATTAATAGTGTATTTGGATGGTCAAATAAGATTCCCCAAATAAATCTGTTTTAAATCACACTTGGATCTTAATTTTTGCTGTGGAAAGTGTGATCATTGCCTTGAAAGTCGTTATAAATGGGGCTCTGTATGAACCATGCTCAACAAGAAAACACACAAGTGTAATTGCTGTTTTATTTCACTCCTTCAGGGCAAGGGAGTGATGACTACCTACTGGCTAATGGGCAAAGACGACTTCACTAAACCTCTCCCTGACATGTCAATGGCTGCTTCACTGTCGAAGCATGAATTCAAATGAACTGATAAGAATCGGATGAACCTGAAGACATTCTTTCTCATGTGCCAGAATTCTCGGTGTAATTCTGATAACGTCATGATTTCCTTGATTTGTTCTCTCATATATTGTTAAGTTGACTAATGTGTCAATGGTTTCGTGAATTCATTGTGAATTCTGTGTCTAAGCAATGACTGTGATGGTGTAAAGGATATTGTTGAATTTCTTGTTGAAAGTTGTTGACATTGTGGTCTGTTGAAGTGGTTCTCATGAAATGTGTATGTCACTTCACATTTAATTCTCCAGACTTCCTGGAAACACAAGAACTTGCTTGAAGCAACATTTGTACCATTACATTTCTTGGCTACTCGTAGTCTCATTCTGTCCGAAGAAAGTTTAAAATCATGTGTAGGTGTAATGCATATATACATATACTGGGGTACTGTATAAAGTGACCTCACCAATAACATAACTCCAGCACACGGCAATGTGTGTTGACATGGTGGGACACCAAACGGGTGACCTTGAAAAAAACCCTCATTTCATTTGAAGTCCGAATATAAGTGAGACAATGGGAGTCTTATTTCTTGTAATTACATTGCATTTTAGCTTTCTAGGCTTAGTCTTTAACTATTAGCCTGTTTATTATATATATATTTTACAGAAATTGGGCGCTTCTGCAGTGGAATCTATATTATATAGGTTTTCCGTAATAACATTTCTGTCATTCACCTTGGGCAGCTTGAGGTTTCAGATGTATAACACAACAAAGGTGAACATGTCAAAATCAATTCAACTTGCACACCATATAAGTTGTGTTTGTAAATCAGACCAAGATTCTTTTGTATTTGTACTTCATGTTACACATGGACTTGGTGAAATGTCATCAGGTTTAGTATCTTCAGTTTGAAGAAGCAGAAGGTTCATCAATATCTTCACTATCATTACAGAATGTGCCTTAAACCACATGCTCTGTGCGTATGTGAAGTAAGTCTTTGTAAGTTGATGCGTGAATAAAATAACTATAGGCTATATAGACTGCTGTCAGAGAATATTGCTCGAATCTGAAGCCCCATTCTGGTAATCATAGCTTTAGACTCGGTCTGACAATCTGCTGAGGTTACATCAACAAAGAATCTCAAAGAACTGCTTCTGGCTGGTAGACACGTAAGGTTTTGGCAGGTGCAGTTCATTTCACCTTTCCGAGAAGACATACTGGGAGTACGACATTTGTAAGCAAGAATCTGACTTGTCACTTCTGCAACTGTTTCATTTTCTCGTCCTTTATATTGTAACTTCCTTATGAATATTGTGTATGTTTTAGGTACTGTTCCTTATTTGGATGTTCTTTTAAATGATATTTTTACTGTGAACATACACAAACTGCAAAAGTTTGGGGCCGTGTATTCAATTGAGACAGATTACTATTAACATTTATAAAATCTATGAACTATTGACCATTAAGGATGTAATCTCTTTCAGATTGAATACATATCCCTGTTTTCATGAGTACCTATATTTATCAATTATTTATTGTGAAGAAACTGTTCTTGTTTATTGCACGAGTTATTTTTGTTGAGGAAATCTATAGTGGATTTGTGATGAACTGCTCATTGGCAAGATATCATGCTGAATAAAAGGTTTAAAATTTGTCAGTGTATCATCATTTATATTAGCTTTAGAAATGTTCACCTTCATGATTGACTTCCTCTGTCACTCGAGCTAGTATTCCTCGATGTGATACCTTTTATGTACAGTTATATTATTATGAACATATTCTATCTGAAACAAATATGATCATCATTTTCATTGTCATTCGATGAGATGAACAAGATAAATACCATTTCTTTCTGATCATATTTTAAAAAGATTAGTCATAAAGGCAGCCTGCTATTCACTCTGTGAAATTATAGTTGTTTTTTTTGTTTTTTTTCAAAAGTTCACCAAGTACATAATTCAAATGTTTCTTTACAACAACAAAAACAGTCAAGAAATGAATATATATATATATATATATAAGAAAATAATAATTTATTGTATGTAACATATATACTGGTTTACATAAAAAAGATAATAGTACTGGGTGATTGCAATAGATATTAAGATAATTATCACTTTATCCATGCATTGCAATCTAGAGGTGACATGGGCAATATAACACCAATAGCCTGCTATCCAATAGCCTGTCATATAGACTCTGAAACAAATATATCCAACACAGCTCATGCAAGTCTATTATAGTGGGCAGGTCTAGAATATTGCAGTTTCTGAAAATGAAGAGTCTCTGGGCTTCTTTTTATTATATTTTATTAAGATAATTTAACAACTTTTTTTCTGAAAAAAGATGTTCATTTCAGAGACTAGATGTAAGTCTATAATGCAACATATGCATATCTTTATGTCTTGTTCGTACCAGTTTGTCAAACACCCTGATGTGATAACTTATATATACTTCAAATTTTACAATGACGGTTGCAATATCATCTTCTTGTCTTCTTCCATGGAACAGGTGTTGAAAATACAGGGGCAGGCTCTATTGTCTTGAGAGAAAAAAAAGGTATCCTGTTTATAACATGACAAACCTTTAGATTAAAGTTTATAAACATGATTCTGAAGGTGCCACAATCATGGCTAGGAACAACTTTCCAGAATTGCAAATATCTCATTCAAAACATCAAAAGTGGCATGTACATAAAGTTAATTTGCACTTTAGTCCTGTCTATCAATTTAAAAGACTTAAACTAAAATAGAGTCGACGTGGAGACTTAACATAAAAAGGGACCCCATGCCTTCCTCCAAAATTACACAACAAATCCGCCCTCCGTTCACAGTCAAAGTCGGCTGCACACTCTTGCAGCAAGTAAACATGGAAACTGACAGATGAAATCGTCCCCCAAATGAAAAAAATCTCTCACTGTCCAATTTCAACAAAGGGGCCAGTGCCCAGTCTGCTTGCTTCCGCCTCAGATCTTTTCATCGCATGACAGAGCTTGTCTGTTTGCTTACCAAGTCCAACTTATGCCAACTTTTGCCATATCTCCAAACAGATGCAAGTAATATCGGACCTGTAGAGATCTGGAGTAGAATAGGTCTTCAGCAACCAATGCTTGCCTAAAAAGGCGACAATGCTTGTCGTAAGAAGCGACTAAAGGGATCGGGTAGTCAGGCTCGCTGACTTGGTTGATGCATGTCATTGTATCCCAATTGCATGGATCAATGCTCATGATGTCAATCACTGGATTGTCTGGTCCAGACTCGATTATTTACACACTGCCATCATATAGCTGGAACATTGCTGAGTGCAGCGTTAAATAAACAAAGAAAGAAACAGCAAGTAATATCAAAACATATCTGTGACATCATTCATCTATTGTTCGAGCACTCCATTATTGATCAGGAATGGACAGTTGGTTTTCTTCTCTGCCGCTGTTGCACCTGCACCAAGCTCCTTGGTGTGTTGATCTTTACAATGCATGATTCATTTAGTAAACAATTCTAATCTTCTCAAATCTTCAAAGTTTTGATAGTTGTTCTACAATAGCTGTGTCAATCAGGGTTAAAGTGTCTGTTCAACAAACTGACCCTGGCATCATGATGATCATCGTCGTAACAGCCTGGAGTAGTTTATGCAGCAAGTTGCAGTTTACCACAATTAACTGTCTTCACGAACGACTGGTTAGTCAAAAGCCAGGTTTTCAGTAAAGATCATGTTTCAACACTCTTATCACAGATGAAATATGTAATATAAACTAACACTTACATTATCGGGCCACAACCACTGCAGAATCCACAAGACTGCTACATTGAGGACAGCAGCAATCACAAACAGCTTCCCGGACAGTGGGCCACACTGGTAGTACCTGCAATGCAACATTCCTTATAATTAACTTCATGATGCTGGAAATACGGTTTTAATTTTCAGCAATATAATGCTGGGGACACACATAATGTACCCATGTTGGGAAGCAAATCCATGTCTTCATCATGGGCAAATGCTTAACCACTAGGCTACCACACTGCCACAACTTAAAATATGACCTGTGAAGAACTTGGTCAGAATAGGTCTTCAGCAACCCATGCTTGACATAAAAGGCGACTATGCTTGTCGTAAGTGGTGACTAACGGGATCGGGTGGTCAGGCTCGCTGACTTGATTGATGCATGTCTTCGTATCCCAATTGCGTGGATCGATGCTCATGATGTCAATCACTGGATTGTCTGGTCCAGACTTGATTATTTACAGACCGCCGTCATATACTGGAATATTGCTGAGTGCGGCATAAAACAACAAACAAAACAAGCTGAAATGCTCATGTGCAAAACTGATTGGTCAGCTGAACTAATTTGACCAATTGTCAATATCTTTGGGGGGAGCTGGGATTTTATCCCCACAAAATTTCTTGAAAAAAATAATTATGCTTAAGACTTTTCCCTTATGACCATTAGAAATAAAACTAGAAACAGTATTGATTGTTAACCTCAAAAGTCGATCAGGAAGGTCTCGTGTTGGCTTCTGGCTAACTGTATTGTACACTACTTCTGTTCTCTTTGCAACATTGCGCCATGTGTAAAGGTCCTGAATTCTCTCGTGTGCTTCGTGAGGGGAGACAACTCTGCCATGTTTTTTGTCCTTGATTGCTCTTTCAAGTTCCTCGACCAGAGCTGCAAAAACAAGTTGTGAAGTTGGTAAAGAACCTTTCAATGACAGCAATCTTCAAAAACAAGTATTATCACAGTAGGTTTTAGTGATGGTTGATAGAATGACCACTATTCTATTTTGGTATATAATCATTGTAAGCCTATGTTAAATAGGAGTTACAATAGACTAAGATCATTTTGTGAAAGTGGGTCCCGTACTCTTGGGGTTTCAATTTGGTCATAGTTGCTCAACTATTGACATAAGTGATTCTACTTTCATTTTCAAAGTGCTCAGCACTGACCTTTGACATTGGGTTCTGCCAGGTAGATGAGATCAGGGGGCAACACCTCCCCAACACCCCCGACTCTCGTACTTACGACCTGAAGCCTACAACACAGAAATGAGTGAGTGAGTGAGTTAAAAATTAACGTCACATCGGCAATATTCGAGCCATATAGTGACGTAGATGTCACAGTTTAACCCTCTGAATGACAAATTAATTTTCTGACACACATTTGCAGGAGTTCTGAAAAGTGAATGTTGTGTGAGAATTGCAGTCGCACGGTACTGGGTCTACCTCTGGCTATAAACTTACGCAGAGAACTTACGAATGATATCTAAATTCCTATACTATACGGTCAAAAATGAATTGCAAATATAAGATAACTGTTGTCAGAAACTTTGTTATGTGTAAACAAATCCAGTAAATTTCGACACTTTTAATCACACATCAATAAAACTACTGTGCAACCCAGCAGTAGAAACAAACATTTTGGTCCACTCGTCCTTATAATGATGATATATAGCAAAACCCTTAAAAATGGCAAATGTTTACTCGTCCTTATAATACCTTAACTATTGGGCAGTTTGGCCAGGACTATAGGACAAGTGCCAATTTTTAACCCTGCAACCCCCAAAAATTATTTGACAGCTATATATAAACTGTAAGAGCACAAAATACTTCCAAAATCTGAACAACATAATGACATCAAAATTTTAACCCCTTGATGCCTACGTTTTTGCAATCATATGTAAAACGTTACATATACAATACACAAATAACCTTTCAGGGCGGGGCTACGAAAAGGATCAAACAAATGATTATATTATACAACACGTGTGGTGTAATTTCGTAAAAAATAAGTCTGACGAAAAAAGTGCAGCTGGTAAATCGTTAGACATTAAAGTTCCGTCAATCAAGTGCCCCAAATAATTTTTTATAAATTCCTTTCACAAATGTGTGCATGTGTATTTTTCAAAAAAATACCCATTTTGTTAAAGTTATATATTCAGCTTTTGTTTTGAGACAAGTAATCAGATACAATCTGACAATCTGAGTATTGCTGTTTGTGTTTATGTTTTCCATTGTAACAAAGAGAAATAGTCAGAAATGCAGTTAAATAATGCATGATTTTGCATTGGCATCATGCAGAAATTATGAACCTTCATAATTCATGTTAAATTTACCAAATCATTGAAATGTATCTATTTCTAATTCCCTTATTCTTCCCATGATACTCTTCCCATCCTTATTCTGAAAAATGAGTCATCGTATGCAACGAATAGGAGAGTAACAGTGTAACAGTGTAAGATCTGAATATGGCTTTGTTTGCTTTACAAACAAGTAGTTTTCCAAGCACAGCGTTCGTTTTCACACCTTGTTTATTTCGCTTGATTTCATCAGGAGCATTTGTGTTAGACAAACTAAATTTGTCATATGATGCTAAAATGTTTCAGGAATTCAGGCATGAATGTAGGGCATCTGAGTGTGAAATATATCTCAAAACCAGCATACAGGAAATGTGATCTTGTTGACACTATTCAATATGGTGGAAAGTTCACTTTGGCGTTCATGTCTGCATATTTTCTAAAACATGCTAAACGGTTCTTGGGTTATTTGCAACGTTACAGAATGATGATTGGTGACTTCATCAATAAAATACTAAATAACAGATACCCCTGATCACTAATGTGCTTGTTTGAAGTCTCCATGTAAATATCTGGGTCCTTATTCATAAAAATGATGTCCTGATTTCAAAACATACAAGAAGTAACACTGTGAAAGGTGATTTATAAATATATAACATAGCTACCCAATAAATCTCAAAGAACAATAAGGAACAAAGCATGTTTTTTTTTCAAGATAAAACCTTGTTCTATCTTGACTTCATTTCTGGAGATCAGAACATGTGATCGCAAATTGATGATGTCTTAAATTGGATGACGTTATTTTTTAGGGGAAAATGTCGAGTTAGATGTTTCCCAATGATGTAGCTGGGAGATGCAGATAAACGCAGTGGCCGAACTATCACACCCAAAAGTGGGAGAGATATGACAATCAATTGGTATTGGGAGGAAAGGTGCAGTTAATCGACAAATAATCGACCATTTTACATTTTATTGACATACATAAAGAGGCTGTACATATGTTGATGTCTCATATCAGAACTAAACACTAAACGACTCATGGTCGTTGTTTATCTTACAATAAAACAATGCAGGGTGAATAAACCACTCAGGGCTATTGTCAAAGTAGCAATAATTATAATGAACCTAATTTTCAGTAATTTTGCTTAACCACATACGGATGACATCATTAAGAGAATTTCCCACAGAATGGAAAGTGTTACTGTATGTGCGAGCATAATATGTTTTGAGATTTATTCAACTTCAAAGTGAGGGTTAAAAGACGAGAGACATATATGTCCGTGTGGGATCCAGGGGGGTAACAATGGCAGTAGTTTCAATGTGAGAGTTGAACATGAAGCTGTATCTGGATGATACTCATTACGTTTTAGGGACACCATCCAAAACACTATTAGTAAGTTGAGTGAGTGAATGTATTTCCACACCTCATTTTAGCAATATTCCAGCCATATCATCAAGGTCTACACCCAAAATGGGCTTCACATGTTGTGTGTGAGCCTTGTGGTTTTTTAACAATTCCTTAAACATGTTAAATATTTTCAAAGTTTGAAGTTTTTTTTTAACAAAGTATTGTTCATATTTTACTGTCAAAAACAAATCCTAGCTTCATGCTTGTCCTTCCACTCAGTTCAGACAAGTGGAAAGTTAACAGACTGGCGGACAGATGATCTACAGGCATACGATTTGTGACTCACCCACAGCATGCTGCCTCCACTATGGCAATACAGAATGCCTCAGTCAGGGACGTATTCAGCAATATATCCCCTTGAACAAGAACCTGAAGGAACAGTCATTTGTTATCATTGATAGATAATGTGTCACAGAATGAACCTTTTCATGGTTTAATTCCAGGATTAATCATATTTTTCAGTACGTTTGATAGTTTACCATGACAAAAGGGCAACTAGACAAGTTACTGAAATTACTAAATTTTGTAAAACTTTGTAAATGAGGAAACAGTTGCAGCTTACGCCCCGAACTTGGTCGTGTTTGAGTGGACCTAGCAGAGTGACCCGGTCGTGAAGTTCATATTGCTCTCTCACTTCCTCCAGAACAACCCGCTTCGGCCCGTCTCCCCCTGAAACATGATAGGCATAGACTCATTGGGACCTCACTTACAGGATCTCCTCAGGGGAAAGTTGGCTGATTAATCAGTTTAACAAATAAAAAGTACAGCAAAGCAATAAATAACTCTGACCTATGATAAACTGCACGTCTGGGTATCTGGCTGTGATCTGGGGGATGATACCCACCAGGAAGTCCATGCCCTTCCTATATACCAGGCGACTGACGACCACCACTGTGACTGAAACACAACACACATAGAGAATACTAAACCAGCTCCAGTGTTGTACCAAGTTTGAGAAACGAGTGAGTGAGTTGGGTTTAACGCCGCTTTTAACAGTATTCCAGTTATATCACGGCGTGTCAGCTTAATGTGGGAGGAAAGCCCGAAGTGATGCAGGTCTCAGAAGTTTACCGCTTTGGTGAAACCTATGAGCACGGGTATGGTGTGGACAAACCTAGAAACATAATCGGGACGAATCGGGATTTGAACCCACAATCATAGGTTCCTGGCGTGCCAAAGGGACGCAACTCTGCACAGCGAATTGTGGTGCCTTAGACGACTGGGCCACCTGTGCCCCCTTCATGAAACGAGGAAACAGTTCTGGTATCTCACGATACAGAGTAGACTTTGGTGGCCTAGTTGTCTAAGCGCCGCAATTCGATGTGCAGAGTTGCATCCCTTGGACACACCAGATACCGATGACTGTTAGGTTCCATTACACAGTTCACCCAGATTATGTTTCTGGGATTGTCAGCACCACACCCGTGGTCATGGGTACCTGCATAACTTTGGGCTTGACTCCCACATTAACTGACATGCCATGATATAACTGGAATACTGTTAAAAGTGACGTTAAACCCAACTTGCTCACTCATTCTCTTTGAAACAGACACACAGTAGCCAGCATTCATTCATTCATTCATTCATTCATTCATTCATTCATTCATTCATTCATCAAAGGCAGAGCAGTTAGACAAATAAAACTAATACAAACACATTTTTAACTGATTGTGCCATATTAGCTCCAGGTAGTCAAATCAAAAAGTTAGAGCTCCGTGCAAACAACAAGGTAACTGCACTGAAGCTTAAGACATTCAGAAAGCTGCTATCAGATAAACATACATTTTAAGTGATTTCAGTCTTGTGGGCATTACTAGACTTTCAGATAGCTGCTGTTAGATAAAGATACATTTTAAGTGATTTCAGTCTCGTGGGCATTACTAGATATTCTACCAAGAATTTTGAAAATACTCAATTTTGATTGGTCAATCAGAGGTATCAAATCACAATGAACCTCCTCTGATTGAAACAGCTGATTTGAGGTCCGCATTACCGCGAAACCTAATATTTTCAGAAGAGTACTTCTTTCACTGTCGGTAGGCATATATAAATAATCATATCTACAATTATAGGCTACAAAATGGAAAGTTGCAGTTACAACAATATTCAAACTTGAAAGGATGTGTGACAGTACATTTCGTGCAGAAAAAAGGACAGAAACCACAAAGAGAATGTATTTCAAGTTTTTAGGACAACAGAGAGCTTGCTTTTTTGTGATTTTCTATATCCAACTGTGACGTTATATCTTTTGTGTCACAGTGAGTGATATGACGTCATAATAGTGATATGAGGTGTAGATAAAAACCTTTGCAATGCTTGCTCAGTTTACTTGAGGGACTGGACTGGACTCGACCCATGCCATTTCACTCATTATATTTGCTAACACCAAAGAGTTCGTGTTTTATTTAGTCATGATGGTAGAAAGGAGATAACATGCTTTGTTTTCAATGTAGAGCGCATTTGGTCCTATATTCAATTTAGCGTGTTAAATCTACAGGTGACCTAGCTCTACATTGAAAACAATGCTAACCTCCTAAGTGTATGCCTTTAAAATTAATCTTTAACCTACACTGCTAAAGTACTTACACGTTGAAAAATACTGAATGAGTTCCTTTCTCTTCGAAATACTTTAAACAATCAAAACAATTATTGCCCAAAATCAATTTTTCGAAAACAGTTTGTTTAACTTGCTGTACATCCTTGATTCTCCAGTGCTTCATATTTTCATTCTGTTCACAAAGAACAAAATGGAGACAAAATACACTGGAAAAATCAATCACAGACGTTCCAGTGACATTTCATTTTCCTCATTGAAAGTATATGTCCATTTACTATCCAACTGCAGCAATAGAAACTAACATTTTTAGTCCACTAGTCCTTATATAAATAAGAAATAGCAAAACCCTTTAAAAATGAAACTTTTTTACAAGTTCTTATCATCCATTCGCCATTGGGCAGTTTGGCAAGGACTGTAAGACTAGTGGCAATACAATCTGATGATCTCTTTTTTTCAAAATAAAAAGTTCCTGAGCACTTTTTCACCAAATCTTTGCAAAAAAAAGGATTTGCGTTTATTTGACCTCAATAAACATGAAATCCAAGATAAAGTGGATATCTGGAAAAAGTCCAACCATTGGTAACTATGGTAGCAGAGTTCTTACTTTTATCTGGGTTCCTCTTGGTTGGGTCCGGCATAAACATGGTAGCATCCACCGCGTTAGGTATAACTGATACAAGTTCTGGGTTGATCCGAGCTCTCAACACTGTGTTCTCTTTACTACAACAAGGGTAAATCATACACTAAATATACATAAACAGAGGATCAGAGTTTGCAAACTTTTCATATACTGAATTAGAATCTGATTAGATTGTTTCAGACAAACATGTATCTTCCAAATGAGGGACTTATGTCACTGTATGTTGTTCTAAACCGTACTCAGCAATATTCCAGCTGATTTTAAACATCTAGTCTAAGCAAGCCAGTTAATATGTAGTCTACAGCCATTGGGGCACGATGATACAGTCAGGGTTTGTTTGTTTGTGTGTTTGTTTGTTTGTGTGTTTGTTTGTGTGTTTGTTTGATGACACACAGTTGGGATAAGATGACACACAGTCAGGGCACAATGATACAGTCAGGATTTGTTTGTTTGTTTGTGTGTTTGTTTTTTGTGTGTTTGTTTGATGACACACAGTTGGGATAGGATGACACACAGTCAGGGCACAATGATACAGTCAGGGTTTGTTTGTTTGTTTGTTTGTTTGTTTGTTTGATGACACACAGTTGGGATAGGATGACACACAGTCAGGGCACAATGATACAGTCAGGGTTTGTTTGTTTGTTTGTTTGTTTGTTTGTTTGATGACACTCAGTTGGGATAGGATGACACACAGTCAGGGCACGATGATACAGTCAGGGTTTGTTTGTTTGTTTGTTTGTTTGTGTGTTTGTGTGTTTGTTTGATGACACACAGTTGGGATAAGATGACACACAGTCAGCGCACGATGATACAGTCAGGGTTTGTTTGTTTGTTTGTTTGTTTGTGTGTTTGTTTGATGACACACAGTTGGGATAAGATGACACACAGTCAGGGCACGATGATACAGTCAGGGTTTGTTTGTTTGTTTGTTTGTTTGTTTGATGACACACAGTTGGGATAAGATGACACACAGTCAGGGCACGATGATACAGTCAGGGTTTGTTTGTTTGTTTGTTTGTTTGTTTGTTTGTTTGTTTGTGTGTTTGTTTGATGACACACAGTTGGGATAAGATGACACACAGTCAGGGCACGATGATACAGTCAGGGTTTGTTTGTTTGTTTGTTTGTTTGTGTGTTTGTTTGATGACACACAGTTGGGATAGGATGACACACAGTCAGGGCACGATGATACAGTCAGGGTTTGTTTGTTTGTTTGTTTGTTTGTTTGTGTGGTTGTTTGATGACACACAGTTGGGATAAGATGACACACAGTCAGGGCACGATGATACAGTCAGGATTTGTTTGTTTGTTTGATTGATGACACAGCGATAGAAACTAACAGTTTTAGTCAAATAGTCCTTATAATGATAACATACAGTAAAACCCTTGAAAAGGACAGAATTCTACTCGTCCTTAACTATTGGGCAGTTTGGTAAGGACTACAGGACCAGTGCCAATTTCTAACGCTGTGACACACAGTCGGTGGATAATGACACACATCAGTATAAAATGATACAGAGTCAGGGCTTGCTAGTGTAGCGGCCATAAAATTTCCGAGTCCCGTGATGGGATTCGAACCACGGACCTTCTGATCCGAGGTCAGACGCCTTGTCCACATGACCGAAGAGGTTAACCCCGTCAGCAAGCTGACAAGGTAAGGATGTCATCTGTGGGATGACTCCACGACCTGCTACACTAGGCTTCAAATTTGTCTGTTTACAGTCATATAATACTGCCTGGTGTGTACTGATCACACATTACTGATCTGCTGTCAGTATTATTACACAACATGATCCTTCTAGACAGGGACCCTTTCTGCGAATTGCAATGGAGTATGTTATAGATATTAAAACCTGTCACATGAAACACATTTAATTCAGAAAATGTCCTTTATTGTGTTAATGATGCCATTTTCTTTTAATATCATATTAAAAACCTGAGTGAGTGAACGTTGTGTGAGGCTGTAGTCAGTAATATTACACCAATGTCAAGTCTTGACCAAGCAGTCAGTGCTATAAGCAACAATCCATGCCATGTAAGCACTCCCTTCAATCATCTCTTCATCAGTTGGGATTCTGGGAAAGAAAATAGGTCCCCAGGTACTTGACGCAAGTGGTGACTATATCAGCGATAAAAACATTTTGAGTCAACCAGTCCTTACTATGATAACATATAGCAGAATCACAAAAATGGCAAATTTCTACAAGTCATTATGATACCTTAACTATTGGGCAGTTTGGTAAGGACTAAACTAGTGCCAGTTTCTACAGTTGCTAAATGGATCGAGTAGTCAGGCTCACTAACTTGGTTCATTGCATGTCATCGTAGCAGTGATAGATGCTCATGATGGCAATCACTGGTTTGCTGAGTTAGGCGTTAAACAACAACAAAAATCTCAAAAATCTCTTTCAACAAGGTTACTGAGGACCTGTTTCCCCGATTCCATACACCCACCTGGTGTAGGAGACACATATCACGTGGTTGCAGTCAGCTAGAGAAAACTTCAGCACTTTGTTTGTAAGAATTGAGCTGGCATCTGCGAACCCAAACAGCGAGTGGTCGGTGAACACGGTCTTCAGCCCCAGCGTGCGTGCATGCAGCATGGCCTCATGCGCCAAGGTGGAGAACGCCTGCAGCAACAATAAATGAGATATGTTACAAACACAGGCATCACCATTGGGTGCTAAATCATCCTTTGACAATACTTTCTTTATGTTTGGTTTATGTATTTTCTGATTCTAGAACAGAGAAAAGTGAAAACAATTCCAAAAGTTCTATTTATTGTAGTGAGTGAGATAGGTGAGCTTTAAACAATATTCCAGTTCTATCACTTTTATTTATTGTAATTATAACATGTCTGACGTTGTTCCCATGTAATTCATAAACACAAAAATAACATAATATTAATGCCAAATTTCACAAAAATGTCAAATGAAAAATAGAAAAATTTCAAACAAAAATTCTGATCCTACATGTCTCACAACCCTTTTATCATACTGGTACAAAAGATATAACAACGAAAGTAAGTATGATCAATTTTATTTTTTGTCCGACCCCCTACCAATTTTATGGAAAAGCCCAAAGAATATGATGAGTCAGACCAAAGACGTATATAGATATATATTATATAGATGTCTTTGGTCAGACACATGTTCTAATCCTGCACAATTAAAGGGGAGATAATTCTGTGAGCTGTGGCTGAAACCGTAAAATTCCTCTCAGGTCTCAGTCCCTCTCACCATTTCACGAGTTGTTACAAAACAAAACTAACTTACAGAGCTCCAGATAAGTTGCAGGATTCCCATGAACAATTACACAAACTTAAAAGTACAACTGCTGAACTAGAACAAGCCAATCCACATGCTCAACAAGTTGAGAAAATCTGCCTTAGGACAAATATATGCACATAAAAATGAATATAAGCTAAATAGTACACACACTCAAATTCCTTACTTATTAATATTGACAGCTGACTTAAAATAATTAACATAATATGGTATTAACTGAAAATAAACGAAAAGTGATCAAACATGATCAAAGGGAGATAACTCAGAAGCCAGATCCTTTGTAAAACACTCAAATCTTATCATGTCTCCCTACTGCCGAATTAATGATGGCAGAGTTGACTTATGGATTTCAACTTCTATATTGTTTCAATGTGACATTTGGGTACAGATGCTTGTACTTCATCAGGTAAGTGTTAAGGGCATCCTCACATCATTTCTATCACGTAATATACTGTAAATCTTGAAATTTATGCGATTCAAAATTAAAATGACTGCTGACCCCAAACCAAAAATGCAACTCAATATTAATGTGACAACCCCCATCCCGTCCCCAGGGGAATGATACATTTCCTTACCTTAAATAGCACCGCTTATTAGCGCTAAGTAAAACACTTCCGTAAAACCAATAAACAGTTTATATGTTTATTCTGTTGACTGGCATTAAGGAGGATTAAAGACAAAAAAATAATTTAACCAACAACAGTTGACTGATTGGTATGCAGAGAAGGTGTCAACAAACTTGAAGTGGAGTAGTCAATGATGCCTAGTTTGACTCCAGCAGTGATAACTCAACAGATGCCTATTGTGTAATTCCTATTCTTTGAATGACAATTTTATGTACTTGTTACAACTGCTGCTCAATAAACCGTGTTTGTGTTTATATTCAAGTTGGTATTTTTCTCATTTAATTCCCGCTTGCGTTAATGTCAAAATTTACAGTATACTGGGTATTGGCTGGTAACACATTGCTTGCAGTGGCATGGTAAATGCATCTAAAAAAGTACCATGATTGTAAAAAGAAAATAGAATAACAAGCTTGCTAATACACACAGTCAAAGTGAAGCCTTTGACATTCAAGTCAGTTTGGTCCATCAAAAACAGGTTATAATTTTATGGAAATGAAACTGAATGGCATATTTTAGTAATGTTCCATATTTTCTTATACCCTATGGCGAGACACAAAGCCCACAGGAAACACTGCTTCATATAACTAGATCATGTTTCCTGAAGCAGGGATACTTGTAAAGATGGTCTGGTGTGACAATCAGCTGTCATGGTGACTCACAATTGAAAACTGACTCCAGTGATACTTACGGAATGTCCATGAACTATTGAAATCTTTTCTCTAATGAATATATTCCTCAGTAAGGGGAAGGTGGTGTAGATGGTGGGCAGTATGCACTGGTTGTAGAAAGGGGGGAACGGCAAGTAGTACACCTGTAATCACAAAGAACAATCGGTCAGGAATGTGCATGAATCAGACACACATGATAATCTTTAGGAGTGTAACAATATATCAAACTATCGATGTACTGCAATTGTTTGCCCTACGACAGTACTCTATCGAGAGGAATTCAAAAATACCCATAGTGTTGCCGATAGTATGCATAACAATTGATAGGTTCAAAAGTTGCAAGTCGTTATAAAACATCAATTATGCAAATTTCTAACCTGTCTGTGTGGGGGTTAGCAAGGATTATGACAACTTGAGATGAGCATTACCTCTTTTTGGTTTGAGTAGCTACAGGGGGAAAAAATATCATAGAACATACACAAACAGCTAAAAAAATGATTCCTCTGCATATTAATATGATTCACTGACAATTACAGAAAATGCACAGGTGCCAAGCAATGACTTTTAATATCAAACAAACAGAGTGAGATGTTCTTGCAAAGACGATCCAAGACTGTTCTATCATCACACTTACCTTTAAACCACTGGAGAGATATCGGACTCCTCGTCTGTTGCCATAGAGATGGGTAATGACAATAACCTTGTGTCCACGTTCCAGGAGGCAGTGAGACAGCTGGTATATGTGACTCTCAACTCCTCCCATGTTGGGGTAGAAGAAGTCAGACACCATGCTGAAATAGTCACCAACAGTCATCTAAGACGATGGAGCCTTTGTTCCTCCCAAACATGCAAATGCAGCGTTAGAAATTGGCACTAGACCTATAGTCCTTGCCAAACTGCCCAATAGTTAAAGTATCATAAAGACTAATAGAAATTTGCCTTTTTTAAGGATTTTGCTATATGTTATCATTATAAGGACTAGAAGACTTAAACTGTTAGTTTCTAATGCTGAAAGGTTTGATTATACTGAAAAATAAGCAAATCTTATTTGCTCACCAACAAGACCATATAGCCCTTTTGTATGTTAACCATTGTTAGTCATCTGAAATACCAATGACACTACTTGCTGTATGAGTGTTCATTGTAGAATTAAAAAAGTTGGGGACTTTTAGTCATGGTGGCAATCAATGTAATAAAAAAAGTAATCACTACCATTTTTGGGTTATGGCTGGAACTCCCTAAGCGAAAAAGGCTCGATGTTATTGTATATATTCAAGAAAATTAAATGTAATTGATGAACTAAGTAAATTTTCAGAAAAGCAACATGTTCTACCATGTCTACTCAGAAGACCTACCATACAATAAATTTACATTTATTCAGCAAACCAATCTGGAACATGTAAAAATGTTTGTGCATCCTTATGTATATGCCGTTAATATTTTATGAAAAAAATATGTGCATAGATGTTTTATCATTTGGATTGAAACAATAAGATCAGTTTCAGTTGGGGACACTATATTCATATAAAAACCTTTCAGATTTGTTTGCTGATTTCATAACCTTTCTATATGAAGTTGTGGAAACCTATTCGAAACATATTCAGGGATTACAGCAGTAAGGTTTAATCTGATCATAAAGTAAACACATAATATGTGAACTAATTAATCTGTATACACATGACCAACGACTGCATGAATATACACAGTGAATTCCTGAACCTGATCCTTAACACTTGATCTGTATGGCATCTTCTGTCTTCTGACCAATGTTTAGTTATTAATAATGCACAATTCTTATTCTATACATGTACATGAAATATGTTTCGCTTTTTAAAAGGTTCACAAAGGAGAGTTTGAGACGTGTGCATATGATGATATTTTAAAATGATTTTGCCTTTTGTTCCATGCTATCTTACAACTACCGTATTTCCTCTATTAGACGCCGGCCTCTCATAGAAGTCGGGTCAATTGTTCAGTGCAAAAAATAGAAGCCGGGCCTCTATTAGACGCCGGGTCGATCAATTGATACAATAAATAATCCCTTTTTTGGACCTAAATTACATAATGAGGACTCCCTTTCTCTTCCGGTAAGTCAACGTGTGTCAGAAAACGGTCCTTGATGATCATGAATAAATAAGAACCAATTGCGAATCTGTTATGGAACATAGGAAGTATGTAAGAATTGATTACGATACAGCCATGACATTTCAATTTGTGGACCCTTCCAAGACAAACATAAAACTTTTCCACGATTTCCCGAACGTCTGCAAACTGCACGGATATCTGGGAATCAAATAAGATTCAACTACGGACTTCGAGAATTGATTGAGATTTATCTACGCATATCTACGAAAACAAAAATATTTCCATTTTGTGACGATTCGGGACATTCGTGGTCTTTGTGAAATGAGGGTATTAATAGAAGCCGGGCCTCCAATAGACGCCTCTGGGCCTCCTCTAATTGACACCGGGTCAAAGGCTTGTCCAAAATAAATAGAAGCCTGGGCCTCTAATAGAGGAAATACGGTAACTGAAATATACAGGGCTGTGAACAGTGGTTCCATTTTAGAAATAGGCTCTTTTAGCCACCAGCTTCAGCTTTAGAAACTGGCACTAGTCCTGTAGTGTAGTCCTTGTCAAACTGCCCAATAGTTAAGGTATCATAAAGACAAGTAGAAATTTGCCATTTTTAAGTGTTTCGCTATCATTATAAGCTAGTGGAGTAAAGCTGTTAGTATCTACTGCTGAGCTTGATATTTCTGTAAGCTCAATATGCAGCCTTGATCATGCACCATTTTTTTCTTCGGTATAGGAACTCCAATAAATGCATAATTTCTTGAAAACTGTCCCTAAAAGTTTAAGATACAGAAAATGTGTTACCATATGTTGTGCTTCATTGTTATTTCTGAAGGAACCAAACAGATCTACGATGAAAGCCCGTTGAAACTCCTCTTCTGCCGTCAACCACGGAAGCTGCCAAGCAGACGACTTCTGTATCAATCGTAAAGCTAAATTTACAGTCATGGTAGACCACGCCGCAATAAATACGACATAGTTCCCATCATTTCACTAGGGCTCCTGGAATCGAGGGAAAGTAATTTCGCGTAAATGCAAAGAGTCAATCTATCAGAAAAACAATATTAATTTGTGTACATGTTGTCAAACTCACAATCCGGAAACGAACACTTTATGCATTTCCCGACGCTGAAGAGCTCTAAAACCCGGACAATGTCTCCTACGGAACCAGGAAATACCAATAGTCATATACAAGCTGCAAAACAACTGGTCTTTTAAGAATAAATGTGCGGAATATCAGACAGATTACATTTAAGAATATTTATGTTCGAAATTTTAAAGGAAAGAAAAATGCGCATCCATGTTGTGTTCATCCGCCTATTCTACCCGGGTCACTAAGAACAGCTAAATACTTAGTCCTGCACAATGACTGCGGAATATTTTATTTTATCAAAGCCAGTTTATATTAAAAAATATAAAAGCAAGTCTATCTAGCTTGAAACCAGCATAAGAAAATCCAGAGAAGAGAAAAGCATTGTCTAATAAAAAGTCATGTGTTTGTCTACTGAATGCTTATCATGAACCAACAATTCATTTTTTTCAAAAATGTTAGTATGGTTACAGATAAAGTATTTTTTTCTTTTCACTGATTCAAAACTTGCATTATTACTGCGGGTTTTTTTCAGTACATCACTGAACAAATTATTAGAAGTAAAACCTGTGGCAAAATTATCTTTCCCCCTTTTCCTCAATACTCAATTTCACTGAGCAATGTTACATACATCATAAAACAGAGTGCAAAATAACTGTTATTGGAAATTAGTATCTAAATTTTGTCAGTCACCTGATTGTACGGTCCAGGTTCGATTTTTTACAGACCGCCGTTATATAGCTGGTATATTGCTGAGTGCAGCGTTAAACAACAAACAAACAAAGCAAACATACAAACAAAAACGTATTTTCTTTTCTCCGAAAACTGAAATACACACGAATAAAACGCCCTTAACGATATTCATCGAATATATTTTTATTTTACGCGCTATCCAAGGGACCAGATACTATTAGCAGATGTAATAAAGTCACTGTAAGAGATTGTGAATTAGAACGCCGAGCAATGCTAAGGGAAACTGACACGTGTGTCAATATTTCAAAACAGAACATGTTATTACAAACAAACAATAATCCAGATGGTCTGCGGTTTACTTTTGAAAAGGAAATTCGGCGAAAAAGCGATTGGTTGAAGTCTATTTGCGTTGTTAAATTATTGTAAATGTGTATTTTCATATTTCAGTTACCTGGTGTAATAATTGATCGTACTTCAGGTACCTGGTGTAATATTTGACTGTACTTGAGTTACCTGGTGTAATATTTGACTGTACTTCAGTAAACTGGTGTAATATTTGATTGTACTTCAGTGACCCGGTGTAATATTTGACTGTACTTCAGTTACCTGGTGTAATATTTGACTGTACTTCAGTTACCCGGTGTAATATTTGACTGTACTTCAGTTACCTGGTGTAATATTTGACTGTACTTCAGTTACCTGGTGTAATATTTGATTGTACTTCAGTTACCCGGTGTAATATTTGACCGTACTTCAGTTACCCGGTGTAATATTTGACTGTACTTCAGTTACCTGGTGTTTTATTTGACTGTAATTCAGTTACCCGGTGTAATATTTGACCGTACTTCAGTTACCCGGTGTAATATTTGACTGTACTTCAGTTACCTGGTGTAATATTTGACTGTACTTCAGTTACCTGGTGTAACGTTTGACTGTACTTCAGTTACCCGGTGTAATATTTGACTGTACTTCAGTTAACTGGTGTAATATTTGACTTACTTTCGTGTATTTATTCGTAATACAAACAACCTTCTTTATTTCTGAAACGGATATTAATGTTATCATTTGTGAAAGCTGAATGAAAGAACCATGGTTTCTTCTCTTTTTCTCCCTAAATCTGTCGGTCTTTCATCTCCACCATGGCGTATTGCTGACACTTTTTGTCCATTGTCAGAATTATTAGAACTCTTATTAACTCGGTGAAAACCCATCTGACTAAAGTTGGAGGACGATAAACAAAAAACACAAACATGTACATACATAACAGACACATAAACGACCAGAGGAATACTAGTATATTAATTCAAGAAACAAAAACATTCAATAGAAATATTAAAGCAAGGTATGTCAAATTTAAATGATAAACAAAAACACACACACATGTAAATACATAACAGAGACTTAAATGAACGGTGGAAAACATTAATTCAAGAACAAAAACATTTAAAAGAAATATTTGAAAAAGTTATGTAAAATTTAAAAAAAGTAACATTCACCGATTAGCAGCTGGACTTTCCTAATTCATATATATTCCTTAAAAAACAGCAGGTTTTGACATTTAAAGCAGACCTCCACTGTGCTTCCCACGCCAATCTGCATACGGTGCACCATGCATCCCCAGCATGCAGGGGTTGCAACTGTGCAGCGACACAATGACAGTTTACATAACGCTAATACCAAACATTGCTCGATATGTATATATACCTGCTTGTTTAACGTAGTCAGCATATTCCCGTCAAGTCAAGTTGCCAGCCACGCCGAATACCTTCTAACTTTTACCATGAAGCTGATGTGTGTCCTCGCCTTTCTTCTGTTTGGTGAGTAGAATTGAGATCAATTAAAGGGGGGCTCCGCTCTACTAGTGTTTTTCATGTCTAAGTCTTGACGGTGTAAACTTAAATGCTCTTTGATGGCATGATTGGATGAATGCTGTTTGTGGTCGTAGTCGACAGTGTTACAGACGTATTAGGTCTGTGACCGCCTCCGTGGTCCAGTGGAAGAGCGTCCGCCCGGAGAGCGGAAGGTCCGGGGTTCGATTCCCGGCCGCGTCATACCAAAATACGTTAAAAGATGGTACTTGTTGTTACCCTGTCTGGCGATCTGCATTAAGGGGCAAAAACAAGGACTGGTCGGCTCGGAGTCAGTATACTGTGTCTGAGTTGGTTTAACATGTTAAACTGCGGCATGGTATCTCAGTGAGCTAGCACTATAAATCGGCATCAGTCCGGACGAGTACAAGCAGCGACACACACACACACACACACACACACATGTACATGCACGTCGCTAAATAAGTTCAATAATCTGGGACGCGACGTTAAACGCCATTTCACCTCACCATTAGGTCTGTAGATATTCAAGTATGGACCAGGCAATCCAGTGACTGATTGCGTTGATTGGGTTGAGCATCACTCCACCCGTCGGGGCACGATGATACACAATCAGTACCCGTTCAGGGCCCCCTTCCTCAAAGCGATTTTACCGCTAAGACAGGCGTAACGGGCTCACGCCTCGCCCAATATTTGTTTGCCAAGCTAAGGGAGCGACCATTTGATTTCTATGGGGCGGGGGGGGGGGGGGGGGGGGGGGGGAAGTTGTTTTCTCAGCAAACTATTTTTTTCTGAAGCCTTTTCTAACAAACTATTTTTTTGTAACATACAGCTGAACAAACTGTTCATTTCAGATGGTAATTTTGCAATTTTATTATAGAGTAAAATATGCAATCATATTTCAGCAAGTGCAGCCTGTGGTGTATTATAACATGAACAGCTATAGAACACCCGTTATAATAGTCTTTTTCATTCCCTGACATAAATACAGTAGTCCTGTTTGTAGCCTGGTGGAGGACGCGGTAATAGCTGTTTCTTTAGTCCCGGCCAGTATTGGTGGTATACTTCCAAGCCATCGTAACTGTACCAACCTTTGCCTGGCACACACACACATCCCACGAAATGACCCCCATTGCCATACACTAAAGCAAATAGTGTATATACTCGTTCATTCATCTGAATAACATTGGGGTATCTGGTGAGAGGACAATTGTCTATCTCTGTAATATGACCAGGTCATATCCAAAGATCATATAATATAGTTTTATTTGAAGGATTTTGGTGAAAATTGTTCATACCGATACCTTTTCATTTAATACATATGGTTTATTTGTATTTCAAACCATTCCTCAAACAAACCACAATATAAATATGTTCAACATTTATCAGTGAATAATGTGTTCTTTTACAACATTGTAGCTTGGTTATTTCTTTTTGGAAATTGTTAAATTGGACGCCTGAATATTTGTACATACATTTCAATAGCAAAATGTGCTGAACTGAAGCCATTAACTTCATATACAGAAATAGCAACAAATAAGATTAAAGTAACAGTGATGTTGCGCCGAAGGCGGCGGAAATTTTTTACGTTTATAATGCTGGAATAATTCTTTAATTTAATAGATAAATGTTGCAATGGCACGCAAAATTATATCTGGAAACAAACTATTCATTTTTCTCACAGTAGTAAACATTCTATTTATTTTACTGATTATCTCCAACAAACTATTCATTTGTAAATACTTCCGCCCCCCCCCCCCCCCCCCCCCCCATAGAAATCAAATGGTCGCTCCCTAATATGACACCGTATACGGCAACTGAAGACACCATAACTAATATTATTATGATAAGTGCCCTGCTTCCATTTGCAACCACAGGGGCGGTCGGGTAGCCTCGTGGTTAAAGCGTTCGCTCGTCACGCCGAAGACCCGGGTTCGATTCCCGACATGGGTACAATGAGTGAAGCCCAATTCTGGTGTCACCCGCCGTGATATTGATGGAATATTGCTAAAAGCGGCGTAAAACCATACTCACTCACTCATTTGCAACCACAGCTTCATATTGAGCCCGATTCGAATGACGCGGCGCTAAAAATAGCCGTCCAATGAAATAACTCCGAGAGAAATTCTGTGCTAAGACGAATGGAAATGGTGACGTCATTTCTTTAACGAAGCTATAAGGACAAAAGGGTCCAGGGTATTTATCGTTATAGAAAAGGGACACAATACACTGGGTTATCGAGTGTGGTGGTAGAGAAATCGCACCTAAATCAATGTAAAATCACTCATCATACAAACAAAGGAATCACACAGTTGCGTTTCCGTGGAAATCAAACACATATTTTGTTTGTTTGTTGTTTAACGCCGCACTCAGTAATATTCCAGCTTTATGACGGCGGTCTGTAAATAATCTAGTCTCGGCTAGACAATCCAGTGATTGATATCATGAGCATCGATCTACGTAATTGGGATACGATCGATGACGTGCAGCAACCAAGTCAGCGAGCCTGATCACCCGATCCCGTTAGTCGTCATATCTTAAAGTGTTCAAACCCATATATAAGCATGTATACCCTCAAGTCCCCCTCAGTATACCCGACCGCCTCCGTGGTCTTGTGGTAGAGCGTCCCCGGCCGCGTCATACAAAAAGACGTTAAAATATTGTACTTCTTGTTACCCTGTCTGGCGCTCGGCATTAAGGGGCTAAAACAAGGACTGGTCGGCTCGGAGTCAGTATACTGTGTCTAAGTGGGGTATTCATGTTGAACTGCGGCATGGTATCTCAGTGAGCTAGCACTATAAATCGGCATCAGCCCGGACTAGTACAAGCAGCCACATACATGTGCATGCACGTCGCTATATAAGTGCAATAATCTTGGACGCGACGTTAAACCCAATTTCACCTCACCTCACCTCAGTATACCCCTGGGTATTCCGGTTACAATTTGTTCCCAGCAACCTATGCTGGGCGTATTAAGAGGAGTCTGTGACTTGGTTGATAGCCTGTCATCGTACCCCGATGCCTGGGCCTTTCCTCACTGGTTTGTCCGCATTGTTTGTCCGCTGTAACCCGATTGTTTACATTTACCTCTACTCGTAATATTGCTGTAATATTATGTTGCTGTCTTGCACTAAACAACAAACAAACAACAATGTATATACAACACTATCATCGCTGAAATGTTATCTCCTTAATAATCATTCACTCCCTATCAATTTAGCTGGTCTTGTGACCTACTCCGAAGCCAGCTGTTGCTGTCATCACGGCAGTCACAAGAGCCACCACAGCAGGCACGGCATCCCCATCCCCATCCCCTACTCCATGGGCGGCAGCAGCGGCGGCAGCCACTCCTCCAACATCCCTCTCGTCATCACAACGGCTGGAAAATAGTTACAACGATATGCAACAGGTGAGCTACCATTAAAGATCATTGACACAAATACTAAAAGATATATATTTACAAAATTGGTCTCAATCTGTGTCTGAATCGAACAACTTTATTTATTACAAAATGGTAAAAAATGATTTATATCCCGAACAGTATTTATCTTGTTTCACTGTAAAAAAAAGTCCGGGTTTCCTTAGCAAGATTTCGATGTTGTTCACGTGATCTATTTATTGAAACTGGACGTTACACGGGTATTAAAAGAGAAGAACGCATTTGTCAGTTGTGCGCCCTGACTGACATTGAAGATGAATTTAGCTTCCTTTTCATATCCCCATTTTATGCAACATCAAGGGCTAAGTATATACCTGAATATTACTATCTCAATCCTATGTCAATTTCTTTAAATTCACATCTCTGTTAAGCAACTCTAAGTACATTTTTTAACAGTTCGTTGTATCCGTTTGTTCGCTATATCCGTGTTCGTTATATCCGTGTTCTACTGTACTTACTTTTACAAAGTTTATATATGTACATTTATCATGCAATGGGACACAGGAATAATATTATGTTAAGACTCTGCTGCTCTGAATGTACAAATTAGAATAGGTCAGCAACCCATGCTTGCCGTAAAAGGCGACTATGCTTGTCGTAAGAGGCGACTACCGGGATCGGGTGTTCAGCCTCGCTGACTTGGTTGATGCTTCTCATCGCATCCCAATTGCGTGGATCGATGCTCTTGATATTAATCACTGAATTGTCTGGTCCAGACTCGGTTATTTACAGACCGCCATCATGTAGCCGAAAGACTTAATTGACACATGTATTTGGCGTTTACTACTTTGGCGCTACCCACGAGCACAGGTATGGTGTTGACAAACCCAGAATCAAAGCTTGACGCATTTGGGTATGGAACCCATGATCATAGGATTCTTGTCCTTCTACGGGACGTAACTCTGCACAGCGAAATGCGATTATTTATGATTATTTGTGAAAGGCTATAATATTTCAATCCATGCACGCAACGTTTGCCGCCTTAATACAATTCCTCGAATTGGGAATCACGGTCTCTCATCATCTTCGTATTGTTTTCAGATTTGCAGCCTGCTCCTTTCCGTGAATACTACAATCCTTGCTGCGCATGCCCAGCATCAGTCGACTCTGGCGGGATGTGATTGGCAACTTATGACTGTATACTTATTCATAGTAATATTGTAACAGTCAATACTTTACAATATATTCAGTTAAAGGTGTTTTAATGATTTGAAGCAGTGTGAATACGCAACTGTTCAAAGCAAACGTCCTTCCATCGAGACGGGATGGGCCATTTCGCCTGAACGTTGGGTCCGATGGAGCGTTTGTTTTGACTGTGTGTAAAACGTCATTCCAATCTCCCCAGTGACTGGTCTCGAACACTTTTATCATTGATAATATATCTGTGAAACTTGAAATTAAAATCACCCATGCATCTAAATGACACCTACATTTTCTCACTTACAATAAAGGTTACAAAATACGTTGAGTTATATTTCATTGTATGTCAGTTTATTGCTCTTAAATGTACAATGAGTGAGTTGGGTTTAACGTCACTTTTAACAGTATTTCAGTTTATATCACGGCGTGTCAGCTTAATGTGGGAGGAAAGCCCGAAGTAATGCAGGTCTCAGACGTTTACCACTTTGGTGAAACCCGGAGCACGGCTGACACACATAAAAGTATAATTGGGGACGAAACGGGATTCGAAACCAAAATCATAGGTTCCTGGCGTGCCCAGGGGAAGCAACTCTGCACCGTGACTCTGCACAACTATGCGGCGCCTTAGGCGACTGGGCCTCCCGTGCCCCCTCCCCCTTTCAGGGGGTAAGGCTTGATGATTGCGTCACACAGTGATTTGAATAGAAAACAGGCCATGAAGCATGGTCCCCTCTTTAATGCTGTTTTGGGAGCGGTCGGGTAGCCTAGTGGTGAAAGCGTTCGCTCGTTAAGACCCGCGTTCGATTCCCGACATGGGTACAATGTGTGAAGCCCATTTCTGGTGTCCCCCGCCGTGATATTGCTGGAATATTGCTAAAAGCGGCGTAAAACCAAACTCTCTCACTCACTTAATGCTGTTTTGAAAGGTATTGTTTATTGTGGTGTTTGTTTATTGTGTGAAGCAAGCCCAAAGTTTTCCATGGCTAAATGTTATGTTATTGACAAACCAAGATCCTGTCACTCGAACCAATAATCTTCGGATCCTGTCACGGCTAACAGACGCAACCCTTACCATGGTAGGATACGAATCGTATTATTCAGGAATGAAATAATACGTTTATCATATGAGTATATCTTCTTATAACAACTTAATTAGATTTCACAACCGCCCGGTGAAATGTGGTCTCACGCCGCTTTTAGCAGTATTCCACCAATGTCACAGCGGAAATGCGCTCCATACATATACCCATGTGGGAAAGTGAACTCGGGTCTACGGCGTGACGAGCAAAGGATTTAATCATCAGGCTACCCCACCGCCTCTGTACCACGAGTACTTGGGTCGAATGAACAAAAAGTGACTTATTCTCATGCGGAGCCAACTGCTCAGGTAAAATAAAACGTTCGTTGAGGTATTTAGAATTTATTATACTCAGCAGTACATTAAATAGTAACTGATCTTCGTAGCTCGAAATGCGTTGAATTCCTGTCAAAAGCAGTTTCCTGAAGGGGAGGTAACCGCCTAGGATTTTTACCACCGTCATCTGTGCTGAAAAAGTAACATGACTTTAGAGTTGAAATTAAATGTATTAAGACTTAAATACTAATAGAAATTAATCATTTGGAGTTGTTTCGCTGTAAAATAGCTTTCACTTAAGGTACTTGGGTACATGACTTAAGGAACATGCGTGGTATTGAGACACGTGATTTCCATCACTTTTACAATGGCAAAGCATACTATCATGTTACATCAAATGTATTTTGCGTTCCGTTTCTGAGTTCAGGTTTTGTAATTTCCGAGCAGAGTTATTGGCCCCTTTTACTTTGGATGTGACTGGAGAGAAATACAGCTCTTATTTCAGTTGGCATAAGGTATACGAAATGACTTACCCGTGTTTATTTTCCTGTTGTTGTGATGATGAGGGGGATGTTGGCGGAGTGGCTGCCGCCGCTGCTGCCGCCCATGGGGTAAGGGATGGGGATGGGGATGCCGTGCCTGCTGTGGTGGCTGTGGTGACTGCCGTGATGACAGCAGCAGGCGTCGGTGTACGTTGCCAGGAAGGCTGGAATAACGTTTGCTTGTTTATTTTTTAAATTAACTTTTTAGTAAAATCAAAAGGTCTAAAAAGTTGATATCGTGAGTTATGGGGACGCTTTGTTCGTTGTTTAACGCCGCACACAACTAATATTAATATTCCAGCTACATGGCGGCGGTCTGTAAAATAAACGGGTCTGGACCAAACAATCCAGTGATCGACAGCATGAGCACCAATCCACGCAATACTGGGATATTTGCATAGGAGAAAGAGTGTGACCAACCGGTCGATATAGTCATAATTATATCTAAATATGGATATCTAAATATTCGTACCAGGAATTCCTTCAGTTCGGATCGTAACTCTGTAGACCTGGCAGAATTCTATCTACGCTGTAATATATTGTCCCCAGGACGTGGCGCTAACAAGGCTTTATTGTACATCAAAACCTTAAGCGAATACACACCTGTGTTACTAGTTCTAACGGATAACGCTTTAATGCTAAGGTTTAACAAGATGTTACTTACATATACCTATCTTTTCACAGACCAAAGGTTTGATTACTCGGTAACATTTAATATGATTTTACATGTCTCAAGCATATGTTAAAATATATAATATGTATGTTCTCATACGGACAGCATTTAAATATACACAAAGATTTTTTAAAAATGAGAGAAATATTTGAGGGGTTTCTTACCCATAGCTATGAAAACGAGGCAGATAGCAAACTTCATGATGCGTTGTTTCAAATTGTTGTCGATTGGAATCTGATGCTAAGCCTTAACGGAAAGGCTTTTTATATCAACATAAAAAAACACTAACCGCTGTCATAATCCGATGATAAACAATTTCTTGCTGTGGTCGCCCTAACTCGCCGGAAAGGGGAGATAACTCAGCGGGAGACTGGCCACTGTGGTTAAACGCGTTAATTTGCGTCACGCCCTTAGGCAGTCTTTTCCTGTAGACAGAGAGTTAAGTGATGTGCTGTTTAACGCCTAACTCAGAATACTGTGATTGACATCATGGGCATCGATCTACGCAGTTGGGATACAAGGACTTGCTTCAACCAAGTCAGCTAGCCTTACCACCCGATCCCGTCAGTCGCCTCAAACGACAAGCATGGGTTGCAGAAAACCTATTCTAACCCGGATCTTCACGAGTCAGAGTGAGTGAGTGGACCAGTATGGTTTTACGCCGTTTTATCAATATTCAAGCAATAATCAAGCCATATTCAAGCAGTATTCAATCTATATTCAAGCAATATTCAAGTGTCATTCAAGCCATATTTAAGCAATATTCATGCTTGTGTATGTAAACAAAATAACAAAATCAACGTTTTATCTTATTTATTTTTCTTTTATCAGACACATGTACATGGAAAATGAATAATAATTGGACCAATTCGTTTTCGGGTTTTGTCTGTAGCTGTGTGTCTGTAAGTCTGATGGAGGCTTTGTGTACATCTGAAACATTGAATAAATACTATTAGATAACACGGAGAACATAGGTATTTTGAGTTTTATACACACAGGGAACAGTTACACATAATCTTATAAACGTATCCTTGCCTTTTATAATCACTATTGATTATTTCATTCATTTGTCAAAAGTGAGCAAATTTTGACAAATTGTTTGAAATGGATTTTAAAAAAATGAAAAAAAACCTCTTGACATTGAATTAAAACGGTGTTTATATGATAATGTATTTATCGTCTGCCTATTGTTTCAAGCTGTACTTAAAGACGGGTTATTTACACACAAATATACGCAATGAACAGTTCCGTGTTTGCTATATAGAACCATATTTGGCCAGACTTTGTTCATAATTCCATCAACTCCCTAACATTGAAATGTCAATTTATTTTTGAAGCAGTTTAACAAACGAAACAAATTCATGTACCATTGCTATTACTGTATATAAATTATTTAAATAATAGTTGAAACCTGTTAAATATTTATCTTAGAAAATTCAAAACACAACGAAAACGTCGAATTATGCCGAATCCCGTTACCCCGCCCGTAGTCTTTTCCCCTACCAACTTACCATTTTGACAAAATATTTTGGAACGTTTTTTGAACATTTACATATTTTTTCTTTCGAACTACTGACCTGAATTATTGGACCAAGAATCATCCTCTTTAAAAGAACGGCAATCTTTAACCGCTAGATTGACACACATAATATATTTGAGCTAGCAGACAAACAAAATGGCGCTGGAATAAACCTTCCGAGGACTTTTGTTGTTCGTTGTTTTACGCCGCACTCAGCAATATTCCAGCTATATGACGACGGTCTGTAAATATATCGAGTCTGGAACAGCCAGGCCAGTGATTGATATCATGAGCATCGATCTACGCAATTGGGGTACGATGACATGCCGTCAATATGACCGAGCGTAGAAACGATTCCACACTCTATAATGACCCGGTTCAGATAATTACCGGAATGGATTTGCGGAACGGACCCCTGGTCTTAGATGGTAGCTCACCTGCTGCAACACGTTGTAACTACGTTGTCGCCTTTTACGGCAAGCATCGGTTGCTGAAGACCTATTCTAACTTGTACATTCAGAGCAGTAGAGTCTTAACATAATATTATTCCTGTGTCCCATTGCATGATAAATGTACATATATAAACTTTGTAAAAGTAAGTACTTAGAATTGTTTAACAGAGGTGTGAATGTAAAGAAATTGGGATTGACATAGTAATATTCAGGTATATACTTAGCCCTTAATGTTGCATAAAATCGGCATATAAGAAGGCAGTGGTATTCACCTTCAATGTCATTTTGGGCGCACAATTGACAAATGCGTTCTTCTCTTTTAATACCCGTGTAACGTCCAGTTTCAATAAATAGATCATGTGAACAACATCGAAATCTTGCTAGGGAAACCCGGATTATCTTACATTGAAACAAGATAAATACTGTTCGGGATATAAATCATTTTTTACCATTTTGTAATAAATACATTTGTTTGATTCAGATACAAATAGAGACCAATTTTGTAAAGATATATCTTTTAGTCTTTGCGTCAATGATCTTAAATGGTAGCTCACCTGCTCGTTGTAACTATTTTCCAGCAGTTGTGATGACGAGAGGGATGTTGGAGGAGTGGCTGCCGCCCCCGCCGCCGCCGATGGGGTAGGGGATGGGGACGGGGATGCCGTGCCTGCTGTGGTGGCTTTGGTGGTTGCCATTGTGACAACAGCAGCTCGCGTCGGCATAGGACACCAGCATTGCTGAGACAAGAAAAACACACACTGTTCATTCGACATGAGGCATATAAACAAATAAATTACAATGTTTATATTCTTTTTACAAAGAAATCTTTCTTATACGATCCGGTCAGTGCTATACACGTGGGTAACCTGATAATGCTGAATTTTGTTATGGTTTTATTGAAACAAGAAACATAACTTGGGTGGCTCTTTAGGTGGTTCGTGTATTTGAAACTTCAGTTTTCCACATTTATCACAAAAGATTCGAAAGCTCAACATCGCTCTCGTATCCTTTTAACTTTTGTTTTGAAAGATGAAAAGCTCGAAATATCAAACTAGCTGTCGTAATTTCAGCTTTTTAGCGCCCGTATTGAAAGTATGATTTTAATGCCCCAAACCCTTTCAACAACTTTCTGTACTTTATTTCATAATGTCGACATTTAGAACTGTATGAATCGTTTCGAAATGGTATCGTCCTCGTATAAAGGCAACTATCGCGACTTTCACATTTACCACATTTATTCGAGAGATCGTTTGTGGCAAATCAAAGCCATATTGCATTTTCCAACTGACTGTTCAAAGATCTCGTCATTCTGCATCTTTAATTCTTTATGCATTTGGTTTTGTTATCCGCTTTTTGAAATTTAGATTAATAAAAAACATCGTTAGTTTAAGACTGTTTAACGTTTAATCTTATATCAAAAGATACTGCATTCGTTTGTTTGTTTAAAGCCGCAATATTCCAGTTTTACGACGGCGGCCTGCTAATAATGATATCTGGACCAGACAATCCAGTGACTGACATCATGATCGTGGATCAACGCTTTGGATATGATGACATGCATCAACCAAGCCACGGAGCCTGACCATCCTTCGTCGACATGGGTACAATGTGTGAAGCACATTTCTGGTGTCCCCCGCCGTGATATTGCTGGAATATTGCTTAAAGCGGTGTAAAACCACACTCATTCAACGACAAGCATAGACTACTGAGAGCCTCTCTCCTTCCCCTGAAGACCGCCTCCGTGGTCTAGTGGTAGAGCGTCCGCCCGGAGAGCGGAAGGTCCGGGGTTCGATCCCCAGCCGTGTCATACCAAAAGACGTTAAAAGATGGTACTTGTTGTTACCCTGTCTGGCGCTCGGCATTAAGGGGCTAAAACAAGGACTGGTCGGCTCGGAGTCAGTATACTGTGTCTGAGTGGGGTATTCATGTTGAACTGCGGCATGGTATCTCAGTGAGCTAGCACTATAAATCGGCATCAGTCCGGACTAGTACAAGCAGCCACACACACACGTGCATGCACGTCGCTATATAAGTGCAATAATCTTGGACGCGACGTTAAACGCCATTTCACCTCATCTCACCTTCCCCGGGAACCCAGGGATAGAGGAGCTGATTTAGAGTAAGAACTTACCCATGACAATGGCGAAGAAACAGATGGCGCTCGTTATGCTGATACCTTTCATGTTGTTGTTGAACTTGAGAGTGTATCGTCATGGTTGATATTGTCGTTTATATACACAATTACACTCGTATCTACCTGCACATGCTGTTTGGGTGTGGCGAGAGTTATTACCTTTTTTAATAGAACTCTGTGTGCATGGTGCTGTCATACATTTATCATTTATTATGCGTGCATATTTTCTATATTTTTTTAAAGGGATTACGTATTAAAGCTGGTTTATACATTCCACGTTTATATTTTATTTTTTACATTTCCCTTTTAAAAACAAGTGATGATAATCGCTTAATCTGCCGCAAAGTGCAAGATTCGTTTCCACAACCATACTTTTTCGGATGAGAAAACTGGAGTTAATAATGTACTTGTACATGGTAATCTGGTCTCATTGAACAGTATATTTCACTGTATTAACCGCCGTCATATAGCTGGAATATTGCTGAGTAGGGCGTTAAACAACAAACAAACGCAAAGTACTGGCCATGTTTTAGATCATGAACAGTGATGTTTAGATACGTACTTTTTAAATATTGTGAAAATGTTTATATATTTGGGGTGGATGAAACTATGATTTTCGGACAAATACGGTTCGGAACCTCTATACATAATCAGACCGCCTCCGTGGTCTAGTTGATAGAGCGTGTCCCTGGTGGACAGAAGGTCAGGGTTCGATCCCCGCCCGCGTCAAACCAAAAACACATTTAAAGATGGTACTCTTATTATCCAGCGTCACGCTCGGTATTATATGATATTATATATTTATAAACCGCACGTATCTAGGTACTAGTTTTTGCTCAAATGTGGTTTATTTGTCCCCCGACAAGTGGATCCGTCTGCATTCCAGATATTATTCTCAACTCCCTGGGGAGTATACAACCTTAGCTGCCTAAAGGCGCTAGAAGGTTTTTACATTCACCTCACATATCGGGTACCCATTCCCTGCTGGGTGAACAGAGGCACAATTGAACTATGTCACTTGCCCAGGGTGACACCACAAGTTTTGACACTTGTGTTTCGGGTGTATGTACGTATTCGTGTTCCCACCATCTGGTCATCTACCAACGGACGAATGGGTTCTTTTTAGTGCACATGGTGTATGTACTGTACACTAGTGACAACACTGTAGACCTATAAACATTGTTGGTCCATAGGCTGAATAACAACCCGGTCACTAGCGGGATACGACCTCAGCACCTGGGACTTGCTTAGAGGGCAAAACAAGGACTGGTCGGCTTGGAGTCAGTGTACTGTGTCTGGGTGGGGTATTCATGTTAAACTGCGGCATGGTATCTCAGGGTTCTAGCACTATAACACCAGCATTTGGCCGGACTACTAAAAGCAAGCAAGCACGCACGAGCACGCACGCAAGCACGCATACACACACACACACACACACACACACACACACACTCTGTGTCTACCCAGGGTCTACAGCATGGCTCTGTCATAACACTATAAGTGAAGTATACTTAAGTTTATCAGCCTCAATGTGGGTGGACTTACAAGGAAATTAGAATACTGGCAATCATGAAAGCTTTAATATAATTCATGTTATCGGCGTATATTATATATAGGTCCTGTCCACACACACACACGCACGCACGCACGCACGCACGCACCCACGCACCCACACACACACACACACATACACACCATATAAGTGGATGAAACCCCATTTCATACACCCCACCAATACATAATTACGTCAATAAATCTGCTCATCCACGATTTATTTTCACTGCGAACTGTCGCGACCAGATTAGCGGTCTCACTATCTTTCACATAAATCTTTATGGATTTTAAAATAATATTTCATGCATGTCTAAATAGCTTATATATTTTTCGGGAAATACATTTTATTGATAATCCTGTTTGAAAATAGCATGTCATCCATTCCACGGCCAGGCGTGGCAGCTATGAAAGCCATGAGCATTATGCACAGGTGCATTCCGCGTACTGCATGAGGACATCGACGTCCGAGCGACCACACACTTCCTCCATGCACGTTATATAAACACCGTGCAAGATGCTTCATCAATTCAACGCCAACGACAAACATGAAGGTTCTTGCGTGTGTGTTCGCCTTAGTAATGATCGGTAAGTTACATTTGAGACAAATCCGATATTGTGATTAACGTCTTTATGTGATTTATTAACGTGTTGAAAGCTTTAGATTAATACACTTATGTTTGGTATTGTTGGTTGGTTGGTTGGTTGGTTGGTTGGTTGGTTTGTTGTTTAACGCCGAACTCTGCAATATTCCAGCTATATGACGGCGGTCTGTATATAATCGAGTCTGGACCAGACAATCCAGTGATTAATATCATGAGCATCGATCCACGCAATTGGGATCGATGACATGCATTAACCAAGTCAGCGAGCCTGACCACCCAATCCCGTTAGTCGCCTCTTACGATACGTATAGTCGCCTTTTACTTTAAGCATGGGTTGCTGAAGACCTATTCTAACCCGGATCTTCACGGGTCGTTCGGTAATGTTGGTTGGTTGGTTTGTTGTTTAACGCCGCACTCTGCAATATTCCAGCTATATGACGGCGGTCTGTATACAATCGAGTCTGGACCCGACAATCCAGTGCTTAATATCGTGAGTTTGGTAATGTAAACAGTTCGGAAAGTCTAAATGAAATTCATTTTAGAGCAGTTCATTAATATATCATTGCAGGCCAAAGAATCCATTAATTTGATTATAGGAATTTATTTATTTCATATATTCTCATTATTTGATATTACGTTTGTAAATACATTGTCTTTTCTATATGTTTATGATGATTATATGTTTGCTGTATTTATGAAGAGGGTCCAGTAAGTTTTCCCAGTCCAGCTTGCCATGTCAATAAAATATGTTTAAATCCACGTCTTCAGAGAGTAAAGTACATCCAACAACTTATCTAATGTATAATTACAGAATAACACGCCTTGGCGAGGGACTTTGAAAGCTATGTTCGGCTTTTTTTATTGGTTTACGGATGCGTCGACCTTAAAAAAAAAAGAAAATATTCAAAACAAAAGGTTTTTTTTATACCGCCGACGGTAACGATCGTTTGACCAAAAATATAATCCAAGATATTTTTATGTGTCACCAAGCCTGACCACCCGATCCATTGTGACTGCCCTAACAGCGAGCAGAGGTTGAGATTACAAATACTGTCCCACTGTTGATTGTCAAAAAGTCAGATATTAAAATGCATACAGGTTATAAATTTAACTGACCCGAACCGAAGCTTAATGTAATGTTTTCCCGTCCATCGACAAATCCAATATGTCTGACTCCAGAATCAAATGGTTCATGGAGCTGGCACTTTGCATATTTGATCCTATCTCCTCCTTTCCACGGGTTCTTAATCGATCTCTAACATGGCCTCCAAACCTCTCTTATTGTAAACCACGTATCAATGAAGCAATTTCGGAGTTATGTATTCGTGGATGAATGTGCAATGTGATTGGGCGAGTTAATTTTTAAAACGTACACGATTTCTCGTTAATTGTAGTCTACATGCGTAAGATTTTATACTAATATTCATTGGCCCAGACAATAACCTTGTCATACGCCACGAGTCATTGACCTCGACGTCTTTGTTGGTTCAGTGGCTTCATACCCCCTCTGGTATTGCAGTGTGCTTGGTGTCGTCGACGACGGCGTGTGGTTGCAGCAGCAGTAGTAGCCACAGCAGTCACCATCACTCTCACGGCATCATGATGCCCATCCCTTACATGGTGGGCGGCAGCGGCGGCAGTCACAGCCACTCCAACTACCTCCCCATCGTCCTCACAACGGCTGGTTAAATCCGTGGTAGGAACGCCTTCAAAAGCTCACGTTTGATAAAAAAATTAAAAGGGACAAAATTCTTTCCATAATCACAACAAATGTCTGCCAAAGGCAGCATCAGTTGTATCGGACTATATTATGAGCATGTGTTTATGAATCAATATCAAATAGTTATGATAAGAGGTTCGCAAAAAAGGTGAGCGTATCATGGTCTACCGGTGTCACCCGTTACAAACACATGCACAGGTAAGTTAATTGTTCATCTGAAAAACACATGGTACAAATCAAAATAGAAAAGTGCATCGGACATCATGTTGGTCACTGTTGGGTAAAAGCATCATATGAAAACACTTTTTAAATTAGCTTCATGAATCTTGCATTTTCCTTCATAAAGTAATATTCGTGAAAACATATTCTCTAAAATATTATTTTTGTGATTTTTAAGAAACACATGACTCCTTTTCTGTTCCGTAACGATCTAAGGGGTTATTGTACTTCTTGTAATGAAGAAGGATTGAAATATACTGAACAACAAAAGTTCGTGTGACATTGAATAAGATTTAATGCAAAGTTATGTTTTTTACCAAATCTGAAACAATTATGGTTTGCAACAGATAAGAGTGTTCAAAAGGTTTAATTTGCCATACTGACTTCAGAAAATGCGTGATTTCATTAAAAAAACCATGAACATGTCAATTTACAAATCAATAGCGTGTGTGTCCACCTCTGGTTGCGATGCAAGCAACACATTTTCGTCTCACGGAATGGACCAGGCGTCGCACAAAGTCGTGTGGGATTTCTGTTCAGATCTGCTGGAGTTTCGAAGTTCCTGGAGTGTCTGTGGAACGCGTGGTTGACGTCGAAGGCGCCGATCCATCTCATCCGACATGGGCTCGATTGGTGAGAGATCAGGGGAGCGAGCCGGCCAGGGGATGACATTCACGTTGTTTTGTTGAAGAGAACCCTGAAAAAGTCGAGCAAAATGAGACCGGGCGTTGTCATGTTGAAAGGTAATGCCTGGGCCATGAGGGCGCAAAAACGGTAGAACAACAGGACCGATGATCTCGTCGCGGTAGCTCTGTCTACTGAGATTTTCACTCTACCACTATCAAACGGGTGCTCTGTCTTGCTGTAGTCCCACCCAGTACCATAACGCTGCCGCCCCCGAACCGATCTTCATCCATGACACAATGATTGACGTAACGTTCACTTCGACGTCGGTACACTCGAATCCGTCCATCGCTGTGGCTGAGGTGAAAACGAACTTGTCTCCACTGCATGGCCGTCCAGCGTAGACGCTGTCTGCACCACTGCAGACGTGCTTGACGGTGGTTTCCTGTCAAAATGGGACGTCTGGCGGGTCTTCTGGCGACAATCCCTGCACATCTGAGGCGACGACGTACGGTTTGTGAAGATATTCGTCGAAGGCCAGGGATGCTTCTTGCAGTCACTGTTGCTGGCTGGAATCGATTTCGTAGGTGTGTTGTTCGAATCCAGTTGTCTTGTCGACTATTGGTTACGCGTGGCGTGCCACTCCGAGGATGGCCTCTGACTGCATTCGTCTGTTGACAACGTTGCCATAAACACCAAATGGTGTTTCTGTGGACGTTTAATTGTCTTGCAACACCATGTTGACTCGATCCTGCTTCAAGCATACCAATGGCTCGCAGACGCTCATTTTCGGACAGGCGTGGCATTTCGTAAAGTTGAATAATTGCGTCATTTTGTTGTTTTTCTGAGTGGTTGTTGTCAGCACGATGCTAAACAATGCATATGGAATCCCGTTCACGCACATGTTTTTATACCCATTCGTGGATAGTGAAATGCATGGGGCTTGCACAAAAGTCAACTTTTGAATGGAATACATGCTTTTCTGTAGCAGTTGCGTTTTTGTGACTTGATTCCATAAATTGTACTACAATATTGAAAACCAAACTTTACTTGTTTGAAAAATAAACTTTTGTTGTTTTGCAATTTCGAATTGAATCCTGTCCAGTAACGTGTTGGTTCTTTACACACACCATGGTGAAATGTCTGGTGATGTCGTTCCCCCTTTAAAGATGTACAACTGTTTGAAACGGAGAGAAACTGTTTGACCCCTGATGGAGCTACCCAGAGCCCGTCTGCACAAAGCGATCTCAACGAAGACCATCGCAACTCCCACACGTTAGCCCAGATTTTCAATTGTCTTAGCGCTGAGATTGATTTGAGCAGGTGGACCCTGCTTATCTATCATTTGTTTGATCGCTGGTTAACGCCGCACTCAGCAATAGTCCAGTTATATGACGGCAGTCTGTAAATAATCGAGTCTGGACCAGACAATCAAGTTATGGACATAATAAGCATCGATCTACGCAGTTTGTGGTCGTCTCTCATGAATGGTGATTTATTGTGTATTTATTCAATATGGAAACCAATATATTAATATCCATATGATTAAGTTATTATATACAAGTTTCTGTTAATAATATATGTATATGATCACAATTCTTTTGATAATTTTATTCATAGATATTGCGATATATTACATATGTTTCAGACGTTTGCATACATATAAAAAAAACACTGAATTTTTTCTTGCTTCATAAAGGATCATAACGATAGTTTCTATAGCACGACTGGTCGAGTAATGTGCAGAGTTGCGTCCCTTAAAGATACAAGGGTCCGTTAATCGTGGGTTCGAATCCTATTATGGTCCTGATTATGATCCCTGACGTCGAAATATAACGGAAACACAGTTAAGACGTTAAACCCCAAATTACTCACTCGAAACTTGAGCACGAAGCACTAGCTTAGAAGGTTTACAGGTCATTACGTATATTTACGTAACATATGCATTGAAGTAAACATTGTTGAATAGTTAAAACAATGAAATGACTGATGTTATTTTCTTTTCAAGGTGAACACGATATGTACAGCTGTATCAGCGCACACCATTGAGAGTTTCATCGACCTGCTGCAAACACAGCTTCGCCTTGATACCCGCTCTTCATCACCCCCTCATGCTAATACGCTGTTGTTTGTTTATAGCTCTTCACATCATCTCACACTGAATAAAAATTGACAATTTGTCTCTTTGTAATTTGCTTCAAAGCGGTGGCCCCTGCAATATAGTGCCAATTACCGTGTCCCTGCTGTGTTTGTTTGTTTGTTTGTTTGTTTGTTTGTTTGTTGTTTAACGCCGCACTCAGCAATATTCCAGCTATATGACGGCGGTCTGTAAAATAATCGAGTCTGGACCAGACAATCCAGTGATTGACAGCATGCGCATCGATCCACGCAATTGGGATCGATGACATGCATCAATCAAGTCAGCGAGCCTGACCACCCGATCCCGTTAGTCGCCTTTTAGGACAAGCATAGTCGCCTTTTACGGCAAGTATGGGTTGCTGAAGACCTATTCTACCCCGGAATCTTCAAGGGTCTCCCTGCTGTGATATTGCTGGAATATTGTTGACTTCGGTGTAAAACCACACTCACTCACTCACACTAAGAAACGATGAGTCGGAAGACAACGTGTAAAAAATTCGAGTCTGGACCAGGCAAACCATGACTTCATGACAAACCAGGAGTAACTGTCCACGCCGTCGGGGCATCCCAGATTGGCTCTGGAAGTGTTTCTAGGATTGTCAGCACCATTCCCGTGCTCGTGGGTTTCGCGACAGTGGTAAACGTCTGAAATCGCATCACTTCGGGCTTTCCTCCCACATTTAACAGTCGACACGCCGTGATATTACTGGAATACTGCGCAAAGCGGCGTTAAACCCAACTCACCCACTCATTATACATCTTTTATTGTAAATATGTTAGTATCTTGTCATAAATTAATGCTATAGTTGCCAGCTCGTTGTACAAATAAGGGGCGGCGCGGTAGCCTAGTGGTAAAAGCGTTCGCTCGTGATGCCGAAGACCCGAGAAACGGTTCGCCCCGATTATGTTTCTAGGTTTGTCAGCACCATACCCGTGCTCGTTGGTTTCACCGAAGTGGTTAAAGTCTGAGACCTGCATCACTTCGGGCTTTCCTCCCACATTAAGCTGACACGCCGTGATATAACTGTAATAATGTTAAAAGCGGCGTTAAACCCAACTCACTCACTCACTCACTCAACGTGCATGTATTTCAAATATCATCAATAAATGAGAATTACTAGCAGTTCAATTCCAGTTCATATTTAAACAACGCCATTGTACATACGATACACCATGGCTTCACAAAACAGTTGAGCCAAATTCGAGCTGACAGAAAGTTCAATAATGAAAGTAAGTTCCTTGTGTAGTAAATGCTGGTAGGTTGGGTAGCACAGTGGTTTAAGTGTTCTCTCAACACGCCGAAGGTTTCGAATCCCAACATGGGTACAATACGTGATGGTATTTCTAGTGTCCCCCGCCTCAATATTGCTGGAAGATTGCTAAAAGCGGCGCAAAACCATACTCTCTCACTTTGTCTCTTCACCCGAAATCAGAACATAACATTATGTATCTATTTAAACATTTTATTGTTATATTTATCTGAAAAATACAAGAGTGAAATAATATTATATCATACCGGTCAGCCAAATAGAATATTTGTTCTTTCTGGCCACGAATAAACATGTCATTTTCTTTAGGTCACGAGATGAGACATATTTGTCATTTGACAAGATATATCCTCTCAACCTTGTATTTACTTAGCCACCTGTCTTCGTAACCATCGGACCCGTGAAGATTCGGGGTAGAAGAGGTCTTCAGCAATCCATGCTTGCCGTAAAAGGTGACTAACGGGATCGGGTGGTCAGGCTCGCTGACTTGGTTGATGCATGTCATCGATCCCAAATGCGTGGATCGATGCTCATGATATATATCAATCACTGGATTGTCCGGTCCGGACTCGATTATTTACAGACAACAAACAAACAAACAAACACAGCCCTTGTAAACCAGTCCCAGAATGGACAAGAACATTGAAAACAACATTAACATCAACCAAATAGGAGTCTACGAATTTCTCTCACATATCATTAGCGTCCATCGTGAAAAATGGCAACCATCTTTTCTCAGTACACACACCCAATTTGTTTAAAGAGTCATGCCTTTATCATCTTTTTAACACTTCCCACAAAATGTTTCTTTTCATCTAGATCTGTTCCATTATTTGAGCCTCACTGTGATATGATTTATGTTTTGTAAAACCCCACTCAACCACTCACCCGGGCGATGCTCAATGTAATAAAGGGACGTAACTCGCACGCGCATGTAATGTTCTCTTGTGAGCAAGATTTCAGGAAAGGACAATTTCCACAAACTACCGGGGCCAGGGATGGCCCAGTAGTCTAAGGCGCCGCGATTCGCTGTGTTGCCTCCCTTGGGCACTCCCTTGGGCACGCCAGAAACCTATGATTGTGGGTTCGAATCCCGGTTCGCCCCGATTATGTTTCTAGGTTTGTCAGCACAATACCCATGCTCGTGGGTTTCACCGAAGTGGTACACGTATGAGACCTGCATCACTTCGGGCTTTCCTCCCACATTGAGCTGACACGCCGTGATATAACTGGAATACTGTTAAAGGCGGCGTTCAACCCAACTCAGTCAGTCAGTCCACAAACTACCTTTAGAATATGTAAAACCTACCACAGTTCAATGTTATATTACAGGCTCCAGTCTCCCCCTTGAATACAACTAAAAAGCAATGCATTTTCACGAAGAGTTTTTTATTATGGAAGAAAAACAGTAACAGTGTTACAGATATTGTATTACATGTACAACTGTTGTCTAGCAGACCGTCATCTTAACACTCTTAGGAACACGTGACCAGCATCGTGTTGACAGCCAAACTGGACTGATGGTTGTCATGGAGTATATTCTGTAACAAAGGAAAGTCGAGATTAAGTCGACGACAGGGTCAGTGGTTTCAAATATACGAGCTTGATTTAATAGATATGTTTGTTTGTTTGCCGCACTCTGCAATATTCCAGCTATATGACGGCGGTCTGTAAATAATCGATAATCGAGTCTGGACCAGACAATCCAGTGATTGATATCATGAGCATCGATCCACGCATTTGGCATCGATGGCATGCATCAACCAAGTCAGCCAGCCTGACCACCCGATCCCGTTAGTCGCCTTTTACGACAAGCAAAGTCGCCTTTTACGACAAGCATGGGTTGCTGAAGATCTATTCTACCCCGGACCTTCACGGGTATGATAGATATGTGTAAAAGTAAACACACAAAATCAAAATTCACTGAAATTATATAAATTTAATTATACCTGAAAACTATAATAATACTGATTACATGAATTATACGGCTCTCCAGTTTGATCAATCATCTCACTGTTCTTACGACAAATCACTTGTGATAGCAGGCCAGGATAGCTTGAATCAGCTTGATAGAAAGCATTTTGAAAGTCCCATCTGAAAGTTTCCCTCTCTTTCAAATTGTATCTTTCCGAGGCAAGGGAGTTAACTGAGTATAAAAGATTTTTATAGTGTGTTCCACGGGACTTTCAAAGTCAGTTAGCTTCCTTGCCTGGGGAAGATGTTAAATCGCTGTTCATCTCCAATGGGAATTAAAATAAGCGTTCACCAATAATTGCGTAAAGAGCACACGTAATGCTGGGCAGAATCACGTTAAGTCGAAGTCCAGCGGACCGTCGAATATTTGTCGAGTTAACCGTTGTTCGATACAAACGGAGTGATGTTAAATCGTAATGCTGACACAGATTCTGAGGGACTATCAAGTAACATTTTTAAACGATATGTTGAGACGATGGAGTTTGATGTTTCGCACAAAACTTGTTTCGGGTGCCTTAGTGGCAGACTTGGATACGATTTATTTTATGGGAACTATGAAATATAACGACATCCCCCATCGTGATGTTGTTGCAATAGTGCTTAAATCGGAGAGAAACTATACGTTGTTGTTGAGTGTTGTTTTGCGCCGCTTTTGGCAATATTCCAGTAATGTCACGCCGGGGACACCAGAAATGGGCTTCAAATATTGTACCTATGTGGGGAATCGAACCCGGGACCGGCGTGGCGAGCAAACGCTTTAACCACCAGGCTATCTGACAGCCCATAAAATACTGTTGACTGGCAACATCGTGGTTGGGTGCGTGCTCTGGTTGACGGGCGTACCTACCACGGTGGATTTAACCAGTCGTTGTGAGGATGATGGGGAGGTAGTTGGAGTGGCTGTGACCGCCGCCACCGCCGTGCATCATGTAGGGGATGGGCACCATGATGCCGTGAGAGTGATGGTGACTGCTGTGGCTACCACTGCTGCAACCACACGCCGTCGTCGACGTCACCAAGCACACTGGAAAACGAAGAGCATGGGTTGTGAGCAAAACACGGAATTATGCCTGAACATGTAATAAAACGGACAGGACTTTAATATCATATACGCCAATAACATAAATTATATTAAAGCTTTCATGATTGCCAGTATTCTAATTTCCTTCTTAGTCCACCCACATTGAGGCTGATAAACTTAAGGATACTTCACTTATAGTGTTATGCCAGAGCCATGCTGTAATGGAGTAGACCCTGGGTAGACACAAATTCTGTGTGTGTGTGTGTGTGCGTGCATGCGTGCGTGCTTGTGTCTGTGTGTGTATATATGTGTGTGTCCGTGCGTGCGTGCGTGTGAGAGAGAGGGGTTCTAGGTAGGGTAGCCTAGTGGTTAAAGCGTTCGCTCGTCACGCCAAAGACCCGGGTTCGATTCCCGACATGGGTACAATGTGTGAAGCCCATTTCTGGCCGTTATATTGCTGGAATATTGCTAAAATCGGCGTCAAACCCAACTCACTCACTAATACTGAAGCAACAATGTTATTTACATGTATGTTAATCATAATTGGAAATTACATTGTTTCCCTTCAGATAAAAAATAAAAGAAAGAAAGAAATGTTTACAGACCCAACATGATCACGGCAAAAATGAAAGCGAGGCACTTCATGTTTCGATGACAACAGAATACTGAATGATAAACCAACCGCAGCATCCTACTTTTTTATACTACTTAGTTAAATTCCGGGCCTCGCTGGGTTAAGCCGAAATTGATACGGATTAAGCCGAGGGAGGTCTCATTGCGTTAATTCACAGACAGACAGACAGACAGATTGTTTATTTGTCTCACCTCACAGAAATAATAAACATAAATACATATAAAAGGACATAACAGTGAGCCACCCGTTAAGGGTTACGAGAGACTTAAAATGTATCACAGTATGTACAGCATAAACATATTGGTGTACCGTTTTAACAATACAAAATAATATATATTCTGCGATATATTGCAATATGCGCCAATACCCCAACTCTAACAATTAACCATGTCTCTTTTGCAATTAAGTACTCAAGAAACAAGCACATATTTTATATTTATATTCATTTCATTTGTATTCGCTTTGTTTGTCAAATAAAAAATGTGAAAAATACTAACCAAACATGACCACGGCAAAAATGAAAGCAAGGCACTTCATGTTTAGATGACGACAGAATACTGAATGATAAACCAACCGCAGCATCCTACTTTTTTATACTACTTCGTTAAATTCCGGGCCTCACTGGGTAAGCCGAACTTGATACGGATTAAGCCGAGGGAGGTCTTATTGCGTTAATTCACAGCAGTGGCTCATGTGGCGTTATACTGCGATTACAATGTCAGAAAGAATTTACACCCAGAAACCAGGAAATGTTTGGTTTAGATGTGATGTAAATATCATCAGTGTAACGCAATCACAGTAATAACACGGAAGCCTAAATGATAGTTATTCATATATATTATACCATAAGATATATCAATATTATTTTTCTTAGAGAGTTTTACAACAATGGCCCCGGCTTAGACTTGGTCCCAAGAAACCTTTCGTCGGCTGGTCGTAAGAGGCGACAAAATGGATCGGGTGGTCGTGCTTGGTGACTTGGCTGATTTGCGTGTCATCGTACCCGTACATGGTATTCACAATATCATTTCACTTGATTGTCTGGTCCAGTCTCGATTATTTACAGGCCGCCGTCATAGAGCTGAAATATTGTCGAGTGCGTCGTTAAACAACAAACAAACAAACTACAAACACTAACCACTAAAACGAAAGTAACAAAACCTGGAACCTGAGTGAGTGAGTGAATTGGGTTTAACGCCGCTTTAAACAGCATTTCAGTTATATCACAGCGTGTCAGCTTGATGTTATAAACATATATATTTCATGTGTGAATCTTGATTGATTAACAAAGTAAAGATTTATAATAATACCGCTCCTGATGTCATCAGTTTTAATTTAAGTCAAGGGGACATAATATGTAATTATTTTGAATAAAAATACAGTTGTCGACTCTGAGGTAAAGAGTTGTCAGCAAACATCAGACATATAAGCGTTAAACGATAGTTTGAACTCAGATATTAGATTGAAACCTGACAGATGTGAGGTGAGGTGAAATGGGGTTTAACGTCGCGTCCAAGATTATTGCACTTATAAAGCGACGCGCATGCACGTGTTTGTGTGTGGCTGCTTGTACTAGTCCGGACTGATGCCGATTTATAGTGCTTGCCCACTGAGATACCAGGCCGCAGTTTAACATGAATACCCCACTCAGACACAGTATACTGACTCCGAGCCGACCAGTCCTTGTTTTAGCCCCTTAATGCCAAGCGCCAGACAGGGTAACAACAAGTACCATCTTTTAACGTCTTTTGGTATGACGCGCTCGGGGATCTAACCCTGGACCTTCCGTTCTCCGGGCGGACGCTCTACCACTAGACCACGGAGGCGGTGAAATCCGCCAGAAGGTGATATAAAGTCATGAACGGATTTCAATATTTCTAAATTAATCTTTGCTGTAACATTTCCTTTTCCTAAAGAAGAAAAATACGATCACAATAACACGATTTGGTTTAAAACAACAACATGTTTCTTCTTTTGCTAGATAGTTGGGACACAAGTAAACAAATAGTGACGCGCATCGTCTGGTAGCCACCAGAACAATTTGGATGAGGATGAGTATGGTTTTACGCCGCTTTTAGCAATATTCCAGAAAGATCACGGCGGGGGACACCAGAATTGGGCATCAAACATTGTACCCATGTGGAGAATGGAACCTGGGTCCGCGGCGTGACGAGCGAACGCTTTAACCACTGGGCTACCCGACCGCCCCAATTTGGATGACCTGTCAGTGTATAGAGGTCACTGGAGCCAAGTCTCGCGCCACAGTGCACAATTTAGTACAGTCTAGATCCATGCTTTAAATCGAGCTGCAATGCATTGTATCACCTTTGAGGGAGAATCCATTTGATTTGTATTCCGAGCCGCATCCAACAAATTTAATTACTAAGCACCTTGAAACAATCTATTAATTTTCACTAGTATCTTTTTAACACAAAACATTTGATGTTTTGGTATTTTCTACGAAACAAACTGTTCAATTTTTCACCTCAGCAAAAGACATATTTCTGAAAATAAATCCTCTCCAGACCTCTCCTTCCCCCTATCGCCAACACAGACACGCCAACCCCGTTGTTCTAGCAGCGGTGAAAAAAAATGCCACATTCCAAATCACTGGAATGGTGAATTCTGGAGTAACGTGTTCAACAGTTTACAAGTGAGTCAGTTTGATTTTACACCGCTTTTAGTAAACTTCCAGCAATATCACGGCGGCGGACGACCGAAATGGGCTTAACAAATTGTAACAGTATGGGGAATCACTCCCGGACCTTTGGCATGACGAGCGACAGCTTTAACCACTGGGCTACCCTCGTAAATAATAAGACACAAGTACGTAAGTTTTGAAATATTTACAGATGAGTGTAGAAATACAAACTACGGAAAGACTTCCGCCCGTATCCCCACCTCCAAAAGTTATATATGTGTCCATTGTCGCTCAATCCTTTGAATTATATCATTATATTTTTTGAGGGGGGATACGGCCGGAAGTCTTCCCCTTTTTACAACGGTAAAGTAGAAGAATGATTATAATCATCATTTAAGAATATCCAAAATGGGAAGTTTTGACACCATGAACTATTTTCTATGCTATTATATCAACAAGTGTTTCTCGTAAACATCACAGCAACTGAAGTTCCGGTTACATTTTACGAATTCACAGGTTACGCGTGTAGCACGTGCTGCACGTTTTGCTCGGTGTACATACAAGAAGCTGTCACTGAGATTTGTCTATTTCACTGAGCAGAAACGTCACCTTTGGACCAGTGGATTTCACTTCCAGTGAGTTTTTGTACATTAAATTATTTCACAATATCTTGTTCAATTATTTCCAACAGTTTGAAAACAAAAATGTAGTTAGCTGTAAATACTTAAATCCATGAAAATATAGCGTTTGTTAAATGCATCCGTCGGGTTTTTCATCACACCCGTGTATGTTATACTACTGGAACTTGTTCAGAAGTAACTTTCCATGCAAGCGACCTTAACCTATTAGCTTCATGTGGGGGAAGAGCCCGAAGTGATGCAGGTCTAAGACGTTCATTACTTTGATGAAACCCAAGAGCGCGGGTATGGTGCTGACAAACCTAGAAACGTAATCAGCGCAAATCTGGGATTCGAACCACTATCACGAGGTTCCTGGAGCGGCTTAGGGACTACTGGGCCAGCTGTGCTCTCTCACAGTTATTGCTATCAACAGGTTATATATCATGGAATATGTTACTCTATGTTCACCTTGGGTTGTTTTAACTAAGAAATCAAAATAAATTCGTTGTTTTCATCTCGAGTGAACACTTTATGCCGGAACTACGGCCACTCCGCCTCACTATGGCTTTCAGTGGTATTGTCATGCGCACACTCCAGCGCAGTGGTGACCACTGCCACAGGCTAATTTGCATATGACGTGACCGGAATTTCTCTTGTTTGAAAATAGAGAATACCACACTCATTCTCGTCAGATGCATTTTGGTATTATATTTATTATCCATGTTAAATATGTATTTTAGTGTAAATACAAAACAACTTTCGTTCGTTAACAGACAAAACTGAAACCGGTTACAAAATCTGGTTGCGCATGAATATTGATATATGCCCAAACATGGGCATTGTTGATATTTCTATTCATACGCATGAACAACATGTTCTTGCTGTTGTGTGTGCAAACATGACAGCACCGACGCTCAAGATCTTAGTTTAAGAATTTCTTCAACTTATGGTAATTCAAGCGCATTGTTGTTAGTACGGAGGACATATATAAGAAAATTTTTAAAATCACATTTGAATATCGGACGAACAGACGGTCACTCGTACCGCCGGGGTCCGGTCTGTGCAATCAAACTGGTTCGGTTTCCTTGATCTATCAGCTGATTTTATATCCTGTCCGTACCATTTTGGAAGAGGAAAGTCAGTTTGCCATGTTAACTGTACAACCATACACTGAAGACGTTAAAATCAATAAATTCACGTCTGCAAGGTCACCATCGGAATGAGAAAAGACAACCTTGACAATGTATATATATACCTAAAAAAGTTCCCTCGCTGTTCGTGTGGCTGCGATGACAGCACGCGGAGTCGCACAAAAATGTAAACAAAGGATAACGACGCAAATGTAAATAGTTTTTAAACGTTTGGGATTGTTTCGCAATGAACTTTTACCATTCTATAACATATATTTATCTGAATGTGTAGAATAGTCTAAAACGAAACTGATGAAAAAAAATCCATATCTTGAATGGACTGTGTAAGATGTGACGAATCGTCACATGGCGCTAGCCTGTGGTAGAGGTACGATGCTGGCCGCATGGAACTCTGGGTAGGAGAGAGTTTCGTGCGGAGGTTTTCGCTTGGTCATCGATAGTGTTGTGTGAGGGCCTCCCACCTTGGTGAACTATCCCTTCATGGTTGAGGCACCTGATTCAAATGGGGGTGCGGGATCGGGTGGTCAGGCTCGCTGACTTGGTTGATATATGTCATCGATCCCAAACGCGTGGATCGATGCTCATGATGTGAATGACTGGATTGTCTGGTCCATACTCGATTATTTACAGACTGCCGTCATATAGGTGGAATATTTCTGAGTGCAGCGTAAACAAAAACAAAAACAAAAAACATGGGGTTGGGAATACAGAGGTACAGGGATGAAAACAATCCCCAGGGTCCGAAGTCATCTCCCAATCTGACGGTGATTCCGTTAAAAATTACCTAATAATGTAACTTTAAAGAATTTTGATGCAATGATCGGAAGAATTGTACCTGAAACTAATATTTTTTCAAGAATAATATATTCCAATATCGTGTTATTTTAGTTGCTGCTTTGCTAAATATATTTAAAATAATAATAAGTACTACTAACTTTGGTTCAGCTGCTCGCTATTGTCGGATATTTTTCCACGTTTGGAACATTATAACCACTGACCGTCGAGGCTCCCGCGCCCCGCGAAAACTCTTTTTTGACAGTACAGACTTGTTCACATGATATTTCCGGTGTTACGTGCTCACGGTCATGTCTTTCCGTTAGGGGAAAAAACCCATCAAAACTCACTATGGCGTGTATAATGCACACCCCCTTTATACAGCTGCATGTGTTTTTAGGAAAATAAAGTGCGCACTATACTCAAGAAAATACGCTGCTTGAAGTCAGAATATATGTTTTGCGAAATACGTCAATAAATGAATGTTTGACCGTACATGTTTGCTGTGATGCGTATCTTATATGCTTTTAACATTATCATCACCGCATCGTGCATATTGATGAGTGCGGTGTGAAACAAACAAACATGTGATGATTGTGTCATATGTGGCCTTGTCAGTGGAAACAACTAAAAGGTTTTAATGTCGGGCAGCCAGACATTGGATGAGTGCTGGCTGGGATGTATACTTGTCAACTATACTTTGTACATCACTTGCTTGATAACGGTGCGAAAACCTACACCGAAACATCGCTCCTAATTGTAATATAGAAGTAGTTCATCCATATATCTTATCCTTACTTCTGACATAGAAACTAAAGGGGGACAACTCTCGCGATCTAGACTCTGAGGTCATAATGTGAGCCAGATTTCAGGAAGGCCAATTTTCTCCGACTACTGTGAGAATATATACAACTAGTTCAATGTTCTATAGACGGTTCCAGACTTTAAATTCTCCTTTGAAGATAATACAAAAAGCAATGAATCTGTTTACCAACAGTTTTATTTATGGAATAAATAGAAATAATAACATTATGTTGAATATTTCAACGTTTCTTGCAGCCCGACAGCTTTTTCATAGACTCGTTGAAACACGTGACCAGCACGTGGTGACAGCCAAACCGAACTGTGGGTCGTCATGGAGTTTGTTCTGAAACAAAGGAAAGGGAAGATTAAGACAAACCATTAAGATATTACGAGCATCGTCGGGGTGCGTTGACACCAAACATTCTATTCATCGAGCCAGATCACCAGATCCCAAAACAGTTTCCTCTTACGATTAGTGGGCGGTCGGGTAGCCTAGCGGTTAAAGCGTAAGCTCGTCACACAGACTACCTAGGTTCGAATCCCGACATTGGTACAATGTGTGAAGCCCATTTTTGGTGTCCCCCGCCGTGATATTGCTGGAACCATACTCCCTCCCTCCCTCCCTCCCTCCCTCACTCACTCACTCTTACGATTAGTATGAACGACTGGGACCTACACTAACCACTGTGTGGACTCGAACCAGGGCCTTCGGCGCGGACAGCAAAACCCTCAACAACCAGGCTATCTGACAGGCCCTAAAGTACTATTGACTGGCAACATCGTGGTTGGGTGCGTGCTCTGGTTGACGGGCGTACCTACCACGGTGGATTTAACCAGTCGTTGTGAGGATGATGGGGAGGTAGTTGGAGTGGCTGTGACCGCCGCCGCCGCCGTGCATCATGTACGGGATGGGCATCATGATGCCGTGAGAGTGATGGTGACTGCTGTGGCTACTACTGCTGCAACCACACGCCGTCGTCGACGTCACCAAACACACTGGAAAACGAAGAACATAGGAGTGTTAGTTAAACACGGTCATCTGTGAAAACAGATAGGGCCTAAAGATCATTTAGGCTGACAATATTACTTGAAATTAGTGAGTAGAGCTCTTCGCAGATATTCTAATAATCCAGCAATACCAAGCCGACTGGAGAATTGAAGTCCTGTGAGAAATCGAACCCGACCAGCCAACCACTTTAAACGTTAGGCAGCTCCACCGCCTAGAATAAGGAGCAAGTTGGGGTTAACAATAAATCAATAAATCAATAATAATTTTCTGATATGCACAATTGATAGGGATGTGCAATGGAACTGGTATACAAATATATTGCAACACGTCCCTCAGCAATACACGTATCGCAATACAACCTAAATACGTATTGGTATTTTCTAATGCAGACACCAAGGAATTAATATATAATTATATGAATTATTTCTACTATCTTGAGGCATCTGGGTGGACTGGGTTACAATCTAGATCATTTACAACATAATCATTCCATATTGATGACGTCAAGGTAGTCTCGTTTATCCATACCATCCATCTCGCAATCAGAAGTCTGGATTATTGAATGAAGAAGTACCGTTTTAACAATACAAAATAATATATATTCTGCGATATATTGCAACATGTGCCAATACCCCAACTTTAACAATTTTCCATTACCCTTTTGCAATTAAGTACTCAAGAAACAAGCACATGTTTAATATTTATATTCATTTCATTTGTATTCGCTTTGTTTATCAAATAAAAAAAGTGAAAAATACTAACCCAACATGATCACGGCAAAAATGAAAGCAAGGCACTTCATGTTTAGATGACAACAGAATACTGAATGATAAACCAACCGCAACATCCTACTTTTTATACTACTTTGTTAAAATCCGGGCCTCACTGGGTAAAGCCGAAATTGATACGGATTAAGCCGAGGGAGGTCTCATTGCGTTAATTCACAGCAGTGGCTCATGTGGCGTTATACTGCGATTATACAATGTCAGAAAGGCGAATACACACCCTGAAACCAGGTAGTTTTGTACCTAATTATCACTGTTACGTTATAATTAGAAACATTTAATAAAATTAATGCAGCCGCTATCAAAATAAATCAAACAAAACAATAATAGCTCTTCATAAATATCTTCATTGTTTTATATATGACTATTACTACGAATCAGAAAGACCTTTTCGTCTAGTAACCAAACAATACTAATAATAACCGCGAAAACAATATCAATAACACATATAGTCTGGAAGTTAATTTAAGGTACCGACGTTTACTACAATAT